GCTAATAAATGGCTATTTTTCTTCTTTGCCACTCCATTTTGTTGTGGAGTATTAACACAAGATGACTCATGGATAATTCCCTCCTTTTGGAAATAGGTGGATAGACTCTGGTTGAAATAGTCTCTGGTATTATCAGATCTAAATCTCTTGATTCTCACTCCAAATTGATTCTGGATCATGTTTTGGAAGCTTAAAAACATACTATTTACATTTGATTTGGATTTAAGTAAAAGAACCCAAGAGACCTTGGTACAATCATCTATGAATGAAACAAACCATCTTGCACCAGAAATATTAGGAATTGTAAAGGGACCCCAAATGTCACTATATGAATCAAGTAAAAGGGAGTATAACTTCTTTTGTTACTAATTGGAAAAGACACGCGTCTGTGCTTTGCAAGTTCACAAACATCACAATGAAAATCTTCGACATTTAATCCTTTGAACAAAGAAGGAAACATGTTTCTCAAAGTTCCAAAAGAAGGATGTCCAAGATGAAAATGATAAAGCCAGATTTTGTCTTTATTGGAAGATTTTTCAGAAAGAAATGACAAAGGTAAACTATTCTTGATATTACTTGTGTTATTTGATGTCTAAAGATAGTATAGTCCATCCTTCTCCTTAGCAAGTCCAATCTTCTTTCTCGAACTCTGGTCCTGAAATTCACAATAAGAGGGATAAAAAGTCACTTTGCAATTCATATCTTTGGTAAGTTTTTGTATAGATATCAGATTAGTAGACAATCTAAGAACATGAAGAACATTTTTTAGAACAAACGAGGGATTAACTTGAACATCTCCTAATCCTGCCACTGTAGTAAGTGAACCATCTGCAACAACAATTTTCTTATTACTAGGACACAGGGTATATGTACTAAATTTTTGTGAGAAATGTGTCATATGGTCTGTGGTTCTTGAGTCAATGACCCAAGAACTCATAATAGGCTTAACTGAGACATTTAATCCATTAGAACCAGAAGCTTTACCTGAACTAGAGACCTTACCTAAGGAACATACCACAATAGGTTTTTCAAGGGTTTTCAATAGGTTTCTCAGCTTTTCAATCTCTTTCTCCTCGAACTCTCATTGTTTCCGAGACATCTGTAGTACTTCGGTGATTTTTTCAGTTGACGCTTTCTCAAATTGGATGGTAGTGATATCTTTCTTTGAACTGAAACAAGTCTTAAGATATAACTAAAAATGACTCTTAGCAATGAAGGCTAAAGAAGGGAAAAATAGAATGGCTATGAAGGCCTTAACAAGGTTCGACAATGAAAGGTCCTAAAATAAAAGTCAGCAATAAACGCTGAAAATTTTGCTTCCCAAGAAGAGCCTATAGCTCTGATACCATGTGAAAAAACTAAGAAATAAATCTGTGTGAAAAAGTAAGAGGAAAAATTGAATGTATATTGAAAAATTGCTCATTAAGAATTATACAAGAACCTTAGGTTTATATACAACTAAATAGGGGTTAAACTAGGAAACTAAATCTTCCTAAAAACCGATCCTATAATTGAGGGATTGTCTATCCTAATTTTTTGTCCTTAATTCTAGGGATACAAATACTTAATTCTAGAGATACAAATATAAATACATAGATTACAAGATTACAACCAGCTGTAAATAAATGTTTTCTCACAGACATCAATTTTGTGATGTGGAATTATATCTTTTTTTTTTTTTTTGTTTCCTGTTCCAGGTATATCAATTTGTTACACGAAGATTGGAGCAATATCTGGTGTGTATAATCTTTTTGCATTAAAGATTTTTTTTTATTAAATGCTTTTAAAAATGCAGTGAATGGAAAAGTAGGGATGATATTTGGTTAGCCAATTTGTTCACCTTTGGATTGTGTTCTATTCCATGCTAAAAGATGTTTGCAATTTTTTTTTTTATCTTAAAATGATTTTGGTATTTACTACTTCCAATCAAATAATCTGATTGTTAATTACATCTGGAATGAAAAACCCTTGATTTAAGAATAGAACAAAATAACAAAGCTAGTGGAGGTTATGTGTATTGTCAGTGCCATTGGAGAATTTTATGCAGATAGGCTGTATTTTTGGCTGCAGGTTGATAAGGGAATAAGTCCAGAAGTGGTCCGTTCTGCCCTTGCAGAGCGCGCAAACTTGCCTTGTCTGGCTGCTAGAACAGCACATAAAGTAAGTGAACTTGGTTGCTATTTGTCTTAGGTATTCATTTCTCATGTCTCTCAACAATGGCCAGCTATATCTATTCATGATTGTTTTATCTGACATGAAACTTCTTTATTGATATTGCTCAATTCGTACCTGACACTATACATTGTGCCATAATAGAAATTATATCTGGGTGAATTAACTGACTGAAGAGAAACCAAGAAATGTTCATTTTAATGCTGAAAGGGATTGCCTTGATTATGAAGATGTTTTTAATGGATGGACAAGGCTTGTGATTGTTTAGGCGATATATCATTGGCATCCTTGCTGCAAGGCAGGGTATGCTCACCTTATGTCTTTGTGTATGACTTGAATTTATATGTTTTTGACCAAAAAAGGTTTTCTTTCTGCGTAGAAGATGGGCTAATCTGTTACTGAATTTTAGACATGTTGGGGCATACATGTCTGTGGTGATGGATGCTGTCTAATTGGAATGTATTATGTTGTCATTTTATGTTGGAGTCTCATGCACTGAGCTGCCGTTTTCTCTATGTGCGTGTGTGTTTCTATATTTTTGTTTTTTTTCTCTGCCAGGGAGCTGCTGAATATTTTGTTTTGAGGGTTTTTTCGTGGCATGTTTAGACAAAAGATGAAAAGTTCCCCCCCCCCCTCCTTTTTCTTTTTTTTTTTTCTTTTAATTTCTCATCAATTTCCGGTATCCTCAAATATTATATGATAGCATATAAATATAAATGAATGCAGATGGAAGCCTTGTCGAAGGGCAATCTTTTCCCCAAGGTTGTAGAAGCATATTCTCGTCCAACTAGAATTGTCCGCGGAAAGGAAGTGGATGCTGATATTGAGGTACTATTACTCCCATGGGTACTAAAGCATTACCCGACATCTTTACATTTGAGCTTGATCACTGATATGAGCATTATCTCTGTATTGAGATCTTGACTGAAAATTGAAAATACTGTTCTTTCCGTCTTGGTTAGATTTTGAGTTGGTTTAGAATGTCCTCTTCTTCGATGGACATCGAGATATGAAAATTTTTGTCACATTCCTTATTGATTCATATAGATGCATCACTTGCAAATTCTGAAATCCGTTCTCATGGCGTTGGGATTTAATCTTATTAGGTGGATGATGCTGCATTTGAAACAAATGAAGAGAGAGCTTTATGGGACACTTTCTTGTCTGTTAAAAACAAAATTCACCCTGGTATATTCTCAGTTTATTACCAGCCTGCAAGTGCTGTTGACTTATCATCTTTTGCCGGAAAAATGGCACTCTAATTTAAGTCGATTGAATAACACTTTTCACAACTAACCCTGAAATCAAACTTTTTCTGATTATGCAGGTATTGAGGTCGATGATTTCGTTGAAATATCTTCACAGCTAGTACAACCTCTTGAGGATTTTTTCAACCAAGTGTTTGTGATGGTGGTATGTTGTTTTGGCATCTCACTTTAATCACTTATAATTTATTTATCTGATTGTTTATAATACAGTTCCATGAACTTGTTTCACGGGGCTAAAGTTGAAAATGCCGCTTTAAATTATGTCCAAAAGGATTTTTGGAGGTTTATTTGGCTTTATAATAACATATATAATAACAAACTTCATTGGAAACTGTATGTTCTATATACAAGTTCTGGGTAAACCTTTTGAACTCAAGATCATACATTTTCTTGAAAATAACTTTGTTTTTGAACTCAAGTTCTAAGCTCAAATCGAGTTGCTCGATATGAGCTTAAATAAACAGGTGTGTGACCCTATGATCCGTGATTAAGATTGGTTCATTTACAGTCTTGAACACGAACAAACTTGATATAGTTCCTCCGATGTGTAGGATGACGAAAGAATAAGAAAGAACAGGCTTTCTTTGCTCAAGCAAATTGCAGACCTTCCAAAAGGAGTGGCAGATCTCTCAGTTTTGCCAGGATTTTAAATTTTGACTGCCAACATTCTTTGAATAAACACCAAGTGGGTGTTTTCAATGGTGCTTTCTATAGAAAAATAATTTTACATCACAAAGCTTGTAAAATTTTGTATTAATTTTTATTAACTTATTGCTGAGCTGTAATTTTATCTTGTTTTATTTATGTTATTTACAAATAATAAAAAGAAAATTTGTAAATCCTTTCTTCATACTGTGAAAAAAAAAAAAAAAACCAAAAGGTTCTTCTAAGATGCATTTGGTATGTAATGGATTTGAGGTTTGCCCAATTGATGTCAACTTTACTCCATCAGTTTAATTTATAACCAGTGAATAAATTCTTTTTTTTTTCTTTTTTAAGATTTAGGTTCGATTTTTATTGTTTGTAATTCTGTTGATGCTCAATCGTCTCAAATCTCTGCCATTTTCATATTGTAGACTTTTATTTCAAATTATTTCGGTCTTATTGATTTTTACGTAATTTTAAAAAAATTAATTTTAATATATTTAATATTAAATTTTAATTTTGTTCTAAAATTAAAATTTTATGATTTTAATGTCAAAAAATAAAATAAAAATTTTAGATATTAAAAAATATATAAATTTGAAACATCTCAAAAAAATAAAGAAAAAAGGAAAAAAAAAGGGGGGAATTTGTGCTTCTTCGATCCTCATAGTAATAGAATGTAAAGAGGACAAGAAAAAAAATTCTCCAATATTACCATCAACGGCCAATATCGAACACGTGGCGTACAAATCGACCGTCCAAACACATTCACATTGGGGCAGACATCCTGCTAAGGTAAGCCGAAACACTTTCCATGAGTTCCAACTTGCTTCCGTATTCCATTATTCCATCCCATTCCATCCCATCCCATGATGGCATATCCGTAAATCTCACAAAAACTTAGCCCAAAAATGGAAACCCATTACCATTCTCTCTATGAATATGAGCATCATACAATCACATTTCAGTTAGGTTTCACTCTCTCTTCTCTTTTGCGGCTAGGGTTTTTCTATCTCTTTCAACTTTCCTTCGTTTTCTTTCTTACTTCACTTTTTCTCAGATCTATTTGTTTGAAGATTCTTTTGATTGCATAACAAAAGAAAATCTCAGATGGAGGTTTCATTAGAGTAAGGTTTAGGGGTCGAAAGATCGAATCTTTAAGGGGCTTGGAGGGGTAATTTGGGTATTTTTGATTGAACAAATGGCGAGCTTGAACCCTTTTGATTTGTTGGGAGATGATGATACTGGGGAAATATCATTGCTGATCGCTGCTCAGCAAAAGGCTGTTGCGGCTACCGCGGCCGCCGCTCCTCAGAAGGGACCTGCTCAATCTCAGGCTAAGCCGCAGCTTGCTACTCAGGCTAAACAGGCTAAGCTGCCCTCCAAGCCTCTGCCTCCTGCTCAGGCTGGTAAGCTTATCCTAAAACAAAGTTATCATTTTGAGCTTTTTTGTATTGTTTAGTGCTTCAATGTTGGTTTTTTTTTTTTTTTTTATATATATATAAAATGAATCATTTTCTGTTGGGTCTTGGGTTTAATGGATTGTGTTAAGTTAAAGTTACCTTTTTTAAGGGTCTGAGTTGTGGGTTTTTTCTCTAGAGTATGAATCATGTCAAGTTGAAAGGTTCTGATTTTTCGGATTTTATGTGTTTTGTTTCTTGAGCTGTGTTCAAATTGATGCTATTAGCTTTTTTGAGCTTAATGCTGATGTCTGTGCATTTGATTCTTTTTAGTGAGGGAGGCAAAGAATGAAGGTTCTCGTGGCGGAGGCCGTGGTGGGCGTGGATATGGACGTGGGCGCGGTGGTACTGGTGGATACAGACGTGATTCTGCCAATGATGAGAACTCATTCAGCAACAGTGCTGTACCTGCTGGTAAAGGTGCACCTGAAGATGGAGAGAGTGGAAAGCCCTCTGAAAGGCGTGGCTATGGTGGTCCTCGACCTCACCGTGGTGGTCGCCGTGGTGGTTTCGGTAATGAGGAGGCTGGAGATGGTGAACGACCTCGCAGGTTATATGAACGGCATAGTGGGACCGGACGCGGGTAAAAAAGTCTTGTTTAACTTTAGCTTGATATACTTTTTATTTCAGTATTTTATCAAAGTTTTGAAACTGATACGCTTTTTTTTTTTTGTTGTTTCTGTCTGCAGAAATGAGCTCAAACGTGAAGGCTCTGGTCGTGGGAATTGGGGAACTCAGACTGATGAACTTGCTCAGTGAGTAATCTTTAGTGTTTGCAATTCCATCCTTCAACAGAATTGTAAAATCAAATAACAATTACTTTGTTCTTCTTTCCTCTTTGTAATCATTGAATGAAGTGAAATATTGTTTTTGCCTTGTTTAGGGTGACTGAAGAAGTTGTCGATGAAGGTGAGAAGAACTTAGGTGATGAGAAGCCAGCTGGAGAAGAAGATGCAGGAGATGCAAACAAGGAGAGGCCTACAAATGAACCTGAAGAAAAAGAACCTGAGGATAAGGTAGGTTCACCTGATAAATTATCATTTTAGATCATTATTGATGCCGCAATCTTTGCTAATTGTAAATGTAAGCTGCTAACTACGGCTATTACCGTGTGCAACCTTTGATATTGTTATATTAATAGGAGATGACTCTTGGGGAGTATGAGAAGGTGCTGGAAGAGAAGAGGAAGGCTCTGCAGGCACTGAAGACTGAGGAAAGAAAAGTAGATGCCAAGGAGTTTGAGTCCATGCAGCAGCTCTCAAACAAGAAGAGTAATGATGAGATCTTCATCAAATTGGTAAGACCCACTGATTCGCATAGTGAGTTCTATTGATGACATATCTTATTAGTTGGCAAGTATGTATTTAGCTTCTGTTCTGATTAATCGACTTCTACAGGGCTCTGATAAGGATAAGAGAAAAGAGGCTTATGAGAAGGAAGAGAGAGCTAAAAAGGTATTTTTGCTTCCCTTTATTTGACCTGTTATAATTTGCCTGCCTTTCCAGTTTTCCCTGAGCCTTTATTGAAGTTCATTGGCCCCGGAACACATTTTGAACATCAACTATGCATTTTTTTCTGTATTTAAGGGACCATATTCTATACTGTCATCAAACTTCCATGATTTAAGATTTTATCCATAATCCTTTCTCTTCCCTGCAAAGCTTGCAAATGTGTCAGTTTCTGTTTATAATTTTTTACTATTCTGCCTAGAGCTTTATTATGTCTTTCTAGCATGTGCTGATCTTGTTTTAACTTGGTGGTTGTGGTAGTCTGTGAACATTAATGAATTTCTGAAGCCTGCTGAAGGGGAGAGGTACTACAACCCAAGTGGACGTGGGCGCGGTCGTGGGCGTGGCTCAAGAGGGTTTGGTGGAGGCAATGCAGCAAGTAATGTGGCAGCACCCTCCATTGAAGACCCTGGCCAGTTCCCAACTTTGGGGGGCAAGTGAGATTTCTCTAGAACCCCCAGTTACAATCTCCATGTTTTTTTGGATTTTTGGGTTATTTAAATTTTGGTCAGGAAATGAACTCAAATAATCTGGTTTCCTGTTTTCAAAGGATCTCTGAATTTTATGTTTTAAATTGTATATTTCAGTTTCCTGTAGTGCCCCCTCTTGTCATGCTGTGATCTTACTGTCCCCAAAAAAATTGGAGCCACGTGAAACAATTTTATTTATGACTAAAACTATTGTTGCTCAGTTTTGTTTTGGAATACGTTAAAACATTTGATGCAATTATTCCCAAGAATATAGGCAATGAGGTTGCTGTAATCTATTGACTTATCCAAGCATGTCAACTTTAACATTCTTGAGTTACTTGAACTTTGTCTAATCACAATCTGACTGGAAAAATTCCATCAAGTGCTCAACTAGAAAGAAAGCTTCAATATTTCCAGCTTTAATGGAAATGTTCTCTGGGGTCCTCCATTGTTGAAGATTTGCAAGACCAGATGCCACAACACGTGTTGATGATAATGGAGGGAGTAAAGCTGATGGATTTGAAGTGGATTCGTTATGGCTTTATGGATTTTGATATCAAGAGAATTGCTTTCAGTGAGTCTTAAGATTGCTATCATCAGCTACTAAAAGAGATTGATTAATTAACATATGGGCTTAGAAATAAATCTCATCTTATGAAAGCAATCGACAGTTGTATCAGCCATTTCTTCCTTGTAAATGAGTGAAAACGGTGGATGCTCCAATGGCGAACACCAAAAATTTGAAATGTCTTGTCTGTCCATTTTGCTTAAGTACGGTTGAATTTGAGGAATAATTATAGTTGGTAATGATATATTAATATCTATAATTATTGAATTCGATATTTGATTTGATCATTGTTAAATTAATTTTAAACAATTCAATTTATTAAATAAATTGAATTCAATCATTTTAATATCTGATTTGGATAATTTATGAATTTAATTATTCGATTTGAATAATTTATAAGTTTAATTAAATTTTTAAGTATTAATATATTTTTATTATTTTAATTAAAATTTTATTTTATTATTATTATATATTCGATTAAAATAATTTACAAATTTAATTATTAAATTTAAATAATTTATAAATTTAATTAAAATTTTAAATTTTAATATATTTTTATTATTTTAATATATATATCAATTTGAGCTCGAACATATAATCAATTACGAAATAAATATAAAAATTAAATTAATTTTTATTAAACAAATTTAATCGAGTAATGTCAAATAGCATAATTTTTATTTTAAAATTAAAATTCGATGAAATTTAAATTAAATTTTTAAAAATAAATTTCGAACCAAATTTAAAATTTTTTTATAACGACTCAGTATATGTAATTATATTTCAGTTGTCTTGTCTGTCCATTAACGTAATAACTGTTGAAGGACTACACTTCTTCATGGTCGTTAAGTTCAAAGCACAAACAAACTTTGGATTCCAAAAGTACAGGTTTTGTAATTGAATAAGACTGTCGGCAGCGTCAGGACAAACTGCCGCCGACCTCACACTCACACAGTCAGACTTGATAAAGAGATCATCAAGCCCAAAGTGAAATATTGGACCTTAGTTATCCAAAAACGATATCTTGGGCTGTTCGTAGAATACCAATCCATTTCAGTTGACCTGAGAGAGACAAAGAAAGATCAAAGAAAGATCAAAGTCGTTTCATTTCTAATGGTGTGCGTCTTTTATGGTCTCTGGTTTTCCCTTTATTCCTCTTCCTTGTCTCCATCTTTTCTCAGCTGACTTTTCAGGTGAAGATCTCGTTGACCCATCGCCGGAAGTTTCATCTGGTTTCCGGCGACCCCATCCTTCGATCCTCTTTCTTTCCTTCAGGTTACCATGAACCCTGAATAGTAAGTTTCTTTCAATTGTTTATTTATTTTTCCTTTATTTCCTAATTTTTCGACATTGGTTTTTTGTTCTTGTTGGTTTGATGACTTTAAATTACATGAGTTTGATGTCTACCAACAATTGTGGGTTGTTGAAATTAACCCCAGCATCATGATACGTTGTTTCAAATTTGTCGGTGGAATTGAGATGTTCTATTGTCTTCTGTTTTTGTTTCTATTATTGTCTTATGTACAAAAAAATGTGTGGGAGCTTTGATGTGTTCCTTGTTGTTCGTGTGTTGCCCTTATTGTTATCTATGTAACAACATTAACAACAAACTAAGTCTTGTATCCCATGACTCTGAGGCCAGCTATATGAAAAGCCAAAAAAAAAAAAATCATGTTAGATCGTAGTTTTGAATCTTCTTGCGTCAGTCATTTCTATAAAAAACAACCTTTTTATCTGGGTGGAATTGATGTCAATTAACTGGATTTAGGTGGAAAATAAACTCTTAATAAATAACTTGTGGTATCTAATTTTTTTGCAGAAAAATCCAATATGTGTTGTTACATCGATTTTTTTTTTAATGAAGAAAAAAATCTGACTTAAAAAACTGCCCATTTTTTTCGTTTTCCTGGATTGATGTAAGAAACATGTGCTATAATTTGATTGAAATCAGTATTCATTTTAAATTGCACATTCATGATGCACCAGCAAAATTAAGAATCAACTGACGATGCCTTGGAATTGTAAGAGTTAATCTTGGGGCAGTTAATTTGGTGTTCCAGTTAAACCATTGTTGCGGTTTCCAAAAAATGTCTCTGTTTGGGAATTGAGGGTCAGGCAGGCCTGTTTTGTAGAAACCAACTTTATGTTAGGCATGGTATAATTGGAAATGTTATGTGCTTGCACCTTTGGAAAGGATTTCAATTATCCGATTGCACTCTTTTGCAGTGACTATCTGTTCAAGCTTCTGCTTATTGGAGATTCTGGTGTTGGAAAATCTTGTCTTCTTTTAAGATTTGCTGTAAGTTTCTTGACTTAAATTGGAATTCGAAAGTAAATGCCTTTACTTTTTAGAGATCTATTTACCTTTTCACACATTCCTTGATGTTTACGTGATTGCCTCGAATGTTTCATTTCATGTTTGATGTTATAGATTGTAGTAATGATTCATTAAAAAGTTTTATTGCATATACAATGTATCAATGAGTAAAATTTATATTGGCATCACAATCTTCTCGCTGTTTTTAGTTGTGTATTGGATATATAAAAAATCCGGATATTTTCAGATGGTTATGCAGGACTAAATCCTGAACTTGATCACTTTGTAATTTCTTTATGCAGGATGATTCGTACATAGAAAGTTACATAAGCACCATTGGGGTTGATTTTGTGAGTAAACAGTACTTAGTGCTAACTGGACTTTTAAATGCCTAAACTTATAGCAATTATTCTAATTTTGTGTCTTCTCAATTTCTTTTTTGGTAGAAAATACGCACTGTGGAGCAGGACGGGAAGACCATTAAACTTCAAATTGTATGTTTTCGCATGCTGTACTGCTTTTTCTTTTTATTTAATTTATTTCTTTGAATATTTTCTGTCCTAGGTTATTTTGGGGTAATATGCCTGGCCGGACAATGGGCTGTCTGTTCACCCTCTTCTTTTGCTGCTACTGTTTCCTTTTGTATTTTTTTGATTTTATCAATTTACTCCTACTAAGTAGATCATAAACTTTTCGATGACTAACTAGTTAGTTCGCTGTTGGTTCAATGTACAGTGGGATACTGCTGGACAAGAACGATTTAGGACAATCACTAGCAGCTACTACCGTGGGGCTCATGGCATAATCGTGGGTGATCTTTTCCTTTCTAGTTTTCTCCTTTTGGTTCCTTTTTGTCGTTGTTTCCACTCCTTATTTATGCTTCTTATAGACTTCTTTTATCTTTTTCTTTTCCCTTTTACTGGTGGCTCCTCTATTAGATTGTTTATGATGTCACAGACCAAGAAAGCTTCAATAATGTCAAGCAGTGGCTGAATGAAATCGATCGCTATGCTAGCGATAATGTTAACAAGCTGCTGGTTGGAAACAAGTGTGATCTTACCGCAAATAAAGTTGTGTCGTATGAGGCTGCCAAGGTACTTGCTAGTTTCACATGCAAAGCATATATTAGTATCTTTTGAGGAAAACCTTTTATAACAGGTTTATTTCTTGGTAGAGGTTGTGATTATCAAAATGTAATTGTTGGTGTTATGCTGCATCCGTTGCCCGGTCCTTTCTCCATATTTGCTGCTTTTCTTCTTTCAGGCATTCGCGGATGAAGTTGGCATACCTTTTATGGAAACCAGTGCAAAAGATTCCATGAACGTCGAGCAGGCTTTCATGGCCATGGCTGCTTCCATCAAGGATAGGTACCTCTATTTTTTTTTCCCTAAAATTATGCTAAAAACTCAGGTTGATAATAAAAAAGTCATTGTAGTTCTAGAATTATATACAGTTGATTAGCGTTTCCTTGCTGTTGGGGTTTATTATTCAATCTATAAGAAAAACCTTGTGGATCGACGAACCGTTTGTTATGATATTTCCCTCAAAAGCCTTGGTTCCTATTAATCAACAATTACTTACTGTGTGTTTTGCTCACTCCTTAATATTGCCTCCGATTGCAGAATGGCAAGCCAACCGGCCATGAACAATGCAAGGCCTCTGACAGTACAGATCCGAGGAGAGCCTGTTGCTCAAAAGAGTGGCTGCTGCTCTTCCTAAAAATTCAACGATGTATTAGGAAGCTCTCTTTCTTCTGCAGTATGCTGCCTCTCGTGGCCTGCCTGTAAGATTACATGTTTCTCGTCAATGGCAAATTTATTTGTTCTGGTTCATTTCTACACACTTGTTCATGTGAAAGGCTTGTATGATGTATGATTGTTGATTCAATAATAATGTTCTTTGCTTTCTCATGCCAAGTATTCTTCAAGTGTGGTTGTTAATATGCCCGGAACTGAAAAAATTGGCTCGAGAATTATGATGAAAAATTTCATCTGCAACGATAGAAAATTTTGTCGATAATTAATAATTAATTAGGGTAACTCTACCTACCAAGAAAAAAAAAAAACTACATATTATATTATTTTCTTAAAAAAAAAGTGTTATCAATTCAAGAAACTGATAGAATTGTTAAGTTTTATTTTTAAATTATTGGATGCCAAAGTCTTGCATTTGAATTAAAATAAAGTTTTTGTTATAAAAACAAATACCATCCATCCAAAAAATCTGGACATATCCTAATTTTTTTTTTTTATAAAATGATTCTAAATTACCAAATCAATTATGTGTAAAGCTCAAATTCTGATTTGTTATGCAAAAGGGTTGAATTATTTGGGTTTATAAAGGAGATAGACGCCATTGACTTAGCTTCATCCAGATTGGGTTTCTATGAAGGTAGGCCATAAAGTTGATCTGCATTTATCTTCCATGACATCGTTGAACTGGGGAAACTTCTCTTAAGTCGCCTGATGAGAATTGGTAATCGCCGTCAAGCATAATTCGTATATGTGTATCCCGTTAATATCATATCAAATCCATATAAAACATGAAAAATTATCGAGAGTCCCGAGTAGACAGTTTCTATGGAGTGTAAGCCTCTCGAAAGGTAATGAAGGCGTGCAACAGCTTCCTTGGGTTGAATGGAGATTGGCCCTCGAGTGCAAAGGCAGAAGCGAGCTTGACTGCAAGACTCATCCGTCAAGCAGGGACGAATTTGACGGTGACGAAAGTCGGCTTTAGTAATCCGACAATGAGACTAGAAGAGCCGTCGCTTAATTGATAAAAGTTCTTTAGGAATAACAGGCTGACATGTCAAATTAAATAATATTTTTTTGTATTATTTTTATATCATATCATTTATCATCGTATTTAAAATTATGGAATATAACCAAAATAGTTAAGAGTAAACAGTAGAATCAATGGCAGATTTCTTGTGAACAAACAAAGGCATGTTCCACCAACCCCACCAACTGCTTAACCATTCATTTTCAAAGTATGTGATTATCATTCATATGTTTTTTAACTACAATTGAGTTTAATATTGTATCAGACAATGATGGAATTGAAAGAAACATCAAAGAACAGCCATTGATGCATTAATTTGAGTAAATTTTCAACAACTTTCACCCCATAAATTTATAAAAGCGAGAGATCAAAGTTTATCAGGCTGCTAGCCAAACCTACCATATGATTTTTTATTGAAGTCAGAAGAGAAAAAAGCAGCCATATGTATTTTCAAATCGATTTGGTGAAGGACAAGGTAGAATAAAACTGAAGCTGCTTGACTTCTGCTTCTATAAATTATTGTCCAATCTCAAGTTAGGTTCACCTTTCTATTCAACAATACAACGTGCTAAGAGGCTCGCTTTAAACATGGCTTTAGCAGCTTCTCTACTCGTTCTTCTGCTGGTGACTCCAGCAGCTTATGCCGTGCAATACACCGTAGGCGACAGCGCTGGCTGGACCACCACCGGAGATTACACCAGTTGGGTTCAAGGGAAAACATTCACCGTAGGCGACACACTTTGTAAGTTACCTACCAAAACCAACGCGATTATTTTTATACATATTATAAGTGGATAAATAAATAAAAAAAAAAAATCTTTGAATCCGTCACTAACAAAAAAATATGATCCTTCGATTTTTGTTAGTGTTCAGCTATGATGGGAGCCATGGGGTGGAAGAAGTAACCAAAAGTGACTATGATAATTGCAACACTGGAAATTCTCTCAAATCCTACAGCGATGGAAACACAGTCATCGCTCTGTCCAATACAGGGCCAATGTATTTCATATGCCCCACCATTGGACATTGCGCTGGAGGCATGAAACTAGCCATCAATGTTGTAGCAGCCAGCGGCAACTCACCCTCCAACCCATCATCACCATCTGGTTCAACCACTCCTTCAGGGAGCGGCGCACCTGGCAGCATGAATGGTGGTTTGATGCTAGGCTTTTGGCTCGTGTTGGGGGCCGTCCTTGCCATCACGAGCTAGGAGAGTGGCAGTGCTATTTTAATTGGCTTTGATTATTGCTTTTGTTTTCTTCAATCTCTGTGATTTTTTTTCCCTTTATGAACCAGAGATGTAGTAGATTTCTGTTTATTTGATCTGCTTAATAATTTACCTTAATTCATGATACGACATGGTTTTTACTTGTAATTTGAAGAACAATGAGAAATACCAATAAGAAACGACACCGAGACTAGGGTGTAAACAATGCATCAATGTTCTCAAGTTATTCGGATTTTATTTAGATAAAATTCGAATTTGATTCAATTATTATTGAGTCGAACAAACATTTGAACAGTTTGACTTATCGAATGAATCGAACTCGAGCATTCCAATGTTTAATCAAGTAATTTACGAGCGTAATCAAATTTTTAAATTTTAATATATTTTTATTATTTTAATTAAAAAATTATTATTTTATTATTATATAAATTAATTCGAACTCAAACTCGAGTTAAAATGCATAATCAAACTTAAAATTAAGTATAAAGATTAACTATGCTTTTATTAAATAAGCTTAATAGAATAAATTTAAATAATTTAATTTTTATCTTGAGTTAAGTTTAAAAATTAAAATTTAATTAAAATTAAATCGAATTTAAGTTAACAATTTTCAAATCAAGTTTGAATTCAAAAATTTTACTGTATAAATTTGATTTAACTCGATTATACTCCTAACTGAACAATACATAATTTTATTAATGTCTTGAGTTACATGATGATCATATCATGAACCCTCTTATTTCATTTCTCATATATATATAATAATTAAATTAAAAATTGATTCATATATTTATTTTACGTAAAAACCATCAATGTCGGTCCAGTAATTAACTTTCACCACTTAATAATTTCTCCCAAAATATGAATACAAATGCATTAAAATATAGTTCAATTGAATGATTTTGCTAGCAGCAAATTTCAAAATTCAATAGAAAATTATTAATATAAAACTCAACATATGAAATTAATTTTAAAAATAAATGGAGCCTACAAGAGTCACAGCCAAACCCAATCAAACTCCTATCAAAGAGAATATTTGAGCAGAAAGAATTCGTAACATTTGACAATAACAGCATAACCATAATTAATGTATTTCATGAACCAAATTTAGTTTTAAGTTCAGTAAGACATCACTATCAATTAGTTTTCAGTTAATTTTAATGTTTTATTGTCAGCAGCTACTGAATGGTGCGTAAATAAAATATTGGATTCTTAATTTAAGTGAAACCGTTTTAATTTCATTAGATAACAATCTTAATTAAAAACAAAAAGATTTCCCACATCGAAATGTTTGCGGGTGCAAGTATAGTTTATATGGAGCTCCATGTTAGCTTCTTGTGCATTTTGTCTCTGAAAGGCAAAATATGAGTGTTCCTCTGTCTCGCGATTCCTCAGCAATGGTTTCCTCAAAAATGGTATTTTGGTGTTTCAGGTAAATAGGGTACTTGCTTCGCATCAGGTAAGTTTCCTTTACCTGAATGTTTGGATGTGCGACTGTAGTTTACTTAAGGCTGTGTGTTAATTCAAGTTATTTTTTAAAAATATTACAAAAAAAAAGTATTAATGTTTTACTGGTGAGTCATATATCACCTAAACTCAGTAATTATTATTAGGTATATTTATATCATATAAAATATTAATAATTTATATATTTATATTATATTTTATATAAAAATTATATAATATAATTAAATATAAAATATATATTTTTAATTTTTTTAATTTATATATAATTTTTATTAAAATTTTAAATCATATTCGTATATTTTTTATATTATTTTCGTGCTGAAAAATGTCAAGCCAATGATTAAAAGCCCAAACCAAACAAAACACTGAAGGCCCAAGAACTGGATTTTTGGTGGGTGATATGAGTTACCCAATTAGATTTCACATTGACCCATCAACAGATCCAGAGAAACCCACTGTGTTCTTTGTTTTACTTTCCTGTTTAATCGAGAATTTGAGAGAAAAACAGAGGTAAAACAATGGCGGCGACCGAGGACGACAGCGGAGAGTTCTACCTCCGTTGCTAAGTCGGACATAAAGGGAAATTCCGGCACCAATTTTTGGAGTTCGAGTTCAAGCTGATGGGTAGCTCCGATATGCTAACAACTCCAGCTACAAACACGACACCATGATCCGCAAAGAGGTCTTCCTCACCCCTGCCATTCTCAAAGAATGCCACCGCATCATCTCCGAGAGCGAGGTTCTCTCTCTTTTGTAATTTTTTCTTTGATTCAACCTTGCCTAGGGTTTGACAGAAACACAAGTGAAATTAGTTATCTTAATTTTAGTGCAAAATTTGAAAATTTTCCTTGTTTGATCGGTGTATTTTTCAAATAAGGATTTAGGGTTTGTTGCCTTTTGATTAATGTTTTACAATTTTTTCCTTAAATCAACTTATGCCTAGGGTTTGATAGAAACACAATGATGTGTTCTCTTTCTTACGGACTACAAATTTTGTAACTGAAATAGAAAAATAAAAGAACAGGGAAAGAAATAGAGAAGATGGCCAGAGAAGGAGAAGAAGAAACTTCAAGGGGAGAGGAGATTCATTTCATTTCACATAACAGAATGCCTAGTTCTCCCTTTTATCTAGTCTCACAGCTGTAAACTCCCAATCTTCCCGCTACATGGCACACTCACTGCCTCCTCCAACAGAATATCAGTTGAGCAATAAGGAAAAGGCCTCGGCCATACAATTGGTAAAATGAAACAGGCCCAATTCAAGAATTAAAAACAATAAACCCATCATAAAATCAAATACAATAAATTGGCATGTAACAAATACTTCCCGTCGAAAAACATCCTTGTCCTCAAGGATGAATCGCAGAAACTTGTAAGGCCACAAAGGGCATTACCACCAAGGATTTCATCCATTAGAGCATGGATTGAAGTATACTTGCTGTCAGCTTGTTTTCTAGAAAAATTTTTCCTAGCTTCTGCTACATCCTGTTTCTCATGCTTGGAAGATGTTATGTGCTGGACTAGCATATCAGTGAAGCTTGAGGCTAAACTCAAAACAGTATTGCAAGTCAGCCTTAGCAAGGGCCTAAGTTCTGTTATCAGCCAGTCAACTTTGTTTATAACAACTACAACAGATAGGCACTCTAGTATCGCATGACGTGTAACCTTCTGTGCGTTTATCATCACTCCTTTAGCAACATCAACAATCAACATGATTTTTGTTGCATAAAAGGCAATCTTACACCCAAGCTTTTGCAGATCAAGTGAAAGATTTTTGGAAAGCTTAGAGTGTAATCCTTTTAGCGCAAGAACACCTTCATTAAGTTGTTTGAAGAATTTAGCATGGATCCAAAAGTGGATACACCTTGCAAGGACTTTGAGTAACAATGGTCTGTTTCGCCAACAAATGTGTGGAAGGTAATGAAATTACGCCTCGTACATCAGCTTCTTAACTTTGAAGTGTTCCATAATATATAAGTCTGTAAATTCACTTTCATCTCCCCAAATTAGGTTGTCTTGCAAGATTGGCACTACAAACACAGCTTCAAGAATTTTAGCTATAACAACAGCTTCAATAATCTGATTCCTCTGCAGATTTAGTTCTTTTATAACCACAATAACTAAAAACCTGTTTTTAGATAAGTTCCCAGAACCCACATAAACTAGTACTGGTGATATGAGCCATTTGTTTGACTTAATATTGTTTGGAATCCGCTCAACAAAGTGTGAAGAGCTATTGTTTTGAACATTAATCATTTGCTCATAGTGGTGAGCTCCACGTGAGGTGAGAGGAGCAAATACAACCATAAAGAACTGCAGACGAGGGAAAAGAATGAAGCTAAGTTTTCGGAGGTCAGAGTGGAGTTGTCCAGTGAACTTAAGGCAGCATGTGATAGCAATCATAGTTGCATATATCCAATGATTCAGATCACCAAAGCTAATACTCAACTTCAGAATCTTGAAATAAATATCATACAAAGCCTTACAATTGTCCATAACGAACACCCTCCTAACATAGAGCTTATTGTTCTTCTTAGCCTCAAAGAGATCAAATGAAACCTTCTTAATTTGGTACAATTAGAATAGCCTTGAACTCAAGCTGACCTTCAATAAAAAAATGCTTGACAACAAGGTGCTCTTCCCAATCATTAGTCAAGCTTTTGTAGAAACAGACATACTCCTCCTTAGTTATCTCTTTAGGCTTATGCAACTAGATTGGTTTCTGCTTATTAATGAGTTGCCACTCATAAGACACTTCCTTCATCCTTCTCTCTAAAATACTCTAGAACCCTTGATAAAAATCTTCACCTCCCAAATAAGTGTCTCCAATTATGGAAATAACCCCGAATACACCATTATCAATTGACAAGATATTGGCATCAAATGTTACCCCATCAAGGTCAGAGACAAGAATGTTTTTCTCACCACCCTTCTTGTCCAACCCATAGGCAATGACAGCTACAATTGGTTCCTTGATAATCCTTACCATATTGAGCCAAGCAATGATGTTAGCATCCTTGGTGGTTTGCCTCTGAGTATCATTACTCCTTAGTCCCATTATCAAAAGCCTAAACCTGTAAGGATCAAGGACAACAACAAACTTTTTCCCAGTCCCCAACAGTATTGAGCAAGCCATTACAAACTTCCCACTCTCTTCAACAGCCCTCAACAAGGAAGATTTAGCAAAATTTTCATTGTACCCAACAGACATAAACCCATTCTATTCAACAAAAAGTTGCATTTTCTTTAATGCAAAAGACCAAACAGTCGAGTGTTCAGCATGTTTAATAACCATTTTGCAATTTAATTCATAAACCTTAGAGTCATTCAACACTTGAGATACTAAACAAACCCTGATGAATGAAGGTAAGGACTTACTAGTCATTATGAGATCAGTAGTTAAGGACAAAGGCAAAAGGACGGTTGCTGCCATAGATGATTTTTGCTCAGCTTCCTGGTTCTCCTCCATATGCATCTTAGATTCACTAATGGCTTCACTAATTTTGTCCAGACTAGCAGATAACTGGTTAAGTTGGGAACTAACGTTTTTCAGGTCGGATTGAATATCTTCACACAATCACTGAAACATATTGTCCAATCTGGATTCCAATCGTTCCATAAGTTTTTGCAACAAAGTATCATCAATTTGAAACCTGGTTGTCACCTCCATGGCCAAGATCGCAGCTTTGATACCACTGATGCGTTCTCTTTCTTACGGACTACAAATTTTGTAACTAAAATAGAAAAATGAAAAAACAGGGAAAGAAATAGAGAAGAAGGCTATTTGTAATTTAGGGTTTGTTACCTTTTGATTTCCAGTTTTGATCGATGCCAATTTGTGTAATTTTATGCTTTTACTACTTTTAGCTTTTCATATTTCTTCATTTTCCAGGTGGGTTCTTGGATTTACCCCTCATTATGTTCTTCTTTGATAGGTTAAAGAGATTTTGTTTTTAGTTGATAATTTATTATTTCTGTGACTTATTTAATTTCTGTTTCTTTTAATGCTCATTATGGTTTAAATTTGCAATTTTTATCTTTTTTTTAATGGTTTCTGATATTGGTAAGATTTGTTCATTTGCATAGATGATGAATAGATGATAGCAACTGGCCAGAGCCTGACCGTGTTGGACGACAGGAGCTTGAGATTGTGATGGGGAATGAGCATATCTCTTTCACTACTTCAAAGATTGGCTCACTTGGTGATGTTCAGAGCAGTAAGGATCCTGAAGGGCTTCGCATATTTTACTATCTGCTGCAGGTCAGCTACCATACATTGTCAATCTGCCATTTATTCTCTTCATCCATGTCCCATTCCCCTTTTGGTTTTTGTATTGTATCCTTGAGTATTGGAAGATGGCTTTATTTCTCTAACATGGTAATGTGAAATGAAGTACGGACGCTCGATGATTGATACTTGTTAATTTGTTTCTCCATTGATACTTAATTTCGTGTTTGCTTTTAAATTGCGATGCTGAAAGACAAGACTAAAGTTTGTTTTTGCTCCTCTTTCAAATGTACATTTGAAAAGAATTATAAAAATAGTTATGATCCGTAGTGGATCAGCCTTAAGGGTGATGAATTTGATAAGCTCACCACACCCAGTATCTAACAATAGAGATTAGAGAAACATCTGATGCCTGGTCATACTCGGAATCTGACCAGGCTTTTTCCAAAAGGTGGAAGAGCTTTGTAAATGTCATCTTCAGCTGTTTATCTGATTCCTCGTGCTCGTGCATGCATTGATGCATGTAGTAACTCTTGTTGTGCTAAGTTTAAACAGTGGCGGATTCAGGATTTTTTCCCGATGGTCTCTACTTACAAAATATATAAAGAACTGCAGATGGATTTATCAATTTTGTTGATTGGAAGGGCGCCAGGGGAAAAGGGTGGATCCGCCCCTGCGCTTAACAGGCTATAAGTTTTATTGGTTCTACTGCCTTCTGCTCATGTATCTTTGGTCTTATTGGCATTTTATGTTACTGCAGGACTTGAAGTGCTTTGTATTCTCTCCCATCTCACTTCACTTCAAGATCAAGCCCATTTGAAGAATGATAATCCTCTTCCATGTAGAGGTGTCTGCTTTTGTTATAGCTGCCATTTGCCTTTTCTTTTTTAGACTGTTAAGCTAAAATGTATGGCTGTACTTGTACCTTTGCACTTGAAATTCCCCTCACCTTTTATTGGGTGTACACTTAAAAGGAATTCTCGTATAAAATATTTAAGTTCATATATTAGTGTTATATTTTATAAAAATTATATATCATAATTTGTATTAACATAAAAATATAAAATATATTATATTTATTTTATTAAATTTATATATAATTATTATTAAAATTTTAAATCGTATAATTTTTTTTTGTATTTCCTTAAATTTTTAATATTGGCTTTCAAAGAGAATTTATCAGACGGAAAAAACAACTGAATAAATAAACATGTCAATTTTTTTAAAAATATATCTTAATTGGAGATAAAATTTTTTTTTAATTTTAAATTTATTAAAATAATTATATAAATAATTTTGATTTTTAACAAAATATATCATATTTGATTAAAGTCTTTTTTCAGGTAATTTGTTGTTATATTTTACATGAACATATTATTTATTATAATTAATCAATTATAATTTAAAATTAAGAATTTATAAAGAGTTCATATTTATAAAAAGAATTTTTATATAATTTTTTATTATAATTAAATAATTATAAGATTATAATAAAAATGTCTTTTAATATTATAAATAATTTTAAATATAATAAAATATTTAATATAATATTTAAATTTTAAAAATTTTAATGTAATATATAAATTATGAATTTATTAATTAATGTAATAATTATTTTTAATTTGACGAATTTTAAATGATTAGTAACTAATAAATAATTTTTTAAACATCACATTATTATACAGTTAAAAAAACAAAAGAAAAAAAGAGAGTGATAAGGTAATAGCTCCTTGAGAAAAATATCCAAGCTTTGACGAATCGGGACACAGGATATTCTCTTGCAACTAGGGTTAGGGCTTGTAACTGTACTGTGTATATAAAAGGACCTTAACTCACTGAGACAGAAGAACAAGGAGGCGACCAACGCTTAGACAGAAAGAAAAAGAAAGAGAAGATGGAGCAAACGTTCATCATGATCAAGCCTGATGGGGTCCAGAGAGGCCTGGTATTGCTTCTATTTTACTGTTAATGTTTCATTTTTTTCACTTTGTTTGATTTCCTTAACTGGCACAAAATAATAGTAAAAAAAAACAACCTTGGGTGCCTTTCACTTTTTCAGACAATAACTCATGTTCGGTTTCAGTTGCCTAGGCTCAAGTGAAGTTTGTAGTTAAGTTCTTTGATTGTGGGTTGAAATTGAGAAACTTTGGTGTTTATGGAGATTCTTTTGTTTTTCAGGTTGGTGAAATCATCAGCAGATTTGAGAAGAAAGGTTTCTATTTGAAAGGTAAATTTGTCATTTTTCCTGATAATTTTCTCTGTTTTTGCCCATTTCATTATATTCCCAAGTTCTCAATTCATCATGAGCCTTGAGTTAGGGATGAGGAAAAAAGTTGTAAAAACTGAAAATCAATTCAAAATTGTAGTGTTCAAGACGGATAGTTTTCTTTTTATTTGGTTCAGATTAAGTTTGGATATTAAATGTATATGTTAGGTTTGGATCAAATTTCGGATTGGAAAATGAAAAACCAAACAAAATCGAACTGAATGGAATTATATACTTTTATTAGTTTATATATATTAAATTTTTATAAGATAAAAATAATAAATTTATATTAAAATTTATTTAAATATATGAAAATCGATAAAATTTGATTTGGTTTGGATTGGATTATATGAGGGGTCGGTTCGGATTTGGATCAGATTTTAAAATTTTATAATGTTGTACAATATGCAAAAAAAGTTGAAACGAATTCGATCCAATCCATTAAGACTCCTACCTTGAATTTAATAGACAAAATGCATGTTGGTTTTCTAAGTCTATTGAATTTATTACTACTATATATGATTGAGTGGAAAATATGTGTCTAATTTAGGTTTGAAGTTCATCACTGTGGATCAATCCTTTGCCGAGAAGCACTACGCAGACCTGTCTGCAAAGCCCTTCTTTAATGGACTTGTGGAGTACATTATTTCCGGTCCTGTTGTTGCTATGATTTGGGAGGGTAAGAATGTTGTTACAACTGGTCGCAAGATTATTGGAGCCACTAACCCTGCAGAGTCTGCTCCTGGAACAATCCGTGGTGACTTTGCAATTGACATTGGCAGGTATAAACTATTTTGTTATTTACCCTTGAGTAAATCTGATAATTTAAAATACGACATGGTGACATGATACGAAATAAGACACGAAGGTGATATGGTTTAAAATTGTAGGAATAGCTATATATGGATTTAACAAAACAAAAAAACTATATTTCATATTTTCGTGTTGTCACGGATTGTGATACACAATTTTTATGTAAAACACTATGAATACATGAATTTTAATATTTTACATGACACAAGTATATGAATCGTCATGCCTACCCTCGAGCTGACAGTGTATCATAGCAATATGTGTTGATTGGGGTTGCTTTTGCAGGAATGTGATTCATGGAAGTGATTCAGTTGAAAGTGCAAGGAAGGAAATTGCCTTGTGGTTCCCTGAAAACCAGGTTAACTGGCATAGCAGCCTTCACCCCTGGATCTATGAGTAGGTTGTTTGGGTCTAAAGCTGTAGCCCTTTGTGGCATCGTCTTATTCCTGTTTCCTTTATCATGTTTGCTTCTTGCCTATGGTGCTGTTTAAGATGTTTGTCTGATGCCTGTATTTATGTGCACTTGTGGTAGTATGTTATTGTGAATCAAGTGCAGAAACTTTGTAGCATCCTTGTACGAGTCGAATTTCATTTGGTGACATTGGTGTTTGAATGCTCTGGGTTAATCTTTGAGGTTTCCTTTGGTGTGGAGAAATCAATACTTGCCTAATGCTGAGTTGAATTTTACAAATTTCACTATAGAACTTCACTTAAAATTTTCTCTATCAGAAGTCAATCTGAAACAAATCAAGCAGTTCATGCTAAATCCTAATAGGGGTGTAATTCAATCTAACCAAATTGATATGGGAAGAAATTCAAACCTGAACTCGAATTTTAAATTTTAAGTTTAAATTCGATTTGAGATAAATATTGAGTTATTTAAGTTTGTTTGATAAGATTCATTTATCAAATAAAAAAAAGAGTTTGATTTTTATATTTAACCTTAGACTTGATTATTTGTGTTGGAATTCAAACAAAAAGCAGCCATAAAGAGATAGGAGGATGACTCAACCTTGTTTTTTTTTTAATTATGCGTCAATGGTTATTGGGTTTTATCTAATAATTTTTTTCCCGGATCTGATCAAACAAGTTTATTTATTTATCTCATTGTAATGATTAATTCTGCTTGGCTATATTTTTTATTAAAATTTAAAAATTTAATTAAATTTATGAGTTATTTAAATAAATATTTTAAATATTTAAATTTAACTAATTCAAAAAATTAAATTATTTAAATTTAAATTTAATTAAATAATAATCTAATCGAATTTGAATTTTATTTCGGTTAATCTCAAATAACTTTTTAAGGATTGATATATTTTTATACTATTTAATAATAGAGATCATGAAAAGGAAGGGGAATTTAATAAGGTAATAGCTGAAAATGGAAAATGGGCTTGACTCTGGAGCATTGGGCTCATGCAACAGGCCCTTTAACTACTGTTCTGTCTCTGCTCTCTGAAGGAATCACTACAGAGCTTATCCTCGACAACACAAAAACCGAAGTAACCAAAAACGCCTCTTCACTCTTTGCTTTGGGTTGCAATCTCTTAAACCATAGCCAAACAGACATGCTTCTGCAGCCTTCTTCGCTGCTGACTCACCGTGTTTCTCTCTTGTCAGCCTCTTCTTGCTGTCGACAGCTTCCATGCCGAATCCCCCAATCCCAAAAGCTTCCAATCACATGTTCCATATCTCAAGTCCATAGCTATGGAACCATGGACTATAAAAGAAGACGCATGATGAATTGGAACGTTATATACAGGAAAATATCGCTCGTGGAGAATCCTGATTTGGGTTCTGCCACTGTGCTGAATGACTGGGAAAAAGGAGGCAGGAAGCTCAACAAATGGGAGCTTTCTAAGGTTGTCAAGGAGTTGCGTAAGTACAAGCGTTACAAGCAAGCTCTTGAGGTAAATCAACAAATAAAAGTGATTTTTGTGTTCTCTTTGGTGTTTTTGGTGTGTTTGATTTCTGGGTTTTTGTTATCTGTTGTAGATATTGATTGGTTGACTCTATAAATTTCTGAATAATTACTGGGCATTCAAGTTTTTTGATAAATGTTGATGCTTTGGTGTTTTAAATGTGATTTAATTGACGAGTTTAAGTTATTCTCAGTAAAAGTTTATTACTTTATTGGTTGCTTCATGAACATATGTACATTCGAGATTGAAGGTAAAGTTTTTTGGAAGTATTTGCGTGCCTCAAGGATCCTAATAACCTGTCAAAACCTATAGACAATCATTTTTAATGAGCATTTTCACTCAACTGGATTGAAAGTCTTGCCTCAGATTATGAATTTGCAGCAAGCAATAGCTATTATGGTGAGTTAGTATTGATGAATGTCCAATGAGTTTGAGACACAGTTTGGAAAAATAAGTTAGTTCAAATAGGACAAAAGAAAATTTTACTGTTGATGGACTATGTTCTTTTCAGCATACACATAGAGTCCTCCAAAAGAAGTTGAGGAATCTATCTCAATGGCATAGAATTTATTGTGTTGTAATGTATTAGCACATTTTGGGTGACATTTTCTGGAGGCTGAGAGTTAGAAATGATTGTTATTTTGTCCTAAAATTTAGGCAAAATGGCAAGATGTTATACATTTATCAGAGGTCACGTAGTGGGAAAAGGCCTAGTTTGTTGTTGTTGATCAGTGCAGTGGATGGCCCCATAAAATTGTCAAACTTTAGGGAAGTTTACACTGTTTAGTGCCTTTGTTCAGTAGAGCTATTGCTGTTCTTGTATCAGGCATTTTTTAACTTTTCCACCGTTGTGCAGGTGTATGAGTGGATGAACAACAGAGGAGAGAGGTTTACATACTCTGCTAGTGATGCTGCAATTCAGTTAGACCTTATTGCTAAGGTGCAGGGAGTTTCAAGTGCTGAAGATTTCTTCCTTCAACTCCCTGATGCTTTGAAGGACAAAAGAATCTATGGGGCTCTTCTGAATGCCTATGTGCGAGCTAAAATGCGAGATAAGGCAGAATCTTTAATTGACAATATGAGGAATAAAGGTTATGCCTTGAATGCCCTTCCATTTAATGTTATGATGACTCTATATATCAAACTCAAGGAGTATGATCAAGTTGAGTCCATGGTTTCAGAAATGATGGAAAAAAACATACGTCTGGATTTATATTCCTATAACATCTGGTTGTCATCTTGTGGATCCCAAGGATCTGTGGAAAAGATGGAACAAGTATATGAGCAGATGAAACAAGATCCAAGCATCAATCCAAACTGGACTACGTTTAGCACAATGGCAACAATGTACATCAACGTGGGGCTGTCTGGAAAAGCTGAAGAATGCTTGAGAAATGTGGAGAGTACGATCGCTGGTCGAGATCGTATTCCATATCATTATCTTATTAGTCTTTATGGTACTGTTGGTAACAAAGAGGAGGTGTATCGGGTATGGAAGGTATACAAATCTATTTTCCCACGTATTCCAAATTTGGGCTTTCATGCCATGATATCATCTTTGGTTAGGGCTGGTGATATTCAAGGGGCAGAAAAGATTTATGAAGAATGGCTGTCAGTTAAAACGTCTTTTGACCCTAGATTAGCAAATCTTCTCATGGGGTGGTATGTTAAAGAAGGAAATTTGGATAAAGCTGAGAGCTTTTTCAATGACATGGCTGAAGAGGGAGGAAAGCCGAATGCAAGTTCATGGGAGATTCTTGCTGATGGGCATATTCAAGAGAAGAGAGTTGATGAGGCTCTATCTTGCCTGAGGAAAGCTTTTGCAAGCGAAGGCTCAAGAAGTTGGAGGCCAAAGCCCACAAATGTTTATGCCTTCTTAAAACTGTGTGAGGAAAAAGCAGACATGGCAGGTAGGAAGGTTTTGGTGGGATTGTTACGGCAATCAGGATTTCTCCATGATGAAGCTTATGCATCACTCATTGGCTATTCCGAAGAAGGTGTCGGTGAAAGTGAATTTTCAATGGACAAAGACAGAAACAGCAGTTATAGTTCCAGTGATCAGGATCAGGACAACGATTTTGAGGTTCTTCTCAACCTACTGCGGAGCAGTGTGTGATGACCATTATTATCTATCTTTTCTTGGAAGGCATGAGCTACGATATCCACTGGTGTTGGCAAGGAAGGTGGACTTATAGTTATTTCTCCATGCATTCACATGCATTTCTGCAGCCCTTTTCTGTTACTTCTGTTCCGGATGTATGAATTTCCAATTTAAGCCTGTGTAGCTGCTCAAGAGGCAGAGTGTTCTTCGTTTTTGGGGAAGGGATATGGATAATTTACCGTTTTCGATAATTATATCGATCCCTCATTTACTCGAGAACACACCATATCGTCTACCGTGTAAGGTTTTCATTGAGCATACACGAGAAACGGATTGATCCTATATATAAAGTTTCATATTTACGGTTGTTTTCTTCCCATTCCATGCAGTATTTTTACATCATTTATCATTTGTAATTTGTTCTAAAAAGACGAGGAGTGTTCAGGATTTTGGATTAATGATTGTAAGACATTTTGACAAAGAATGATAACTGCAGGGTATCGTGTGCTTTGACTATTATCACCAACTACAGTATTTTTTATATGTGAAACAAAAGTAGCTTATCATTTCCCTCTCTTTCCAGCTGAAAAATTAGGCTATGCTCAATGGAGATTCATGGAAGAATAATACGCATGAATTTGACTCATCACACGATGTGATCTTTCAAAAGTCAAATAATTTGACAAGCCTGTGAATCCAAACACAAGCAGACAAAGCAGAACCATCGGTCTTGTTCTTGTTCAAAGTTCTTGTTTGTTGTTCAGACAAACTCATCCAAGCTCTCTCAACCAGCACAAACTCATGCAAGCTCTCTCATCTAGCAGTTGCCAAGGCTATAAACTGATGGACCAACAGAACAAATAACATGTTGTTCAGATACATGTAATCACAGGATGGGAATGGCTGTAGCATGCCATCAGCACAACAACATTAGCCACAAGTTAATCACCCGAAAACCTCAACTTCCTGTCAGGAAAATGGCTTTAATCCACATATGAACCACCTTTTTATTTGTTCCCACTTGCACAAGTTAAGTTTTGAAAATTTTATGTTCATACCCCCAATTTAAAATACCACACTTTTAATATTTGAAAATTAGTTTTATTAGTTCGCACGATCACTAAAAAATTAACATCCAATAATTTGAAATTTAAATCTTAAACATCGTTCTATTCTCAATTTTTTTTATAAAAAATCTCAAACTTTTATGTCAGAAAAGACCTTGTAAACCCCACCAAATGGGGGCATCCAAGTCATATTTCAAATTCCTGAGGCTACTTTTTTCATTGAAAGTACCTACCCTTTAAAGATCACCTTCCTTGTTTTTATAACGCAGTAGTAAAACCATATAAACCTCATTGAGCAGGGAAAAAACATTCAACACTTAGGGTCCAAAAATCTTCTCAGCTATGGCAGAGTTAGAGCACAAATGTGATGCCAAATCTCATAACATTTCTGTCTTCTCTTCTCCAAAAAGTGGCTGAATCCAACGATGTAAACTGTTGATTTCTGCCTCATAAAATTTCACTGTTCCATGGCCTGACTCGGCCAACTATCTCAATTCAAAACTACCTGGAAAGAATCTTCCGAGTATGCAAATTGTAGCCTGTCTAGCTTTATTATTGCATATGTTTATCTTGATCGGTTTGCTCAAAGGCAACCCTCATTGCCCATCAATTCTTTCAACGTTGGTAGGATGCTTGTTATAAGTGCGTTAGTGTGTTAGTGGTTGAAGCAACTAAGTATGGCATTTCTACTAGCACTTTTGTAACAGGTTCTGTCATCTGATCAGTTTAAGTAACATGATGGATCTGTGCATAGTGATCCATATTATTAGGCAAACAATTTTTGTAGTAGTTAAATAAACTTTTGTATTTTTAAAGCCTATAAATTAATGAAATGAAGCTCATGATCTAATGAGCCAATTTACTTCAAGTGACATATTAGTTTCTTCTGTTTTTTGTTCTTCTCTGCTCTAAATCCTTCAATTGGTATCAGAGCATTCTTTAAGGTCTTAGAGGACCTGTGAGTTTCAAAAATTGAATGAAAAGCCATCAAACACTTACCAACCAGCTTTTGTCAACCTTAAATGGTCTCAAGCAATTGCTCCTTACCTGCACCTCCTATTTTTTCTAGTGAGAACTATCAGATATGGGTTGTCAAAATGAAGACCTATTTGAGTGCTTTTGATTTGTGAGAAATGGTGAAAAATGATAAGAAACCACCACAACTTCTTGCAAATCCAACAGTAACTCAAATGAAAAATTATAGTGAAGAAAAAGCAAAGAGGTACAAGGCTAAAAGCTGTATTGAGTCTTCAGTTTCTCATGACGTATTCATCAGAATCATGACTTGTGAAACTACAAAACAAGCTTGGGATGTGCTCAATGAAGAGTTTCAAGGCAGTGACAAGACAAGACAAATGCAAGTGTTGAATCTTAGAAAAAAATTTGAAATCTTAAAGATGAAAGAGTCTAAAAATTTAAAGGAGTACAATGACAGACTCATGAAGATAGTAAACAAGATTAGATTACTTGGTGAGGAGCTGTCAGACAAAAAAATTGTAGAGAAAGTTCTTGTCAACTTACCAGAGAGGTTTGAGTAAAAAATCTCATCCTTTGAAAACTTCAAGGACCTGACCAAGATAACTCCAACAGAATTGTTCAATGCTTTACAAAGCTCAAGAGCAAAGAAGGGCTATCAGACAAGAGGATTTAACAGAAGGTGCTTTTACAGCCAAAGAGAAAGGCAAGATGCAAACAGAAAGCAAAGGCAGAAAACAAAGAGATCAAAGAAACAAAGGTTCTAAAAATAATGAAAAGAAAAAAAATTCCTACCTTGTTCTCATTGTAAAAAGATCACTCACTTGAAGAAATATTACTGGTACAGACTTGACATACAATGTAAGTACTGTAAATAGCTTGGTCACATGAAGAAAGCATGTAAAAATAAAAAAAATAGCAGCCAGATCAACAAGCCAAAGTCACTGACAATCAACAACAGCTAGAAGAGCAAGTTTTTATTGCAACTTGCTATGGAACCAGAACCTCCTCAAGTGCATGGCTTATTGACAGTGGCTGCACATACCATATGGCATCTGATATCAACATATTCAAAGAACTAGACAATACCTATACCTCTAAAGTCAAAATAGGTAATGGTGATTTCATAAAAGTCAAAGGAAAAGGATTAGTGGCAGTTGAGACACCAACAGGTACCAAACTCATTTCAAATTTGTTATTTGTGCCTAAAATAGATCAAAACCTATTAAGTGTATGACAATTGTTAGAAAATAACTACTATTTAGTTTTTAAAGACAAGACATGCATAATTCATGATCCCACTGGCCATGAACTCTTTACTATTAATATGAAAGGAAAATATTTTTTCTTGAATTGGCATGAAGCAAACTCCTCTACATATGCTAGTTTACATGATGAATCTTCTTTATGGCATAAAAGGATGGGACATTTCAACTATAATGCATTAAATTTCATGCATAAAAATGATCTTATATTAAACATGCCTACTGTTGAAGTCAGTGCTGGAGTGTGTGAAGTCTATCAGCTAGGAAAACAAAGTAAGTTACCATTTGCAATTAACAAAGCATGAAAGGCAACTGAAAAACTACAACTTGTTCATACTGATGTTTGTAGTCCTATGAGAACATTATCCTTGAATGACAGTAGATATTTCATTACTTTTATAGATGATTTTACCAGAATGTATTAGATTTACTTCATGAAACAAAAGTCTGAAGTTACAAATTCAAGGCTTGGATTGAGAATCAAAGTGGCTGCAAAATTAAGATCATAAGATCAGACAATGGTACTAAATACACATCTGACAGATTTAATGAGTTTTGTGAAGTTGCAGGAATTGAACACCAACTGACAGCAACTTACTCTCCACAACAAAATAAAGTCAGTGAAAGGAAGAATAAAACAATCATGAAGATGGCAAGATGTATGCTGTTTGAGAAGAATCTTTCTAAGAAATTTTGGACAGAGGCAGTCAATACCTCTGTCTACCTGCTTAACAGGCTGCCCACAAAAGCTTTGAAGGGAAAAACTCATTTACAAGCCTGGTATGGAAGCAAACCATCAGTGCACCACCTTAAAGTTTTTGGCAGCATCTGTTATGTGTTCGTTCCTGATATCAAAAGAGATAAGCTTGATCAAAAAGTAAAAATATGTATTTTTCTAGCCTATAGCAACATCACCAAAGGCTATAGAACTTACAATCCACTTATAGGCAAGATGATTATGAGTAGGAATATGAGATTTAATGAGCAAGCTGCCTGAAATTGAGAAAAGTCAAAGAGAGAATCAGTCAAGCAAACTGCTGCAGGTATGATAAGCTTCCAAGATAAAAAAGATTATATGTTTGAAAATGAAATCATTGATCATGAACCAGTGAGAGGAATCAGACCACTCACAGATATTTATCAAAGATCAAATATTGTCATTCTTGAACCTGCAAACTTTGAAGAAGCTGTTAAATTTTTAGAGTGGAAGGAATGCCATGAAGGAAGAGATTCATATGATTGAGAAAAATCAAATATGGATGTCGGTTGACAGACTAAGCAACAAAAACATCATTGGTGTTAAATGGATTTTCAAAACAAAGTTAAATGCTGATGGTTTTATCAACAAACTTAAAGCTAGATTGGTAGCTAAAGGCTACTCCCAACAGCTTGGTGTTGATTTTTCAGAGATATTTGCTCCAGTTGCAAGGTTGGACACCATAAGGCTACTATTAACCTTAGCAACTTAGTAAAGTTGGAAAAAATATACCAACTTGATGTCAAATCTGCCTTCTTGAATGGTTATCTTGAGGAGGAGATTTACATTGAACAACCTGATGATTTTGTTGCCAATGGACATGAAGGCAAAGTCTATCTACTCAAGAAGGCTTTGTATGGATTAAAACAAGCTCCAAAAGTGTGGAATTCTAAAATTGATGATCATTTACTGAAGTTAGGATTCAAGAAAAGCCTCAGTGAAGCAACATTGTACATTAAAGTTTTTAACAGTAATGATCTGTTGATTGTTTCTTTGTATGTTGATGATCTTTTGGTGATAGGTAGCAAATCAGCTTTTGTGGAGGATTTTAAGCTCCAAATGCAAAAAGTTTTTGAGATGACAGATATGGGAGAAATATCTTATTTTCTTAGAATGGAGATTCATCAAGACCAACAAGGAATCTTCATTTGTCAAAAAAAATATGCAAATGAAATCCTGAATAAGTTTGGGATGGAAAATTACAAACCAGTCAACACTCCTTTGGCTCAAAATGAAAAACTTATTAAGGAAGATGGAGCTAACAAAGTTGATGGTTCTATTTATAGAAGCTTGGTTGGTTGCTTATTGTATTTGACAGCAACAAGGCAAGACATCATGTATGCTGCAAATTTACTCTCTAAGTTCATGTAAAATCCTAGTGAGTTGCATTTTAAGGTTGCAAAAAGAGTGTTGAGATATGTCAAAGGAACCAATGAACTTGAAATTTGGTTCAAGAAGAATGAAAGTTCAAGATTGGTTGGATTCACAGACAGTGACTGTGCTGGCTCTCATGAAGACATGAAAAGCACTTCAGGCTATGTGTTTCTCATTGGATTAAATGTGTTCAGCTGGAATTCAAAGAAACAAGAAACTGTGGCTCAATCAACAGCAGAAGTAGAGTATATAGCTGCTGTAGCTGCTGTTAATCAAGCAATTTGGCTAAAAAAATTTTTGATGGATTTGAGTCAAAAGCAAGATGATCCAACAGAAATTTTTGTGATAATCAGTCAGCAGTTGCAATGGTCAAGAACCTTGTGTTTCATGGAAGAACTAAGCATATTAAGATCAAGTATCACTTTATTAGAAAAGTTGAAGCTAAGAATGAAGTGAAACTGGTGCATTGCAAGTCAGAAGATCAAATTGCAGATATTCTGATCAAGGCCTTACCAAAGGCAAGGTTTGAAACATTAAGGAAAAGTCTTGGTTTTCCAACAGAACTGCCAAGTAATTAGGTATGACATTTCTATTGGCACTTTTGTAACAGGTTCTGCCATCTGATCAGTTTAGGTAACATGATGAATCTGTGCATAGTGATCCATACTGTTAGGCAAATAACTTTTGTAATAGTTAAACAAATTTTTGTATTTTTGAAGCCTATAAATTAATGAAATGAAGCTCATAATCTAATGAGCCAATTTACTTCAAGTGACAGATTAGTTTCTTTTGTTTTTTGTTCTTCCTCTATTCTAAATCCTTCAAAGTGTCATGGTTGCTGTAAAGTTCATGGATGATATGTAAGTTCTTACTTCCTTGAATAAAAACTTAACAGAATTCTTGGATTTTATATATTGGTTTTGGGGTTTTCTTTCGATTTGCTTGGCGTTGCAGTGCCCGAGTATACATGTTCTAATCAAAATCCAAGATTTTTCTGATGTTGCAGTAACAATGTTCTTTGAGTTTGTTCATTGCCTAATTTTTTTGTTCATGCTTTTCTGCAATTAGAAACACAGATTGCTTTTCTGCAATGAATTTTTTTATCAAGTGGGAAATAGTAAGTTAATTAAAACCATTGTAACTGACTAAACAAACTAGCAAGCTAATGCTAAGTTTATTTTCTATGTGCTTACACAAAACCGACTATGAACTAACATGGTCTTTCTTAAACGTGGCATCCAGCAGATTTGAGATTCGCGTCCCTGCCTGGCAAAACACCTGTGATATCTCCTTTCTCTTTTCTATACACTTGTGAAAGAGCTGAATCAAACACCGTATTATAAAAGGCACAGAAGCTGCTGCAATGACATACCGAAACCTCCTAGATTCTTTGGGAGTAACAGCAAAAATTGCAGAACCATAAGTCACGATCATCGAAATTGTGGCAACAATTACTTCGAGATGGAAAGGAAATCCGTGGGTGAGAGACATGATGACAAGTATTGAGGCGGAAAGAGCCAGAGTGTTGGCAATCAAGAAAACATAGTACGGTGCTGAATGAGATGCATAGATTGCTCTGCCTGCAACATGTCCATGCCCATTATCTTGCCACACCCCACCAGGGGGATTGACCACAGCTTGAAAGGTCACGGCAGCTATGAGTGTTGCAACTATTAACATCACGTTTCGGACATCGCTAGGCTTGTCTCTGCCTTCTTCATACTGGAAATGTTTGTACCAGCTCTTCCCTGTGCTTAAACGACTAACCATTTTCTTCTGCAATTGAAACCAATACTGAATTTTTCCTCTTCAATTCCTATATATAATATAGGTACCAAAAACGAGTTGAACGAGTCAATCAACACGGAGAGGAAGCTTCGCATATGGATTCCCCCCTGGATAATTAATTGCCATGAAATTTCAAAGTACTTTCATGTAGACTTTATACATGGTAATTCTCCTTTTAAAAAATGGTGGCATAACTTCCAAACCATCAAATGGAATTTCATTGCTCCTTCATTTGAACTTGGGGAAACTTTCCTTTTCCTCTTGCAATATTTAACTTAATTAAGTCCATTTAAAGTCGCAATCTGGGGTTCAAATCCTGACGTTTTCAAGTATAAAAAAAGTATATATGAAACATGTTACATAATAAATTTATGAGAAGTACAGACATTCATGATTGTGAAACAAGATCGGTATACACTGAAAAGGTAAGAACATGAACTATGTAAAGAAATTAAATGGTTTTTTTTTTATAATTTAATGTATAATTTAATGGGGTTAGATTGTTGTTTTTTTACAAAAATTCACCTATTCTTTCCTAAACTTATTGAACATATAAATCAGGCACCGAATCACGAAAGGCACTGCAGCTGCAGCCACGACATAACGAAACCTTACTGATTCTCCTGGAGTAACAGCAAAAATTGCAGAACCGTAAGTCACGATCATCGAAATTGTGGCAACAATTACTTCAAGTTGGAAAGGGAATCCGTAGGTTAGAGAGATGATCACAAGTATTGAAGCTGAAAGAGCAAGAGTGTTAGAAATCAAGAAAACATAGAAGGCTGGTGGTTGAGATGCGTAAATAGCTCTGCCAGCAATATGTCCTTGGCTAGTTTCTTGCCATACTCCACCGGGAGGATTGACTCCTGCTTGGAATGTCACGGCGGCTATGAGGGTGGCAACTATTAGAAGAAGATTTCGGACGTCACTAGGCGAGTCCCTGTCTTCCTCATATTGAAAAAATTTGAACCAGCTCTTGCCTGTGCTTTTAATCACCATTGCCGTTATGCAATTGAACAGTACAACATTTGAATTTGCCGTAAGTATAAATAGAAACCCAAGATTAGAGTTGGAATTGAACAAGTCTTTCAGTCAATATGTCCGCCTTTGTTTGCAGCCAAAGTAAACAAGTTGGGGTTTGATTACCAGGATAAATTGTGTCAACTTGTCAAAGTTATCTACTTTTCATAGCCAAGAACTATCGAAGTGCTTTCACGAGTCATGTCAATTTTGCAGAACATTATTGATTTTTCTGTACTTAAACCCGTTTTTCTGAATTCTTGATGTTCATGCTTGACAATTGTGATTTAAAAAAACATGGGAAAACTTACTAAAAGAAGATCTCTATTAGTAATTTGACTTTTACAAAAATCTCTCCATTTATAAATATCTTTTTCGTTGAAAATTTCTTTTCAATCCATTCGTGAGGATTGAATATTAAGCATGAATCATACTTGGAATATTTCATGATTTATTTCATATATTCCGTGTTTTAGATATTAAAATGACTATCCGACCAGATAAAATTATTTTCATCAAAATAATAGATCTATTTTCTATACTAGGATCAATTATAACAAAATAATATAAAAATAAAGAATGAAATTATAAGTAATAAATTTTAAATTTTGATCCAACGGTAGATTAGATCGAAATGGGTGGCCATTTAAGTGGATCGCTTCCTCATGTAGGTTGGTGCGCAACTTATCATCCACCACCATGGGGCGCACGTTAGCCTCCCCGTACACCTCAGCGGTGGCCTCATCCATCTTGATCTCAAAATCAGCCGCATCCCCCACCCACTCCCCTTTTAGCCCCTCCCCCACCCCCCAACAACAATCAATCAATATGTCACCAAACCCCACTTCCCCCTTCCCCTCCTCCTCTTCTGTCAGTTTTCTTTCATCCCAGCCCCAAATCCGCTTTGCAAAATTGCACCGCTTTCCTTATCCATCACCCCACTCTGCCAAAGTGCACCTCCACCCCATCCTTAACTCAGACGCCCGACATCCTTAGGAGACCAGAAATATTAGATCATGTCGAACCCATCTTCTCCCTTGGAACCACGATCGAACACATCGCCTCCACCACCATCAGAACCGCCGCTGGCTCTCCCCGCACCGCCAGCATCCACATCTACACCATCGGCAACCACCACCGTCACACCCAACCCGAGGCGGCTCCCACCACCCTGTTGGTCACACGATGAAACCATTGCCCTAATAGACGCGTATCGCGACATTTGGTACACGCTTCGTCGTGGGAACCTCAAGGCCACCCACTGGCAAGACGTGGCGGACACTGTGGCTCGACGCTGTCCCTTGGCGTCGCCTCCCAAAACTGCAGTCCAGTGCCGCCACAAGATGGAGAAGCTCCGGAAGCGGTACCGAACGGAGATCCAGCGGGCTAGATCCATGCCCGTTTCGAGATTTTCTTCTTCTTGGGTCCACTTTAAGCGCATGGATGCTATGGAAAAAGGGCCTAATGTGAAACCCGATTACAATTCGAATAGCCCAGATGAAGGAAACGACGAAGACGACGAAGATGACCAAGATCAAGACTTTTATGAAGATGGGTATAAGAACGGAAGCGTTAATACGAGAAGCATACAAAAGTTGTACCGAAATGGGATTGGAAACAGTGGTGGAACTGTCAGTGGCGGCGGCGGCGGGAGTAGCGGTGGGTTTAGGATTAGGATTCCCACTGGAGTTAGTATAGCACAGCCAGGGCCAAGATTTTATGGAAAAATGGATGAAAAATACGCTGCAAACGCTAACTCTAACGTGAATCCTCACCCTAATAAGGGTAATTTTGGTGGGTCGGGTTATGGGACTAGGGTTTTGATGGGGTTTGAGGATACACCAGGGAAAACAGAACCATCAGGGAGGAGGGAGAGAGATGCGGTTAAAGAGATGGTGTCAGCCATTAAAGCATTGGGAGATGGGTTTGTGAGGATGGAGCAGATGAAGATGGAGATGGCAAGGGAGATAGAGTCGACAAGGATGGACATGGAGATGAAGAGAACTGAGATGATATTAGGGTCACAACAGAGGATTATAGAGGCTTTCGCGAAGGCAGTTTCTGAGAGGAACAAGAAACCTAAAAGAATGCCCTCGCCGGAGCCTTGAGATGGATCATTTGCAATAGGCTGTAAGTGGGGTTTACTTCAGTTTTCATGTTTCTTTTTTTGTTGATTCTGTTGTAATTTTGCCTCTTGCTGGAACTAATGTAGCTTTAGTAGTTTTAGAACATTGTTGGTTTGATATAAAATTCTCTCTGTGTCTGTACTGATGTTGAAGAATGTGTAGATTACAATGTTTTCATACTGGTTGGCCTTCATTTGTTTCTCTGCTGGCTATGAAAATTACTTTTATCAATTGAGATGATGCAGCAAAGGGTATGTGATTATACTAGATGAGGAAGCTATGATAGATTATTAAGTAAAATGGAAACTACATATGAATATGTTTATTGATTAGAATTTAGTAGATGAGTTGTCTGGTGCTTGTATGATTCAGAACATCACGAGATTATAGAGTTAGAGTAACTTGAAGAGGATGATTAATGTTTAGATTGACCTATTTATTCCACAGAGTGATACAAAAGAAAAGGCAACCATTCTTCCCTGGTAAAAGCTGCATCATTTACGCCCAAGTTAGGTTCAAATTGATTATATTTTGTAATAGACTCTTTGTATACAAAATCCTGGTGGGCATGAATCACTATGCATCCACATATCCAACTATTAAGGCAAACTGGAGGTGCAAATGAACCAGGTAACTGACTGTGTAAATCATTATATATCAGAAACTGGAAGTGTTCAGCATCAGATTTCAAGGACTTTTCTACATTCTTAAGAACCTTGAAGGAACAGGTCTTTCCAAGACAAATAGGTTTAATAAAATCAAAAAATTATATTTTATATTTTCGTATCGACATAAACTGTAATACGTGATTTTTGTATAAAACAAAATACAAATTTAATATTTTACATGACTTAGTGACGCAAATTACCAGGTTTACTTTTCATTTAGGGCCTTAAGCTTTGCCTCTTAGCTCTACTAAAATGAAGGCAATTGGATATGGAAGTTCAAATTTTGATTTTTAAGTTAGAAATGCTTAAGCCATACTTAACTTGGTCCAATTAAAAAAAAAACTATTGATGAAGATAATCAACAAGGAGTCAAGAAAATGATTTTTAAGCAACATTAAAACATATCCACTACTTTAGTTCAATTCAGTCATATAATTAGAAGATATTAATAGATTTGATATTTAAATTTTAATATTTGTAATTTTTTCTTTTATTTTTAGATTGTGATCTCTTATATATCATAAAACATATCCACTAGAATACAAATTTTATAATACAATTGGTATATATCATCATTTTTAACAAATGATATTCAACAAATTTAGAATTAAAATTTCTATATCTATAATTCTTTATTTTATCCCAAACTACTATCTTTTGTAAAAAAAAAAAAAAAAACAGAACGTTAAATAAAAATCAATACTCATTTAAGCTTTGACATTTTATTACGATCAATTAAATCTTGAATATTTTATTTCAAATAATCCTTAAATATTTATTTTTATTCAATTGAATCTTTATACATTTTTTATTCAATTAAACTCTCAGATTATACGAAAACAGTAAGAGTTCATTGATATTTAAGGGTTTAATTAATTGCCAGAAAAAACTTTGGATGATTATTAAATTTTAGTTGCTTTTTTTACCTTTTTACCTTAAAAAATCTACTAAAAAAAACCAAATAATAAAGATTAAAGACCCATATTGAAGTCTTAAAAGATAGCTTAAGTAAGGTTTATAACCAATTAAACCTTATTGATTATATATATAGTCTGCTGAACTTCTTAGTATCTTTGTTTCCAGGAGTTTTCACATTCGGTGTGTGTCGACCATTTAAAACCTCTGGTTATATCACCGGCAACCTCAGGATGTTCAGTCACGGTGGCTTTGAACTGCTTCCATTCACGGAGGACCTTTGTTAATTCGCTAAACTTTGCCTTCATAAAGCGGCAGCAATTCGCATGCATGGTGGTTACTGCGGCGACATCATGACTATCTTCACAAAAGCCACTGAAATGCCTGGTATCCAAGAACCTTACTTGGAGACCCAGCTGGTTGAAGAGCCCACTATGCATTAGATCTCGCATGACATGTTGGTCGTGTTTCCCTGTGGGATTAATATCCTTCTGGGAATACCATGTATCGACCAACGAAATGGTCTTGTTGTTTGATCTGATGAAAAAAAAACCTGTGTTGACCAGATTGTCTTCGGGTCGAGCTGGGTCGTCACTGGAAGAATCAAGGCTGATTTGTAGGTCCACGGTTTGGTCTCGACTTAACTTTGCAAATGGATTTCTTAGCCACAGTATATCTGTGTCCTAATAAAATCAACAAACATTATTAGTAAAATAATGATTGGTGTAAAAAAATCTATTGACAAATAAAATCGTAATTTAATAAAAAATTGTAATTACTAAAATTTAAAGTATAAATTTACTTATGCCGTATTCTAAAAAAAAGCCTACATGAAGCAAGTGAATTAAACTTGTTTTCAAGATAATAATAGGGTTAATAACTCATTTGATTTTTGAACTATTGTAATTTTTTTAATGTGTCACCTAAATTAAAGTAATTTTAATTAAGCATCTAAATTTTAATTTTGTACGTGAAATTGTACTAATTTATGGACGCGTTAGAAAAATATTAATGTGACATTTAAATGTTAACATAGATAATATATATTATCATGTGTCAATAATGTAATTGTCACATGTTATTTTTAAAAAATAAAAAATAATAATAAATTTTATTAAAAATTATATTTTAAAAACTTTTTTTTTATTTTTAGGAATGACATAATAATTATATTTAAATCACGTGATAATCACATGTAATTTACGTTGGTATTTAACTATTACATTAACTTTATTTTAATGATGTTAAAGTGTGGACAATTTGATACACAAAAATATAATTTAAGTATCTAATTAAAAATATTTTTTATTTAAGTACCGTATTAAAAAAAGTACAATAATTTATAGGTCAAATGAGGTAATATCCCGTAATAATAACATTGATATGCAAGGTTGAAAAAGTGTACCGTAAATATGAAGCTGTAGCCACGCTTAAGCACGTCCAAAAGAAGAAGAGTCTTTCTCCACACCATCTTAACATACTTCGGCGACATGTAAACATTTTCCCGACTAAAATCAACACCGTCCGTCATCAATCTGTAACAGTGCAACCTTTTAAATTTGCACCGTTCATAAGCCGTTTGATCGACGGTAACAAATAGCAGATGGTCAAGAAGTGGCCTGGTATCTTCTCCAAGCCAAAAACTCTCCAAGAACAGGTCCAGCATTGTCGTCTCTGCATTTACACTTTGCTCAACATAAGCTTTGTTGACAATTGTAATGATCAATGTCTTGTTCGCCATGGAAGCTTCTTCCAGCACCAAACCAAACTCGTCGTTTACCTGAAACTTTCCTGCAGTCTGTTACAGAAAAACAACGAGTACTTTTCCTGACGAAGAATTCTCATAAAAGTTTGTATATTTGTATATCTAGAGATAATACATGAAATATATATAGTGAACCAACGCTTGGTTGGTTTGAGTGGCATTGAGAATGTGTTCCCCTTTTTATTGTTTGGATTCGAATCCGTTAGAAGGTCGTGAGATGCTAATATCTATGAATTCACTAAGTCAAATGTAAATAAGCCTACATATATCTGTTCCAAAAAGGGATTCGGTATGGATTTAAACAACGTCAGGATGTGGTATAGCAGCCACTATTTAACGATAATACAGTACTAAGTCACTATTATTTACTGCAATAAAGTTGTGAATCGTCATTCATACAAAGAATGATATATCACATTCGTAAATAACGGTATAATAAAAAGTTGTCATCCTAACATAACGTTATAACCTGTTATTTTTATTTTTTTAAAAATATATCTATGAATTTAATAACGTATTGATTTTGAATTAAAACTAATATATGTAAAAAAATTATTTTACTTATAAATGTAAGCTTAAAATATTATAACCAATATATTATAAATTACTTTAAATATCATAAATAAATATTATTATATCAAACAATTTTATGATAAATTATGAAAATGTTAAAAAAATTCAAGACTATAATGTATACGACTATCACTATCTCATTCGTTATGTCTACAAATAAATGTGATTAATCGAAAAAGCTACAATGATCGCATTTTAAATCTTTGGTATTGAAAAAATTTTAAAAACTCGTTTGTCACTAAATTTTATATATATACTTACATTGAAAATTGAGGGTCGAAGGATGGATTCTTGGCAGGAGAGTAAAGGGTTTGAGATTGAAGGAGACCGGACACATATGTAAATGTAAAGAACTACAGTTAAAAGGAGAAAAATTATTACAAGAGAAAAGCTCTTTGGATGTTTCATGTATGAGATCATTGTCTTAGAGGGTGAGTGGTTTCTTTAGGATTGCAAGGAGTCATGAAAGGAGCTGAGACTGGTTTAAATTGGCATGGGCTTAGCATATAGAAGTTTACCTTAAGTAAGCTCGAATTCGGTTCATTCCTCGTCAACCTCTAGATTACGATTTTTTTGTTAAAATAAATTTTTTTGCACATAATAGGATAAATTTTTTAGTTTAATTTTTTTTTAAATTTTACCTTATATAAATATATAAAAACCATAAAATTAGTCAAAATAAAATTCAATGTAAGTGATCTGTTATTTTAACACGTGTACTACTTAAATAAATATTGTGTCTTGAATAATAAATTATATTTATTTCTTTTTATATTTTTAATTGATTAACTTACCTTTTACATTGTGAACAAATGAAAGATTACTTTTATTTCCATATAAAGCAATTGAATTAATTATATTTGTTGTCTTCCAAATTTTTATTAATTTAACCTTTTTATGACTTTTTTTTAGAAAAATATTAAATATGGAGACATAATCAAAATGATCAAAAATTATGATAATCCAATATAAATATATAAGATACAGAATCTCTAAAAAAAATAACTCTTCATGAATAATATATTTTTATCTTATTTGAAATTCAAATTTTAATTTGTATATTATATTAAAAATTTATATTTGATACACTATTAATATATTGAATTATGTCGTCTCATTAATAAGATGGATCGGATGATATCATTTTTAAGTTTTTTAAATAATATTAATATTTTGCATATCCATTTTAAAGGTTAATAGTTATTTATTAATGAGAAAACGTAATTTAATTCACTACTATGCACTGATAATTTATATATTAATAATATACAAATATCAACTTTATATTAATTTAACTTTTATGTTTATTTAATTTTTTAAGCTCTTGTTAATTGGCCTCATTAATTGTATTTATTTATTTATTTTGGTAAGAAAAAATTCGGTGATAGATAAGCTGCTCAGTCCTCCAAGTCATGACAAGATGTGCCGTACTTGACAGCCTAAGACAGTGACTGCAAGTCGTGTATTCGAGATGATCCTAACAAATGACCACTGACAGGACTCGAACCTAAGACCTCTTCGTTGAGGAGAACCACCTTAACCGATTGAACCAACCATTTATTAGTTGTATTTATTATTATATATGTATGTTGGACTTATTATAAATACAATACAATAAATTATTATTACTATGTTTCAATTAATGTTGTTATTTGGAACATCATGATGCCCCTCGATTATCTTTTAATTCAAAATACAATACAATGATACAAAGAAAATGATAAAAAAAAAAAAAAAAAAACTTAGGTAACACGATTTATAATTTTAATAAAAATAATGTATATATTTAAAATAAAAATATATATTTTATATTTTTCATGTCAATACAATAACATGTAATTTTTATATAAAATATAATACAAATATATTAATTGTTAATGTTTTATACAACACTTATGCATGAAACGCAAGAGGAACTGACCAATTCTGAGTTTGGTAAGTAAAGCACACAATCGAATAAATAAAAAACTATAATAGACTACAAATTCATTCATTAAAAGGTTACAATCTCCTTGCATAGAGAGAAATTCCATGTTCAAGCTCCAAAACCATTCGAGTCCCTGCAAAGTGTTGGCCAATGCAGGTGCGAGCGCCAACCCGGCCCGAATGACAAGTAAACCTGTGGATGGCTTGCAAGCTCCGAGAACTCCATTTGCAAATCTCTCAGGATTGAACAGGTTTGCACGGGCCTCAACAGATCAGTGAATGTTTGTGCCTTTCGGGACCATAACGCCTTTGAATTCAATATCTTGCAAGAGTTCCCTCATCAAAAACACTGCAGGTGGGTAAAGACGCAAGGTCTCTTGGATTACCATTGTAAGCTGCCTTATAATCAGACAAGTAACCATCAAAATCTATTGAATCCAATGTTTTGGAAAGCACACGAACCAGCAAAAACAATTGAAACCAAAGTCATGCTTCGAAGCATATCAGGGTCTAGAAGGCCACCTCTACAAATTTGAAGGACCTCAGCACGAACTCGAGCTTGCCAATGTGGATGTGCAGCTAACAACATCAAGCTCCATGTGGCTGTAATGACTGTGGTCTCATGACCTGCATAGTATATGTTCTTGTAGTTATACATTATAAACTAGTCGGGGGAGGAATCGGATGACGGTTAATGTCAACAATATTGCTTTTGGCACCCTCAAGAATCATTTGTAGCAGACCCTTCCCACGTCCAGCCTCAGTGCGCTGTTTTACAACTTCCAATATCTTTGAGGTTACCTCTTTCTCTACTTTCCATTTCAGAAAGTGCCTACAATTGTTAGGATGGATTACTCACAAAACAAATATCTACACTTTTTAACTATAAGAAGAATGAGACGTCCACAAATTTGCATAATTGAAATTCAAGTCATCAAAGCGGAAGTTTACCTCAGTTGGATCATACAACTACCTTTAAAAAGTAACGTCTATTATGTCTGGAGATCAAATCTCACACCTTGCAACCCCTTCACCTGCCCTTGAGCTACGGCCTCTTTTGTACAAAAAAGTTCAAGCCATCATCAATTTATCACTTGATATGAATAATAACAATTTATAAAGATACTTAGGTAAGTCAAACCTTTAGCCGGGTACCCCGATGATAGATTTGCCTTTGCTCATGACCTTTTGAAGAGTTCTGATCTTAAAGAAAATTTTTTTCTTCCTCTTCGGAGTAGCTGCTTCCAAAACAAGCTCTTGAGATTATATCTGCAGACAGGTTTCTTAAATCCAGGTCAACTTCAATTTCTGCCAGGCCTCCAATTTCTTGGACTTGCTTCTCCCAAGATTTTATTATTGAGTTAGTCGACTCCACCATTAGGTTCACCAAGCCCTTAACCTTGTCAAAGTATGGTTCAGGAGCAATAATATTTCTGTGCTGAGCCCACAGTCGGCCACTTGATGTTATAATACCATCGCCAAGAAGAGGACCGAAATAGTTGGAAAGAAAGAAGGCTTGCCTAGGCTCAGGGAAGTGCATAGGTTAATTTCCTTCACCATCTCCACCTCTGTCACGCATAGAAGTTTCCAGTTGAATACATGAAGGTAGGTCCTGTCAATAATTTTGTAACCAATGAATTTAAGTGAAACTGCCTTTTAACTGAACCAGACTACCAGAGACTAAAACAGAAACAAAATCCAGGAGAGGAATTAGATCGCCAAGGAAGTTAGAGATGATTAAAGTTTGAAGTGCATACCATAATGTTTTCGCCACTGCTCGATGTGATGATAGGCCTTTAAAGGCCAACCATGATCAAGATGCACATTGGGTTGATCATGAGAAGATCTTTCTCGGGATTCAATCCTCTTGATATCAAAGATGTTTCCCAATAGAGACAAAGGAGAAGGTCCTTTGATCCCTTGCTTTTGCAGCTTTGACCTTAACCTTTTCGGTTTTAAAATCAAAGCATTAAAGAGATAAGTCACAGCCAACACACCTAGGCCTGTAAACACTACTGACCAAATGATCTGTGACATTGCACTTGGCTCTGCTTGCTTGCATTTGTTTGCCCCTTATCGACTTCCTCTCTCCTTTATATATACACATCAGGTTTATGTCATTCAGAGAATCAGAAGTTCAATAGTTTTTTTCAAGGAAAAAAATTGCTACGACTTCTTCAATTCTTAATCAAAAGTATTACTATAAAACCAACCCATAGTCATAAGTATTGCCCTTTTATCTTCTTCGTCTCTCCTTTATATATACACATCAGATTTTACTAATGTTTTACATTTCCATATCTGCTGTGCAGAGTAGCTGTAGGTTTCCTATTGCATGCAAGAATACAGATCCTGCCAGTGCTACCAGAAAGCTTGGTGAAGGTAGCTGAGCTGTAATCTATATTTGCAAACTCAAACATAAAGCAAAAACAAAGATCAAAATTGCCAGAAAAGTCAGCTCTTACACCTGGAAACTCAAAAATTTTTTGATAGGAAAGCTCTAGATGACTGCAAAACCCCATGTTCTTGCATCCCAGAGGGAAGAAATGGGGATTATTGGCTGTTGAATCTAATAGCATAATGATCAATTAGAGAGCACCTACCATATTCATTTCTCCACTTGTCTGAGGAAAGAGGGTGGGAAACCAATCATGAGCAATAACAGCTTTGATATCTTTCTGACTGGAGTTTGCAGCTAACAGTGCTTGAAGTTGGATCCTCCTCGTTTCATGGATATCCCTTGGTTTTGAAGTAACACTAGGACGAGTGATAATGGTTTGAATCAATTTGATTTTGATTTTTCAGATATTATATAATATTATAAATTTATACATTTTTATTCAAATTCGAATTGATTTTTTATATGGTTTAATTTGAACCAAATTGAATATTATAAATTTGGTTTATTAGTCTTTAATTTTTTTTGTTTTTTATATATTATTTTAATATAAAATTTTAATATATTTAAATAAATTTTGATATAAAATTATCATTTTTATTTTATAAAAAATTAAAAAATATATAATTTAATAAAAAAATTAAATATGATTTGATTTTTTTTAATTTTTTATCTCTCGATTTAAAATTCAATTCAAATATAATATATATTAAATATTTAAACTTAATTTAAGTAAAAAAATCCAAATTAAACCAAAAATTATAATTTTAAATTAATATTTGATTTTCTTAATTTTTTTCTAACCCTAATGTATCCATATCATCGTTATGCATAATAACTTGTTCATTACTATTTTATTTAATTTAGAGGAAATGCTGGATTTTTTATGGGCCTGAGTATGGGCTTAGGGCCCTGTCAATGGGAATCCAAGAAAAAAAAAAAGCAATAAAAAAAAAACCTGCAATGGAAAGGAAATCAAGAGAAGCACCAAGGACAAGAAAAAAATGGCGACCGAAGAGCACTTCGTGGAGCTCGTGCTTCTTTCTCATTGAGAAACCCTAGTTTTCACCGCATCCCTTTCTCTTCCTTCCCAAATCCACTTCCTTCAACCCTAATTTCTCAAATTTAGTGTCTTTTTGTTCTCACAATCTTTATCCAAGGAGCTTGTATTTTTGTCCATTGATATTGAAAAAGTTCGGAGCTTTTGAAATTTGGGAGGTGAAAGGAGAAGAGTTATGTATAGTCATAGAGATCGAGGAGGAGGGTCGTCGAAATCGGAGCTAGTGGGAGGACCGTTGGATCGGAAGCGCATAAACGATGCGCTGGACAAGCATTTAGAGAAGTCGTCACCATCCACTTCGAGGGGCTTGAACCGCAAAGACAAAGAAAGATCCTCTGTTCCTTCAACTTCCACTGGTAAATCCCAGCTTGATCATCGCGATTCCCGCTCTGCAGCTCTCTCTAAAGCCAAATGTTCTGATGGTTAGTTACTTGCAAGTTACTTTCTTCCTTGGTTTCTGTTTTTATCTCTTCTTTTATTGATTGAAGTTTGGCGAATCGTGTGATTGCTTCGGAGGCATTGGCTTGTTTTCGAGTTAATTTGATGCGGCAGGATCTGGGTTTTCAAGAGTTTTTTTGGAAGCTCTGAGCTGATGCGTTTGCGTACTTGCATGTGAAAAATGTTTATTTGCTGAATTTTGTACCTAATTTTTTCCATTTACAAAATGTATTGTCAAAGCCAAATGCTTGGGATCTTGGATTGGTCAAAATAGGTAGACCTGGTGATTCTTGTATCCGTGGTGTGTAAAATATTGAAATTCATGTATTCGTACGGTGTTTTACATGAAAATTTCATGTTATAATTCGTGTCTACGCGAAAATATGAAATACAATCTTTTGGTTTTGTTAAAACTTAGATATAGTTATTGCTAAAATTTTAAACCTTGACACCTTCTTGTCATTTTTTTGTATCGTATTACCGTGTGGTGTTTTAGATTGTCAGGTCTTAAATAGGTTTTTGGTAGGCTTTTTATTCCCAAGTGGGCTATAAGTATATTTGTGATTCCATATTTGAAAGTTTGGAAGTTTGATGCATTGTCCGATTTGTCTTGAAGCAAATTTTGTGCATAAGGCCATCCATTGAAATTTTTTTCCTTTCTTTATTTGATATCATAAATATCAAGTTTCATACCATATCCTCATACACTAGCATTGGATTTGTAACTTAAATTATAAATCTTAGTATCAGCAATTTTTTAGCTAGTTATAATTCATAGTTATCATTTTCCTTGTCATGTTTCTCCGTAAGACATGACAGACTATTCTGATCATCAATCTTGATTGATAAGCAAGTAATTAAATGTGAGGTTCGTCACGATTGCCTACTAATAAATGTCATTGATTGCAGAGGAATCTGAAACGGACAGTGAAGAATCAGATGTTAGTGGTTCTGATGGAGATGACACATCTTGGGTCTCATGGTTTTGCAATTTGCGAGGCAATGAGTTTTTCTGTGAAGTTGATGATGAATACATCCAAGATGACTTTAATCTTTGTGGGTTAAGCAGTCAGGTTCCATATTATGACTATGCACTGGATTTAATATTAGATGTTGAATCTTCTCATGGTAAGCATTTCAAGACTTGGATTGCGCACATAAATTTTAGATGATTTGATATTTACTTGAGGAGGTGCTATACTTTTCAAATTTTAGACCAATGTTTAGCAGATGTTTTTATCTCCTCGGTCCGTAAATCTGTTCTCTGGAATGTCCTGAGTTTGATATTCTTTTTTTGGTTCTTCATGAGGAAGGCAGTTAAGCAATTAGAAGGTTAGATGAAAGTTTTCAAGGAAATAGGGTGTTAGACAGCCAAGTTAATTTTGGTAGTTTGGTTAGTTATGACCTCAGGCATAAGATAACACTTAACCGACTCTAACTTGTTGGATGCTAATCTGATTATAAGCCATTAATAAACTGGTTATGTACCTACCTTTTCCAGTGATTTGGACTTGCTTAGTATTCTGTGGGATTTAGAATACATTACTGCAGTCTTATATTTCCGCCCATTTACACAGAATCCTATGACTGCTTGAGAAAATGCTTGTTACTTTGAAAAGCTATTTCTTTTTAACTTTTGAATCTTTTATGTTGCTGCAGAAAGTTGACATCAGAAATGTTACACTAAGTGAATTGAGGAAATATATAGTTTCAATTGTTTTAAACCTTGTGTTTTATAGCAATTCCAACCATTTGGTTTGCAGTCATAATGTTGGTTTATGCATTTAACTACTATTCTCACATTGTTAATGTTGCTTTGCATCATCCCTGTCACTTGTGTCTGTTTGCTGTAAATTTCAATGGTTTTTTATTCCTTTTTGAAAATATGGCTCCTACTTTTGTTTCTTGATACTCAACAGCCATCAATGCACATTGGTTCTTGCTATTAATTAGATGTCTTTTGGGTTTTATAGGTGATATGTTCACTGAAGAACAGAATGAGTTGGTTGAATCGGCAGCTGAGATGTTGTATGGTCTTATACATGTCCGATACATATTAACTAGCAAGGGAATGTCTGCAATGGTAAAATTGAGGTCATTTATCCCTGTTTTTTTTTTTTTTTTTTTTGCTTTCTGTTGACTTCATCATGTTAAAACTTCTATTTCAGTTGGAGAAATACAAAAACTATGACTTTGGAAGATGCCCAAGAGTCTACTGCTGTGGACAACCTTGTCTTCCAGTTGGTCAATCAGATATTCCTCGTTCAAGTACGGTGAAAATCTACTGTCCGAAATGTGAAGATATATATTATCCTCGATCCAAGTATCAAGGCAGTATCCTTTTTATTTCATCTATGACTTTATTCGTTTTTTTTTTTTTGTTTGGATAATTACAATGTTACAATTTTATGATGTCTTTGGGCATGTAGCGGTCTCGATTTTTTTTGTCTATTTGGTAGGTGGAATCAAACATTGGCATGACTTTGTAGTTCTCCTATATCCTGTTACCAGATCATGGTTGTGTTACTTTGTTTTACAGCTTAATTTTCTTGACAGTAACAAGATATTGATGGAGCTTATTTTGGTACGACATTTCCACATCTGTTTCTGATGACATATGGGCACCTGAAGCCACAAAAGCCATCACAAAACTACATCCCAAGAGTTTTTGGCTTCAAGATCCACAAGCCCTGATGTGATACAGAAGTTGCAAGCTTAAGATCTCCTGTAGTCGAACAGCTGGCGGCGATTTTCACTCCGAGCCCGGTGCTTCTCTCTGTGCAGTGGATGCCCTACCATGCAAGGTGCAGTTGGTTTCCGAAAAAAAAGAATTGTTACAATTGATGCGAATGAAAATGTATAAAAATGAAATATGGCCTGTTAGTTGAGCACAATGTATCTCTAGAATTTATTCATGAATTTAACAGAGCATTTATAAGCATGTTTCTTTGAAAGTTCCTTCTGTTGTATTTGATATCCCTTCCTCGTTTCTTAACCTGATAGACATCAATTTTCCATTCCCCAACGATAGCTCTACCCATTCCAATCCCATCTTTACATCAATTCTACACTCAAATCCATGATTAAGTAACATATATTCTTGTCCAAACAACAGTTAATGATGTTAAAAGACAGAAAACTGTCCTGTCCTTTTTTCCTACTCTAATCAACTTCTTTAACTATGATTGTAATCGTTCAACTCTCATATGTCGTTTCTCAACAATGGTTGTTTGCTGAACTCCAGCAGTTGCTGCTTCCTGGAAAGTTCTCCCCAAACCATACTTCGAATCCCATCCAAAATAAGAAAGAGAATGTGCGGGCAAAGCATATAAACATGTCATATCATGTCATGTCATGTCATGTCACGTCATCTTTATCCCTGCAGCGTAGGTCGACATCTTCAGCAAAATATGGCAATCGGCCATAAAATCAAAATAACCTTTTGTTTAAACATGATGATGCAACAGCAGCAGCAGCATTGTATGGTAGACATGAGCAAGCAGTGATTAAGACTGCATTTCCTGTAAAGCACTCATCAGATCATTTGTTGACAAAAATCTAACATTTTCATCATACGAAAACTTCTACTAAGCAAAGGAAAAAAAGGGTGCATTTGGGAAAATTGGTTTTCACGTATGTAATGCATCAGAAGAAATCGGAAGTTCAGATCGGAAAAGAAAGAAGCGGCATCTCTTCCGATTTTAATACCCGACCTTCCACTGCTCATCATCATCATCTGATACCATTGAATTATTACCATCATTGTTTACAATTGCAATCCGATACAACAGCGGGGAGGCGACGACTGCAACGGCGACGACGACGACGACGACGCCAGTTGCTGTTTTCCCACAGATTTACCCATAACCCTCTTGAAAATGACACGATTGCTCCTCCTTTTTCTTCGTCTTCATCTTCCACTTCTCCCACCTCTTATAAGTGGAACCCTTTTGACCCAAACGCGTTCCCTCACCAAATCACCACGTCTCCCCTTCTATTGGCTTGTTCTTAGCCCCCTCGTTTCCAATTAAGCTCAAGTCATCATCTTCATCGTCAAAGTCGCATTTACCAGTGTTTTGGTCAATTGGGTCTCGCCCAAAATCCGAAAATAGAGCGAATTCGGGGTGCTGGGTTCAAATTTATAGCAACGGAGACGTTTATGAAGGGCAATTTTATAACGGGAAAGATAGGTTTAAGAGGAAATCGTAATCTATTACTTATAGCTTTTTATTTAATTTTTTTTATTTTATTAATTTGTTGATGAAACATTTTGGCTTGATCATTAATTTATAGCAATTAGTCAATTTTTTTTTACTAATTTATTTGTTATAACTTTAGATTTAAATAGTAATTTATAATCTATAACTTATAATCTTAACTTTTTTTTTGTTATAGATTTTGACCTTAATAGTATTCTATGACTGAAAATCTTTAGTCAATTTTTTTCATTTTATTAGTGAATTGACTATAACCTTTGGGCAAATTAGTAACTTATAGGTTGTAGCCTTTGTCCAATCTATCAATTATAGTTTTGCACTAAAATAATAACTTATAACATAAAATTTTTGTTCAATTTTATCTTTTTATTAACCTATTTCCTATAACCCAACTTATTCTTTTTATTTACCAAATGTTTATTGCTTTCGATTGAAACAATAATTTATATCTGAAAGACTATAACATTTTTTTTATTAACTTATTAACTATAACCTTGAGACGAAATAGTAACATAACTTTAGCCTTTTATCCAATTTTTTCATTCTACTAACCTGTTGGACAAAACATTTTGGCTTAAATATTAATTTAAGCCTTTAGTCGAATTTTTTCTTTTTACTAACCTATTGCTTATAGCCTTAGGCACAAATATTAACCTATAACTTATAACCCTTAGTTTAACTTTTTCTTCTTATTAATATATTGGCTATAGCTTATATCCATTTTTAGCCTAATTTTTTTCTTTTTGTTAACCTATTAGCTAAATGTTAGACCCAAATATTAATTTATAACATATACCCTTTACCCTAACTTTTTATTTTTATTAACATATTAGTTAGAATAATTGGCCTAAAAATTACATGTATCATATAATATTTGACCTAACTTATTCTTTTGATGAATCAATTGGCTATAGTTATTAATTCAAATAGTAACTTATAGCTTATAAACTTTGGCCCAACTCTTTTTCATTATTAAACTATTGGTTATAACCTGCCTAAATAATAAACAATAGCATATAACTTTTTTTTTTTTTTTACTAACCTATTAGCGATAGACCTAAGCACAAAAAGTAACTAATCTCTTATAGTATTTGCCCAACTTTTACTTGTTATTAACATATTAGCTATATAGCATTTAATTTATAGCTTTTGGCCTATTTTTTTTATTAATTTATTGGCTATAGCATTGCTCAAATAGTTACCTATAACCTTTGACCAATTTTTTTCTTTTCAATAATCTATTGGCTATAGACATAGGCCAAAATAGTAACCTATAGCCCATAATCTTTAGCCCAATATTTTCATTTTTTTAACTTATTAGCCATAACATTTAGTCCAAATACTATCCTATAGCATATAGTTTTTGACCTAAATATAATCAATGGCTTTTGACCTAAATATTAACCAATAACTTATAGTATTTTGCCTCATTTTTTTTTATTAACCTATGAGCTATAACTTTTGGTTCAAATAGTAACCTATAACCTATAGCTTTTAGTCAAACTTTTTATTTTTATTAATCTATTAACTATAGCCTTTGACACAAATGCTAAGATATAACCTATAAATTTTGGCTAAACTCTTTCTTTTTACTAACTTATTAGCAACAACCTTAACCCAAATAATGAATTATAGCCTATAGTCCTTAGACCATCTTTTTCTTTTTATTAACCTATTAACAATAGCCTTTGACAAAAATAGTAATGTATATTGTAAAGCCTTTAACCCAAATACTAACATATAACTTCTAGTATTTTTTTACTAACCTATTGGCTATAGTCTTTGTTGCAAATACTAACTTATAGTTGATAGCTTTTGACCCAATTTTTCTTTTTATTTACCTTTGGCAATAACATTAGAGTTAAATAATAATCTATAGCCTAAAACTTCTGGACTCATTTTTCCATTTTTTCAAACTTTTGGTTATATAGTTTTTGCCTAAATGCTACCCTATAGCATTTAGTCAAGCTTTTTCATTTTATTAACCCATTGGATATTTGCCTTTGGGCTAAATACTAACTTATAACTTATACCATTTATCCATACTTTTTTTTTATTTTAACATGATGGCTAAAAGCTTTAGTCCAACTTTTTTTTTTTCATATATTGACTATAGCCTTTGACTCAAATAATACCTTATGGTCTATAGCTTTTAGTCCAACTTTTATTTTTAACTTATTAGCTATAGCCTTTACCCTAAAAACTATTCTACAGCTAATAGCTTTTGGCCCAACTTTTTCTTTGCATTAACATATTTATTATAATCTCCAATTCAAATTGTAATCTATAACCTACAATAGTTGGCTTGACTTTTTCTGTTTACTACAAAACTATCGACCATAACCATAAGTAAAAATAGTAAAATATAACGTATAATCTTTGACCTAACTTTTTATTTTTATTAACCTACTAACTATAACCTTTGGCTCAAATACTAACTTATAGCTTATAATTTTTAACCTAATCTTTTCTTTTTTATTACCCTATTGGCTATAAACTTTGGCCCAAAAAGTAACTTATGACTTAACCTTTGACCCAACTTTTTTTTTCTACTAAACTATTGGCTATAATATTTGACCTAAACACTATTTTATAGCTTATAACCTTTGTCTTAACTTTTTCAATTTTCATGCCAATTTGTTTTAACTTTTAACCCAAATAGTAACTTATATCCCATAGAATGTGGCCCAACCTTTCTTTTCTACTAACTTATTGGTTATAACCTATAATCTATAACCTTTGGCCTAAGTTATTCTTTTTATTAACCTATTGGCTATAACTTTTTGCTTAAATTCTAGCCTACAACCTAAAGCTTTGGCTTCACATGTTATTTTTATTAACATATTGTCTACGTCATTTGGCTCAAATAATAATCAATAACTTATAGGAATTGTTCTAACTTATTTTTTATTAACCTATAAAGTATAGCCTTTGGCTAAAATGCCAATTTATAGCTTATAGCCTTCAACTAAACTTTTTCTGCTTATTTACCTAGTGCCTCTATCCAATAGCTTTAATCTAATTTTTCTCTTTTTATTAAAAATTGGCTATAACATTTGGCCAAATTATTACCTATAGCCTAACCTTTTTTTTTATTAACCTATTACTATATCTTTTGGCTTAAATAAGTATTGATATCCTTTAGCCTTTGACACAACTTTTTTTTATTAACCTCTTGGCTATAGGATTTGATGCAAATATTAACCTATAACTTATAACATTTGTCCTACTTTTTATTTTTAAAAAAATAATTAGTAATAACATTTAATCTAAATACTAACTTATAACCTATAATTTTTGGCAAACCTTTTTATTTTATAAGTCTATTAGCTATAACCTTTAAACCAAAAAAATAACCTATAGCCTATAGTATGTGAACCATATTTTCTCTTTATTAACTTATCTGTTATATTTTTTTGCTCAAATAATAAACTATGACTTATACCCTTTGGATTTATTTTTATTAACTTAATAACTATAACCTTTGGCCCAAATACTAACCTACGACCTATAGCTTTTAACCCAATTTTTTCTTTTTATTAACCTATTTGTTGTAACATTTGGCTAAAATAGTAACCAATAATATATAATATTTGGCTTAATCTTTTCTTTTTACTAACAAATTGACTAACCTTTAAGCCTAAATAGAAATTTAAAAACTATAGCCTTTGTCCTAACTTTTTCATTTTATTTACATAGTATTTATATCTTTTGCCCAAAATAATAACCTTTATAGCTTTTGGTCCAACTCTTTCCCTTTTTTTTTAACATATTGGCTATAGACTTTAGCCTAAATAGTAACTTATGTCCTATAATTTTTTATCTAACTTTTTCTTTTTATTAATTAATTGACTATAATCTTTGCCCAAAATAGTAACTTATAGCCTTTGTTCCAAGTTTTTCTTTCTATTAAACAATTGGCAATAACCTTTAGCCAAAATACTAACTTATAGCATAAAACTTTTGGCCCATTTTTTTTAATTTACTGACCTATTGACTATATCATTTTATATAAATAGCACCCTAAATCATATAGCATTTTGCCCAACCTTTTCATTTTACAAAGCTATTGGCTATAACCTTTGGCCAAAATAATAACCTACATCATCTTTGGCCTAACTTTTGCTTTTTACTAACCTCTTGGCTATGTTCTTGATCCCAAATATCCTTTTATAACATAAAACCTTTCGCTTAGCTTTTTCAATTTATTAATCTATTACTTATATCCTTTCTTCCAAATACTAACATATTGGCTATGGCTTTTGGTACATTTTTTTTTTCATTTTATTAACCTATCACATATAGCTTTCGATCTAAACAATAACATATAACTTAAAGCCTTTAGCCTAAAATTTTTTAATTAAACTATTAACTATACCCTTTGACTTAAACTCTAACCGATTACCTATAACATTTGGTCCAAATACTAACATATACTTTATAGACTTTGTTCCAACATTTTTTTTTTAGTAACCTATTGGATATAATCTTTGGTCCAAGCAGTGACTTATAGCCGATAAAACTTTGGCTCAACTTTTTCTTTTTATTAATCTATTTGCTAGAGCCATTGACCCAAATACTAAGATATATCCTATAGCTTTTAGTCCAAGTTTTTCTTTTTATTTACTTATTATGCAGCTATAACTTTTTCTTTTCTTTTTTTACCTAATGCCTATAGCTTTTGAACTAAATACTAACCTATAACATTTGGACCAAATTTTTTCTTTTTATTTTCTTATTAGGCATAGCATTTGTTCCAAATAGTAACATAAAGCTTATAGTCTTTGACTTAACTTTTTATTTATTAACTTATTGACAATAGCATTTGGCCCAAATGGTAACCTAATAGCTATAAGCTTTGGCCCAACCTTTTCTTTTTATTAATCTTTTAACAATAGCTTTGATTTAAATAGTAACATATAATATGTTGCCTTTGACCCAATTATTTTGTTTTGTTAACCTATTGGCTATAGCTTTTGGCCAAATACTAACCTATCGATAATAAACTTTAGCCCCACAATTAGCTATATCCATTGGTCCCAATAGTAACTTATAGCTTATAACCTTTAGTCCAACTTTTTCTTTTTATTAATGGTTATAACATTTTGCCTAAATAGTAACTTATAGCCTATACTTTTGATTTAACTTTTTCTTATTACTCACCTATTGATTGTATTCGTAAACTAAAATAGCAACCTAGTGCCTATAATCGTTGGGCCAAGTTTTTCATTTTTTTAACATTTTAGCTATAACTTTTTACCCAAATACTAACTTACAACCTATAACCTTTGGAACTTTTTTTTTTCTTAGTTACCTATTGGTTGTAGCTATAGACCAAAATAACAACCTAATGTTTATAACCATTAGGCCAAGTCTTTCATTTTTTAACATTTTAGTTAAAAATTTTAACCCAAATACTAACCTACAACCTATACCTATTGATTATAATACTAACATATTACTTATAACCTTTCACCTAGCTTTTTCTTTTTACTAGTTGGCTCTAGCGTGTGGCCTAAATATTAACCCATAATATATAGCTTCTAGCCTAAACTTTTTCTTTTTACAAATCTATTGCTTTATAGCCATAGGCTAAAGTAATATAGTGCCAATAGCGTTGGCTTAACTTTTTAAATTTTTTTTAACATTGTGGCTATACCCTTTGACTCTAATACTAACCTATATTCTATAACTTTTCCTTTAACTTTCTCATTTTATTAATATATTAACTATGGTCTTACACCTAAATACTAATTTATAGACTATAGCACTTGGCTTAACTTTTTATTTTTATTAATATTTGATTATAGCCTTTAGTCCAAATATTAACCTATAACTAGACCTAGCAATTCATGTTTTCATATCGTGTTTCATGTCATATTTTACACGTGTAATGACATGAATTATTAAAACACAAACACGACACGAAGTATAAAATGTGTTTAAATCATAAACATGAACACAACACATTTAATATATATGTTACATGCAACATGACATAATTAATATATATATAATTTATTTATTTAAACACAACACGAATAAACATGAATAATATAAATATACAAGAATAGACATCACTAACACAGATATACACAAATAAGCATGATTAACACGAATATATACAAGAACACGACTAAAATAATAAATAACTATAAACAATCCATCATTTACAGCTTAATAAATTTGACATATTAATAATATAAAAAAATATTACATATTATAAAAATAAAAAAAAATTAATACTCATTTAATATGTATTTAATATATATATTTATATTTATATTTATATTATATAACTATATTAATTTTTAGTATCAAATTTAAAATGATAAACTATTAAAGATTAAGAATAAAATAATAATGTATAAGACTGAAATTAATATTTATATTGTATTTATATTATTAATATAAAAATATTTTTATAATAATTATTAAATAAGTATCATAATTAAATATTTAAAATAATTTTTATATAAAATTAAATAGCTAATTAAGTATCATAATTAAAAGATTAAAAATTAAAATAATTTTTATATGTTTATATTAAATTAAATAAATATAAAAAATGTGTTAAACGTGTTAAATATATTAAACATGTACTTTTATGATAAGATTAAATTAAACGAGTTATTCATATCCTGTTAACTGTTTAAATGAGCCAACACATGTATAACACGTATTTTGTCATGTCAAAATTCATATCGACACGAATAAATACAAAACACGTTTTTTTAAAACATATATATGATTTTTTTTATCATATTAACATGTCGTATTTAAAATTACCAAATCTACCTATAGCTTATATGTTTTAGTCTAATTTTTTTCATTTTATTAACATATTAGATATAAATATTTGCTCAAATAATAATTTATACCCTATAACTTTTGATCCAATTTTTTCATTTTACTAACATATTTGGTTGCAACTTGTAATCCAACTAGTAACTTATAACATACAACTTTTGACTTGATTTTTTCTTTTTATTAATCTATTGACTATAACCTTTAGCACAAATGATAATTTATAATCGATAAAATTTCGCTCAATTTTTTTATTATTAACTTATTAGCTATATCCTTAAACCCAAATAGCAAGCTATAGCTTTTAGCCTTTTGCTTTATTTTTTTTTTCTTTTTATTAACTATTGATTATAACACTGAACACGAATAATAACTTATAACCTATATAGCCTTAGGCACAAATAATAACCTCTTTAGCCCAATTTTTTCATTTTACTAAACTATTGCTTTGGCTGAAAAACTAACATATATCCTGTTAGCCAAGAAAAAAAAAAATTTTTATAAACCTAGTGGTTATAGCTTTAAGTCCAAATAATAACTTATAATCTTTAACCTAAATTTTTATTTTTATCAACATATTAGCTATAACTATTGGCCTAAATACTAATCTTTTGCCTTTATAGCTTTTAGCCCAACTTTTTATTTTCATTAACTTATTAGCTATAACTTTTGTGTCAAATACTAAACTATAGCATATAGCATTAGGCCAACTTTTTACTTTTACTAACCTAATTGTTATAGCCTTAATACTAAGTAGTAAATTATAACCAATAGTTTTTTACCTAAATTTATCTCTTTATTAAGCTATTTACTATTGCTTTTGTGCCAAATAATAACTTATAATTTATAACGTTTAGCCTAATTTTTTCTTTTTATTAACATATTAGTTATGATCTTTAGCCCAAATAGTAATCTATATCCCATAGGCTTTGGTCCAACATTTTCTTTTCATTAACATATTAGCTATAGTTTTTTATCTAAATACTAATATATATCATATAGCCTTTGGTCCAAAAAAAATTTTTTTTATCAACAAATTGCTATAACCTTTTGTCCAAATTATAACATATATCCCATAGCCTTTGGTTTAACTTTTCATTTTATTAACATATCATTGATAACATTTCACCCAAATAGTAAACTATAACCAATACCCTTTAAACTAACTTTTTTCTTTTTATTAACTTATTAGTTATAGCCTTTGTCCTAAATAGTAACTTATATCCTATAATTTTTTGTCCAACTTTTTTTTTTATTAACATATTAGCCATAGCTTTAGCCCCTAATAATAACCTATAGCCTATAGCTTATAGTCTTTGCCAAACTTTTCTTTTTTACTAAGTTATTGGCTATAACCTTTAGCTCAAATAGTAACCTGTAGATGATAGCCTTTAGCCTAACTTTTTTATTTTACTATCATATTGACTATAGCCTACGACCCAAATTGTACCTACAAGATATAACTTTTGACTTAAATGTCAATCTATAGCTTTTAGTTTAACTTTTTTTTATTAACCTATTAATTATAGCTTTATGCTTAAATAGTAACTTATGGCCTATAACTCTTGGCTCTATTGTTTTTTTAGTATAACTATTGACCAAAATAATAACCTATAGCATATAGCATTTAGCCCAACATATTTTTTTATTAATCTATTGGTTATAATCTTCAATCCAAATAGTAAATAGCTTTTAACCTATAGCCTTTAGCCTAACATTTTCTTTTATTAACCTATTAACTATAAACTTTGGCCTAATACTAACTTAGAATCTATAACCTTTGGCCAAATATTTTTTTATTAATCTATTGGTTACAATCTTCAACTCAAATGTATGCTAATATATAACTTATAGCATTTTGCTTGACTTCTCTTTTTACTAAACTATTTACTATAACCTTAGGCTAAAAAAATAGCATATAAAATATAACATTTGGCCCAAAAATTTTCTTTTCTTAACCTCTTGATTATAGCCTTTGAATCAAATACTAATCTAAGGCTATAACCTTTGGCCATAATACAACTTTTTCTTTCTACTAATTTATTATCTATAATATTTAGCTTAAATGCTAATCAATAACCTATAGCCTTCGTCTCAACTTTATCAATTTACATACATAACATATAGAGCCTTTAACCTTACTATTAACCTAAAGCCTATTAAATTTGGCCTAACATTTTTTTTTTACTAACCTATTGATTATAGTTTTAGACCTAAATAATAACTTATAGTTTATAACCTTTGACCTAACATTTTCTTTTTGTTAACCTATTTAATACAGCCATTAGCCTAAATTCTAACCTATAGCCAATAGCTTTTAGACCAAGTTTTTCTTTTTTATTAACCTATTGGTTATATCTTTTTTACCAAATAGTAAATAATAGCATATAGTATTTGGCTTAAATTTTTTTCTTAACCTATTAACTATAACCCTTGGCATAAATACTAACATTTAGCTTATAGCTTTACCATAACTTTTTCTTCTTACTATCTTATTGCCTATATCCTTTAGCCTAACTATTAACCTATAAAAAATAACTTTTGCTCTAACTTTTTCTTTTTAGCAACTTATTGCCTATAGCCTTTCATCTAAATTATACCCTATAACTTTTGCCTAGCTTTGTCATTTTATGAACCTATTTACTATAGCATTTGATCAAATAATAAATAGTAGCTTATAGTTTTCCACTCAATTTTTTTCTTTTTATTAACCTATTGGCTATAGCTTTTTGCCTATAAACTAAACTATAGCCTATAGCATTTGAACCAACTTTTTTCCCTTTACTAACATATTGGCTACAACATTTGGTCTAATCACTACTTTATAGCCTACAACATTTGGTGAAATTTTTTTCTTTTTATTAGCCTCATGGTTATTACCATTTGTCCAATTAGTAACTTATTACTTATAGCCTTCGACACAACTTTTTCTTTTTATTAACATATTTGCTATATCCTTCAACGCAAATAGTAACATATTGCCTATAATCTTTAACTTAACTTTTTCTTGTTACTAACCTATACCATATAGTTTTTAACTCAAATATTAACTTGCATCATAAAGTCTTTTACCTAATTTTTTCTTTTTATTAATTTATTCACTATAACTTTTGACCTAAATAGTAACTTATAACCTATAACGTATGTCTTAATTTATTTTTTTAAGCCTTGTGCACAAATAGTAATATATAACTTATAACATTTGGCTCAACCTTTTCTTTTATTAACCTATTGTTTATAACATTTGTTCCAAATTCTAACCTATAACCTATATCCTTAGGCCCAATATTTTTGTTTTGGTATCCTATTGGCAAAAACCTTTAGCCAAAATTGTAACATATAACTTATAATTATTTGCCTAACCTTTTTCTTTTTATTAACTTATTGATTATAACCTTTTGTCAAAATAGGAACCTATAACTTATAGCTTTTCGTCAACCTTTTTTTTTTTATTAATCTACTATTTATAGGCTTTGATGTAAATAGTAAGTTAAAGCTAAGAGCTATTAACCCAATTTTTTCTTTTATTAATCTATTTATTGTAACTTTTAGCTCAAATACTAACATAGTCTATAACCTTTGGTCAATTTTTTTTTTTTAACTTATTGGTTATAACATTTAGCCTAAATAGTAACCAAAAACTTATAGCTTTTGGTCCAACTTTTTCTTATTATTAACTTATTTCCTATAACTTTTAGCCCAACTTTTATTTTATTACCTATTGTTTATAATCTTTTACCTAATTTTTTATTTTTACTTATTTTTTGGCAATAGCTTTTGTTCCCAATATTAACCTATAGCCTAAAACATTTTACCCAACTTTTTCTTTTTATTAACTTATCGGTTATATACTTAAGCCATATAGTAACTAACAGCTTGTAACCTTTTACTAAACTTTTTTTTATTGACCTTGTGGCTATTGTCTTTCGCCCAAATTCTAACATATGCCTTATGGTCTTGGACCCAACTTTTTTTATTAACCAACTAGCTATATCTTTTGGCCTAAATAGTAACAATAGGTTATAGTTTTTTGCCAAACCTTTTCAGTTTTTTTTTATTAACCTAATTGTTATAACCTTTAACCCAAATACTAACCTATAACTTATAGCTTTTTGTCCAATTATTTTTTTATTAATCTATTAACTTTTTTATTAATCTATTAACTGTTGCTTTTGGCTCAAATGCTAATTTATAACCTATAGCATTTAGCGAACTTTTTTTTTTACTAACTTATTAGCTATAGCTTAATGCCAAAATAATAAGTTACAACCTCTAGCCTTTGGCTCTACTTTTTATTCTTAATCTAGTGACTATAGCCTTGGTCCTAAATAGTAATCTATAACGTATTGCCTTAGGATCAAATAGTAACTGATAAGCTATAGCCTTTACTCAACTTTTTCATTTTACCATCTTGATGACAATCTTTTGCCTAAATACTAACCTATAACTTTTGAACAAACTTGTTCTTTTTACTAATCTATTAGCTATAGCTTTAGGCCCAAGTAGTGACTTGTAGCTTATAATCTATGGTCCAGCTTTTCCTTTTATTAATATATTGGCAATAGCCTTAAGCCCAAATAATAAACAATAGCCCACAACCTTTAGCCTAGGGTTTTCTTTTTATTAAACGATTAGCTATTACCTTTGGCCCAACTTTTCATTTTACTGACCAATTAGCTATAGCCTAAGCCCTAAGATGTACCTATACTGTATAACTTTTGGTCCAAATACTAACTTATACTCTTTGATCCAACTTTTTCTTTTTATTAATCTAATAGCTATAACCTTACGCCCAAATAACAATCCATAGCCTATAGTCTTTGGCTCAACTTTTTATTTTTATTAACCTATTAACTATAGTAAAAGGCCAAAATAGCAACTTTTATCATATAATAACCTATAGTCATTGGCTATAATCATTGATTTGAATAGTAACTTATAGCTTATAAACTTTGGACCAATAATTTTTTATTTTTAACCTATTTGCTATAATCTACCCAAATAAAAACCTATAACATATAACCTTTGATCTTTTTTTTTTTTTTTTTGCGTTAATAGGTTATAAATTGAACCAAAAGCTATAGGTTATAGGTTTATATTTGAGCAAAAAGTTATAGCCAATAAGTTAATAAAATTAAAAAGTTAAGCCAAAAGATATAAGTTAAGCTAATATTTGAGCTAAAAGCTATAGATAATAGGTTAATAACAAGTAAAAGTTTGGTGAAATGCTATATAATATTGGTTACTACTTGAGCCAGCTACTATAAAAAATAAGTTAGCAATAAAAAAAGTTAAACCAAAAGCTATAAACTATAGGTTAATTTTTTACTAAAGGGTAAAGCCAATAAATTAATAAAATTAAAAGTTGAGTAAAAGGCAATAGCTTATAAGTTAGTATTTAGACAAAGATTATAGCCAATAAGTTATTATTTAGGCATACAAGGCTTCATCCAATAGTTTATTACAAAAAAAATTTAATCAAAAACTATAAGCTATAAGGGAATTTTTTTAAAGTAACAAAAAAAAAAAGGCCAATGGATATAAGTTATATGGGCCAAAAGTTATAGCCATTAATTTAGTTTAAAAAAAAAAAGTTAAGCCAAAGATTATAAACTATAGGTTATTAAAATTTAAGTCAAAAGTTATAGATTATAAGTTACTATTTGGACCAAAGATTATAGCAAATAGAATAATAAAAAAAAAGTTGAACTAAAGGTTATAAGCTATAAATTATTATTTAAGCCTAAGACCCTGAATAATAAGTTAATAAAAAGAAAAAATTGAGCCAAATACTATAACAAAAAGTTACAGGTTAATTACTATTTGAACTAAACGCTATAGCCAATAGGTTAATAAAAACAAATATTTGACCAAAAGCTATAAACTATAGGTTCATATTTATAACTTACTATTTAGGTCTAAGACTATAGACAATAAGTTAGTAAAAAACCTAGCAAAAGGCTATAAGCTAAAGATAACTATTTTGACAAAAAGATATAACCAATAAGTTAATGAAAAGAAAAAATTAAGCAAAAAGCTAAAAGTTATAGTTACCATTTGTGCCAAAAACTATTGACAATAAAATAATAAAAAAAAGTTCAACCAAAAATTATAGATTATAGGTTAGTATTAAGACTAATATGCTAATAAAATGTTAAACCAAAAGTTACAGGTCATAGATTACTATTTATGCAAAAAGTCTATCTAATACATTAATAAAAATAAAAATAAAAATTAAGACAAACGCTATAAGTTATAGGTTACTATTTAGACTAAAAGCTATAGCCAATAAGTAAATAAAAAAAAAGTTAGGTCAAAAGCTTTATGATACAAGTTAGTATCTTGGCTAAAAGCTATAAAGTATAGGTTAGTAAAATGAAAAAATGGACCAAATGTTGTAAGTTATATGTTACTATTTGAGTCGAAAAACATAATAAATAGGTTAATAAAAAGAAAATATTGTGTCAAAAGCTATAGGTTATAAGTTACTAATTAGGCCAAAGGCTATCAAAGAGGTTAATAAACTATATATGAGTTTAACTCTCAATTTGCTATCTCAACCTCCGAATGATGCTCCTGACAATCCGAACACTTGCAATTAGACCTAGCAATTTAAAAATATCCCACAATGACACAACATGAATACAATAAAAAAATACAAAATGATACAGTTTAAAATTTTAATAATAGCTATATATAGGTTTAACAAAAGCAAAAAAATGTATTTCATATTTTTGTGTCGATACGAATTGTGATATGCAATTTTTGTATAAAACACGACTTGAATAGATGAATTTCAATATTTTACACAACAATCATCAGGTCTAATTGCAGTGCTGCCATAGATGAACAAGGCAATAATTAGAAAAACAGAAAAAGCTAAAGTGAACATAAAATTGCAACATGCAAGCAATGGCTGAAGAATCTTACTTCAAAGAGTAACACCCCCAGCTTTCACATTGCCACAGTCTTGACATCCCCACATTGCCATGGCTTTACTCTTCACTGCGTACTGCAACAATTAATAACATGTTAGATTAAATATGCAACTATCAAGCAAATCAAATCATCTCAATTCTCGAACAAGTATGAAAAGAATGTTAACAAGCTGAAAAATTACCTTTCCACAGAACTCACAGAAGTACTTGTGCTGACTGACCTCCATCTTTTTAATTTGCTTACGCAAACTAGCACCGTATCCGGTACTTGAAATTTACCAGGTGTTAGCAACATTCTAAATGCAATAACACACAAGCAAAAACATTCCAAAGTACTTAAAAGAGTCAAGACAAGCTGTAGAGACTAAAATCTGCATTAAGTCCGAAATTTACCGGCTATTAGCAACATTCTAAATGCAATAACACACAAGTAAAAACATTCCAAAGTACTTAAAAGAGTCGAGACAGGCTGTGGAGCCTAAAATCTGCATTAAGTTATAAACACAACGTCTAATTATCCAGTTTTCAGCCACACCAAAGGCCCCTCACAGAAACAGGCCATACAACAACAAAGTACACCCACAATGCAAGTAAAAATGGAAATCAAGCAAATAAGATCCCTCATTCGAGAAACTTGATAGCATTTCAATGATACAAGACAACAGAATAGTCATTATGGTTCACTTCTCATGAAATATACCAAACTGAAAACCAGAAAACTTCATAAAATCTAAACAGAGCGCTTACCATACTTCCCAACGACACCAGCCTTCTTGGTTCTCTTTGTCTTGCATAAAATTAAAGAAGTGCAAAGTTAACATAAGCTAACAACTGGACAAAAAACCACAAACTTTAACATATGGAAGAAAAACTACAAACTTTGATCACAGCAAAACAAATAATAATAAGATCACAAAGAAACCAGCTAACATCTTTCATTCCTTACACAGAAATTGAATCTTAAAAATGTAGACTTTACCCCCTTTCCACAATTCAAGAACAATTCATATGAATATAGCGATATCAATTGTGAAAAATATGATCTATTGTTAAGAGTTAGAAGCACGAAAGAAAACATAGATACTAAAAAAAGGAGCTTTGTGGTAAATTTTGGAAGAGATGAGAAGAAGTTTCAGTGAAAGAGAGCGTACCATTTTGGAAGGCTTTGGAGATCCGACAGAGGAGCTAGGAAAAACCCTAGATAGCCCATTCATTCAGCCGCGCGGCCAATTATATAGGGAATAATTTGCCCCCAAACCCGTCCCGTATCTCATTAAAATACTAAAATTTATACATTTATATAATGTTTTACGTAAAAATTATATGTTTTTATTCTTATTGAAATTGACATGAAAATAAAATATTTTTGTTTTAATTTTATTAAAATTATTATTAAAATTTTAAGACATGTTACTTCTATGTATTTTTTTTCTTTTTTAATGTTCTTTTTTCTTTCTGATGATATCGTATCGATCTATCTAATATAAATGAAAATTTCTACCTTTTTCTTGGATAGTAAATTGGTAATAGAAACTGGAATTGAGGTTCAAGCATTTTTACCAGTTATTATACATGAAAAAATAACTAATTTCTGAAGTTCATGCGGATGTTGGCGCAGATCTGGGAAGAGACAAGACCAAGCTGCTGCAGAGAAAGAGAACATCGACTTTGGATGCTCAATTTGATAATATTTGCAAGAAATAATATTTAAAACATGGCGCAGACGAAGAAACTCATGTAACACCCCGCACCAGACATCATGAATTTCTTCTAACAAAATACAAGGATCATCACTATCCTCTACATAAAATTTTCTAATATCCTTGATTTGATGGGAACTGGAGGCCGAAAATCCTCCAACCGTAAGTTGGAGCTTGCTCGGATTTGATTCAAAACAGTTTCTCCTTTCTCTGTTTTAATTACCCCCAAGGTGCTTCCAAGAACATCTCCGGCGAGACCAGTTTGTCGAAGCTCCTCTCCACCATCGTATATTAAAAGCCCAATCTCCGCCAGGGAGATGACGTTTTCTACAATGACTTTGGCAAAAATACGGCCAAGAAATTCTGCAGCTTTTGGAGCATCATTCACTGCATCCTCCAATGTGCTGAGAACAGATTCAAACCTGAGTGAAAAAAACAAAAACCATAAATGTAATGGCTTCAGAAGGTTATAATCAATCGGTGAATACTGTTGAATGATTCTCATACCCTTTAACAAGTTGAACTTTGCTTAACACACCATCACGAGAACTTGCCAGATTGACAAGTAGCTTGGCCAAAAGATCCCGTTCCATGTCTTTTCTTTCAAAAGAGTCTGTTACCCAAAGAGCAATCATTGTCGGATGAAAGTTTTGGGAATTCAAATCTTTGACGCACAAAGCAACTTCTTTCTCATCTCTAGCACTGTAAGAATTAAAAGAGAAAAATGCTAAGTACCTAATAAAAGTAATCATGGAATTAAATCAAGAGCTGTAATTTTTAAGTTTACCATCAACAGCTGCACTACTTACCTTAAATCAAGTTATCAGTATCAACATCAAAATTGATCAAGATATATTTTAACCACATAGTTTGAGCAAAAAAATTTTCAAATCTCAATGTCCTTTTAAGTTTTAAAAATGTAAATGCATACTATAACTCTTTAAGTTTACTATCATCAGCTGTGCTATTTACTTTAAATGAAGGCATCAGTATCCAGAATAAATATCAAAATCGTGTAAGATATATATTTAACCATACTTTGAGTAAAAGAACCTTCAAATCTCATTGTCCTTTAAGATTTAGAATAACTAAAACTCTGAAAAGTTTTTGCTTCTAAATCTGATTAAATAACAAGACAGTATTGGGGCAAGTTAATTGCAGTTCGATTATTAGACTGCCAACCTGTAAATTTAATATTTGAGATCCTAAAGCCAAACACTTTTCAATAGCAGTTTTACATTCAACTTTCTGCTGATGACTAAAAGTAGAGTGCAAATATGCGTCCATATGCAAATGAATGTGATTGTGCATTTATATACTTATATGTTACAGGAAACAGAATGACTAGTACCAGGGACACTAAAATCAGACTTGAGCCAAGAGGATACCTGTAAAATTCTTTAATTGCTGCTATGGACATTTCCTGCAGGCGCTCCTCAGGCCAGCCCTTTTCTGGAGGACTATTTTGAGAGAAACCTGATGTTTGACCTCGTGCAGGTGGAGAAGCTGCAAGAGGTCTATCAAAACTGCGATCGGGGTTCCTAAAGTCCCTATTACTGAAATTCATGCCACGTTCCAGGGAACTCAACTGGTCATAAGAAGCTGGCATTGCAAATCTATCTGTCACATATCTTGGCTTGAGATCCTCCCTAGAACCATAAGTAGTCCGCTCTGATAGAGAGCTAAAACCATTCAAACCAGCAGCCATTCTTCTTGAATCTCCTGAACTAGGAGAAATATCAGCTAGGGGTGCACTTGACATTGCTGGCTGTCCTCTAAAAGACATCCCTCTAGCGAGACCACCCTGGGGGCCCAAAGTAATAGAATCATCAGCAATCGGTCTTTGAGGCAAGGTAACTGACAAAGTCCTAGCCTCCAAAGACTGTCTGTCGTCTGTGCGAGTATCCTGAGCCCCAAAACCACGGACCTGGGTGGGCAACCCACGAAAACTACCCATCTGAGCACCAGGGGAAGATAACATAGATGGTCTTGGACCAAAATCCATAGTCGCTCTTCTTGCAGCAGGATTGATTCCAGGACCACGAGCAAGCCTACTGGCTTGTGCTTGTCGCTCTTGAGCAGCATCTCTGTGCACTTCCTCAATCTTTTTAGGCCCTTCAACTTTCCTCCTCTGCTGCCATTTATTCTTTCTCAAATCAATAGCATCCTTCAACATGAACCTAAGCCTAGAAGATAATTTCATATTGTTCGACAACTTTCCCATCCTCTCAAAATAAGCATCCATATAATCCTTTGCTTTGGGATGGTCAATCATGTCTCCAATCGTACTCATTAATTTGCACAAAGCCTCAACATCTTCCTCATCAGGATTCTCATACTCACCGAGTAATTTCTTGATGCATTCATGCATTATTCTCTCAGTTAACATTTTCTTCTTGTACAACTCCCCAATAAGTCTAATGTTACCCAACATTCGCCTCCGTACCTTGATTCTCTTTTCCTCTCTTTCCTCCTCAGACTGTTTAGCCTCACCCACTTCCTCAACTTTATTTGCTTCTTCTTGCTCTCTCTCCCCTCTTTCAAATTCCTCCTGGCACTTGTTCAGCAGCAATCTCTTGAAAGTTATCTTTTCATTGTCTTCACTAAAATCAGGCAACTCTCCTGCCAGATGATAACAGAAGTTTGCATACATTTCACAGAAAGTTGGCTCCATCAAAGCTTTGTCAAAGATCTGTGAGATGACACCAGTGAGTGTACCTGCATTGTCAATGTTTACTTCTTTTACTTGTTCAAAGAGTTTCTCAAAGTTCTGGGGAGTTAGTTTGTTCAAAATGGCTTTCAATCGCCTTTGCTTGGATTCTTCATCGTCAGCCACTTTACCCACTTCATACTTCCTTTCAGCTTTGTGCATCATCTGTAATGGAGTTTGCGGAGAAGGAATCAACCCCCTTTGTTGATAGTTAGCAACACGTTGCCACCTCTCAGTGTCAGGACTATTTCGTGGCATCCCTCCTTGTGGACCCATAGGTTGCATTGGTCCTGAAAGGATCCCTCCAACATATGGCAGAGGTGTTTGCGCATGTGGGTACCTTAGAACACCAAAGTTACCCCCTAGGCCAGGCCGAAAACCTGCTGCAGCACCATAAGCAAGATCAAGATGCAAGTCCTTTCCTGGGCCAAAAGAACCAGGTAGTTTAATCCATCTGTCATCATCACCCATTCCACTAGCTCGGCGATCTAATCGAGAACCACTAGATTGCCTATCTATTATTCTTCCAGGACTAGGATATGAATCACGATCAACAAGGTAAGAAGCATTAACATTGGCAGCCATCAAGGCCCCTGCAATATCAGAAGCAATCTCAAATCCCTGTGGAAGATCAGCACACTGCTCTGCAAACTTAAGGAGGAAATCTCTGGAATACTTCTTTGCTATATTCCCACTTCCATCTTTCTCATGACTGACTAACCCTCCATGAGCCCTTTCGTCATTATCTGAAGTTTCTAATTTTGGTGTAGAGATGTCAGCAGCATCTTCCCAATCATCCGGTTCAGCTTTATTCTGTGCAATTTTCTCACTTTCTGTAGTATCCACCTGAAGGGCCTCATGAGATACCAGCTTCAAATTAACACCAATAGAATTGCTTTCTACACTTGCAGAAGGTATGACTGTCTCTTTCTTTTCCTCAGGACCTTTATATGCCATATAGAGATCAGAAGTTGTCCCAGCAGCATCAGCCTTCTGAAGAATTTCTTTTCTTTTTTTCTTCCCTCTAATTATAGTACTCTTTGTCCTACTGAGTTCTGGCGCACTACTGAGTTCTGGCGCAGGTTTGTCATTTGAACTAGGTACAGAAACACCTTCTCCTTCGTATTCTGAAGTTGAGTTTGAGAGATCTGGAGTTGTGATGGGAGCAGACTGCTGGTCTGATGCACTATATTTAGTAACAGTGATCTCATCGCTATCAGTGGCACTTGAAGATGCATTGGAAACAAAGGTGATATCAACATGAGAACCTTCAACATTTGTAGAGTCGACAATTATAGAGGTAGAGACATCCATACTATCAGTGACTCTCTCATTTTGTATGCTAACCCCCACATCTTCATCAAGCACCCTCAGTGCAGTTCCTAAGGTTGGAACACCATTGCTGGTAGCTGGTGCCTTTGTTGCAGATTCCTGATCAGATTTAAGCTCCATAGACTTCAAGGGAACCAGTTCAGAAGGAATCTCAAGAGTAGCATTGTCTTTTAAGTGCTCTTCAGGTAATTTTTTTTCCTCTTCTTCCTTAATTCCACTGATTTCAGGTTTTGGTTGCTCATCCAGCTTGGAAGAACCATCCATCTTAGCATGCTGAACCATGTCCAAGCTATCAACATTATTGCCAGTACCAGAAACTTCAGATGAAATAGAGGTTAAGCCTTCTCTCTTGCTATCTGTCTTCAGTTCTAAGGAAGAAATTGAAGCATCATTAATTGATAGTAATTCCCTGGTAGATTGTGACAAAACATCAGCAGCTGCTGATGTTTTTAAAGCTGTTTCAACCCCTATAGTTTCAGAAACTGCACTGTCCAAGGAAATACCATGTTCTTCAGCGTGGGAAGCCAAGTTGGATGCTGATGTCGTAGACTGCCCAACAGTGTGTGAACAAACAGATAAATACATGCAAACAAAACATTACATGTGAAAAAAAAAAAAACAAACACACACAAGGAAAATACCTGATTTGGTGGCTGAATATGTCCTTTCTTACCCAGTTTCTTTTGATAATCTTTTATAGAGTTTGACCTACTCAAACTCTCCTTCCTTCTGCCTTCATTACTGGCAACAACTGGCATAGACTCCTCAGATGTAGCAGCTGGAGCAGAAGACACAGAATTAGATGGCAGGCTCTCATCCAAGTTAGTTGCTGGAATTTCCCCATAACGTTTAGCTGCAGCAGGTAATGACTTGGATGTTAATGATTCACTTCCAGGTTTTGGCTGCTCTACAAAGCTCTCTTGACAAGTATCCAACTCTTTTTGAGCCTGAGATGAGCTAACCTCACTAGATGGCACAGAAGGTTTTAGTGAACCAACCTTTCCAACAGGAGGCAAGCCACTTGAAAAAGTGGAATCTGCCACCTTCTCTCCAACAGAAACAGCAGCTGGCTTGACTGTAACCTGTGTTATACCTGAGGAAGCAAAGGATGTCACACTGTGAACATCACGAGAAGGTTCCACATTTGGTGATTCTGAAGTACCATGTGTAAGATTTATGGATTTATTAACTGGAAGTGAACCATGGGCTGCCACTGAATTCATAAAAGAAATGTTTTGATGACCCTGGCCAACAGGATAGTTAAATCTAGGCCCTGGGGCATTGGGTGCTATCTGGCTACTAGACAATGGCATAGAACTTGGTGGTGGATAAAACATGGAATTGGTGTTGTAAGAATTGGAATAATAGTTGATTGAATGAGAAGTTGAAAATGTTGGAATCGGCTGGGATTGAGAAGGCACATTAGGATGAGACCTCGGACCTGATGACCCACCATCTGAATATGCATCTGTTCGTTTATCAAGCCTTAATTCTTCATGAGTGTCAGGGTGAGTAATCTTGACAGGAGTGGTTTTACGAGGAACACCAAACCTCCCTCCCTGCTGTTGAGAATACTGAGGGGCAATGCCCATTCCCAAGGTGCCCAATTGGGGTGCAATCTGGGCACCCAAAGATGGCGTGAAACTCAAACCCTGACCCTGATGCATCATTCCCTGAGGTGGCAGAGGATGGGGCCGAAGACCTGGGACAAAGACTTGTTGCTGCACCTGAGGTGCATTTCCTATTGGTAATGGAATACCCATTGGCAATTGAATTGAAGTAGCAGTTACACTCTGAGACTGAATCTGTGGATTAGGCCCACCAAATTGCATGGAAACCTGGGGCTGGTGATGAAATGGCATCTGCATAGAAGTCATGGGTATATTAAGAAGAGATGGCTTCTGTGTTTGGTTCGCAGGGGGTGCCACAGAGGCTTGTGCATCTTTTTTGACATTGGGCACTGGATGAGCCTCCCCAGAATTAGATTGGTCAGTTGCAACCGAATCCTTTCTTGGTAGCTGCTGCTTAGTAACAGGAGTGGGTAAATTTGGCACAGATATAAAAGAAGATTCACGGCGTGCCTGCAGGTTAAAATGTCATTTAAATATAAGTGAATTCCTAAGACTCCAAAACTATATCAGTTAAAAAGCATCAAGATCATGAACATGATAGAACAGCAACTAAGATGGGCCACCCAAACATGTCATATTCACATTATACTCGGTTTCTACGGGTATTCTGTCTGTTAATATTTGGTAAAGTAACCAGAGTGAACAAAACGAGGCATTTTTAGTTTTCCGCAATGTAACATTTCATGGTTCTTGAAAATTAAACTACATGAAGAAGGAGAATCATTAGACTTAATTATCCACTAATCTCTTTACCTTTAATCTTTTAGATAAGGTGCAAAAAAATCATCAACAATTTACAGTTTATGACAAGATACAAACCTGATCACGTTTCTGCTCATCCAAATTTGGGGGTGCTGAGCTAGTTCGAGCTGGAATCTGATACAAATGAGGATATAACATCTGCTATTAGAAACAAGGTTTTGAATGCAAAAAGAAGGAACACCGATATGAATAGTAAGATACCTGCATTCCATTCATGAAACCGGGACTTATGGTCCCAAATTGTAAAGAGAATGCTTTTGATGTATCTCCTGGAGTTAATCCATCAGAAACAATTAAAAGCATATGATTAGTTACATCAGCTTAAAGATAGAAATGCTATCATGGTAAACAAACAGCCAAAAATACTACATATCATTATAACTGCCACTACTGTAAATTGGAGAACCCCCAGTTTACCCATAATTGAAGTAACTTTGATCCTATAAGCTTAGTACACCAAGCACAATAGATACATACCCTTTGCGGCAGTTGTGGGGGAACTACTGTCAGAACTCATGGTGGCAGATTGAGAAGTTGGAGCCTTCGGAACAGCTCGGGTGCTTCTCTGAGTGGGGGGCGATTCAACTGGCTTGGCAGCACCACTTGCAACCGGTGCATCAGATGCTCCTATCAGAAAAAATGACCATGAATGCAAATAACATCAAGACTATTTTCTTCAATCATAAACCTAAAAAGGGAAACAAGCTCAAGAATTTTGAATCATACCTTGTAACTGGGGCTGTACATGTGCACCATTTGGTATGTTACACGAGGCCAAAGCATTACTAGACTCTGAAGAATTCACAGCCGGTGAATTTACCCTAGATTGCCCGCCTTGTGCATTGTTAAACTTCTTAAAACTGTCATATCAAAACCACCCAACAAAAATCAAATCATCAGTCCACAAATCACATAGAAACCTTAAATTAACTAGCAATCAAACGAAAAAGAAAAATAACACCCTTGCGCATTGTTAGACTTCTTAAAACTATCATATTAAGACCACCCAACAAAAATCGAATCATCAGTCCACAAAATCACAAAGAAAACCTTAATCCTATAGGAACCTTAAACTGGCAATCAAACGAAAAGAAAAACAACGAAGCAAAGCCTAAAGCATGATGATGTGTTGTCCTTATCGTTACCTTCGAGTATTGGAACCCTAAATAAACTGACAATCAAACGAAAAGAAAAACAACAAAGCAAAGCCTAAAGCTTGATGATGAGTTGTCGTTATCGTTACCTTCGATTGGAAGATAAAGAAGAAGAAGAAGAGAGAGACGGTGAAGGGGCGGGCCCGCCGCCAGCGCCCTTACCGTAAGCGCCTGAGGAGGTCCGCTGCTGATTAGAACCGGCGGATCGCCCCAATTTTCGGTATTGTTGCTCGCTTTTATCGTACCTTGATTGATTGAAGGACATATATCTCACCCTATTTCCCTCTTTCTTTTCCCTTCCTTAATCTCTGCATCCAAACAGATCACAAAACCCAAACAAATTTTAAAAAAAAAATTCATACATTCTAACGAGACAACAATGAGGATTGAAGTGTACCTGTGAACTCAAAGGAGTGTTCAGAGAGAGAAAAAAATTAGGGTTTTTAATTGGGAAGTAATGTTGATATACGTAGCAGCAGGAGAAACAGCAAAAATAAAAATTAAAACTTGTTTTTCTGAAAAAGAAAAGAGAGAGAAAATCCAAAAAATAAGGGAAAGCAAAATAAAATAAGTGGGGGAGAGAAAGTAAATTGGGTAACAAACTATCGAGCGAGGGGGTCAAAAAGTAGGCTTTTTAGGAGATCAAAGCATCGAATGAGTCGTGGTTCCTTTGAGCTTAAGTGAGAGTCATGTCTTCGCTTTCGCTCCGATCTTTTTTAGTGCCCCATTTTTCTCCGTTTTATAGTTTTTTTATTTTATTTTTTCACTTCCTTGCAGAAAGTTCATGTCACGGTTATTATTCTTTTTTACTAGTTAAATTTCACGATTTTATCTAAATCTTATAATTTATATCATTCGTATCATTTAAAATATTATATTTTTATTATATTTTATATAAAAATTATTTGTTATCAATATAAAAATAAATATATAATTTTCTTTAATTTTATTAAATTTATTTATAATTTTTTTTAAATTTTAAATTATATATTTTTGTTTATATCATCTAATCATATTTTAAATTATTAATTTAATTTTATCAAATAAAAATCTCACAAATAAAAATAAAATTATGTGAATATTTATATATCATATTTTGATATACAATCAATATAAAATTTATAATTTTTATCTAAAATAATGATATTTTCTATCATTTCAATGAGATTTTACTCGTCAACATTACATCCTCGATATTCTCAAAATCGATTTTGGGATCAAATGTTCAGGTTCATACTAATTTACAAAAATTTATAATTTTATCTTACAAAATTTATTTTAAAAATGACAAATATTTATATTTCAAATCCAATCGGACTGCATTACAAATATAAGATTCATAACTTCTTTAGGATCATTACACTTGACTTGAGTTTTTACCAACCGCACTTCTTTTATTTAAATTTTATTTATATTTTTAAATATTTTTTCACTTGCCGATGGGGCTAATTGCAGAAAAAGAGATTGAAATAAGAGTATAATTAAATCGAACTAAATTGATATAACGAAAATTTGAGTTTTATTCAAAATTTAACTTGAACATTATTAAATTTTAATTTTTAAGTTTGAATTTAACTTAAAATCAAAATTAAATTACTCAATTAAACTTGTTTAATAAAAATAAACTCAATTTTATGATGAGCTCAAATTGATGTTTATATAAGATTAAGATAATTATTTTTTTAATTAAATTTAAAATTTTAATTAAATTTATAAATTATTTAAATTAAATATTTAAATATTTAAATTTAACTCACTTGATAAATTAAATTATTCAAATTCAATTAAATTATAAATAAATCAAATTCAAATTTTATCTAAAATTCACTCTAATAATTTATTAATATTGATATATCATCTACTCTTAAGTTAAAGATAAGAGAGGTTGCTTTTGAAAGAGAGAGTTTTGGGCTAGATTTTGGGCTGATGATGATTAACCTTTTAAAGTAGAAGGTGAATCCAAAGAACTGGACAACCATAAGCGTATCAGAACATATGGACCTTTTGTTATAGGCTGGCTGGATCCAATTAAGTGTATCATTCAACTTTTAACCAATTCGCTTTTGCTTTAATGCATAATTAAAGTACTTGTTGTACCTAATTAGTAAAAGACTTTATATTGAATGCAATATAAGAGTGCAATAAAAATCAGAACCCATGATAAAATAGCCTATATTATATATTTTAACTCAATTAATTTAAATAATAATATGAGAATTTGGTATCGTGCCAAGAATTAAGAGAATAATTAAATCGAATCAAATTGATACAAAAAAAATTGAGCTCAATTCAAAATTTGTTGTTCGAAATTTTACTTAAATCAGATTAAGTTTTAAATTTTAAATTTGAGCTTAACTCGAGATAAAAGTTAAATTATTCGAATTCACTCGATTAAGTTAATTTATCAAATAAAAAAATAGTTCAATTTTTATATTCAATTTCAATCAAACTTGATTATTTATGTTTGAACTTCAATCAAGCTTGATTATTTATGTTTAAATTCGAGTTTGAACTTAAATTTATATATATAAGGATAAAATAGTAAATTTTTAATTAAAATAATAAAATATATATTAAAATAAAAAAACTCGATTAAGTTTACAATTTGTTTGAACTTGACTCAATAATGATCGAATTGAATTTAAATTTTATCTGTTTTCTTAACCAAATTGAAAATTGAGATATCATAAAAGAAAAATTTATATAAAATTTTACAAGTGAAGTTCATGAAAGTTTTTATTAGAAATAAGTAAATTAAAATCAAAATCAAAATTGAGAAATTAAAAAATCTTATCATGTAAATCAATAATGTAAAATTTGAAAAAATTTTAATAATTTTTTATAAATTTATTAAATAAATATTTTTAGTAAAAATAGTGACATAATTTTTATCGTTAAATAAGTATCGATCAAATTTGAATTATAAATAATTTTTTAATAAATTTTTTATATATTATTGATATTTATATTAAACTATATCAATTTATTGATTCAATTTTTTTATTAAAATTTTTATTTATTTATTTTTAATAAAAAATTTTATATTCTCCGCCCGTAAAACTTCATATAAGTTTTATCTTATATCATACTCAAGTAGAACAATACTTGATTGGCATCTTAGAAAATAAAAGATGTAGCCTTTTCTGGTTTCTCTTTCCTTTTGAAGAATCATCACTTAAGCGACATAATGGGAATGAATCATAATCCAGGACTTTTGTATTAGTTGAACAACTCCTTCAAGTTTACGAAAGTGACTGAGCCTTCGTTTGAATTGAAACTTGACCTCGATGAGATTCCCTTTTTTTTATGAAAAGTTATGTCTATTGCACTGATAATTCGTTTGGATAATCAATTTGCAATGCAAAAATTAGCTTTTAGTGATAAAAAATTTGAGGTCAATGACATTAGAGATGATAATGAATTAGATAAGATTTAATTTAATTTTTAAAATAATACATAATTATATAAATTTTTAAAACTCAATCATAATCTAAATCGATATTTTTTTACACTGATTCAATCAAAATCAAATTCTAATAATTCAGATAATGCATAATATTATAAAATTTTTATTTTTATATATTATTTTAATAAAATTTTAATATAGTTAAATAGATTTATATATAATAATTATTTTTACTTTATAAAAATTTAAAAAATATATAATTCGATTCAATTTAATTTTTTTTTAATTTTTAATATATCGATTTACAATTTGATCCAAAGAAAAATTATATATTTAATATATGAATTTAATTTAAATTAAATTAAAAAATCAATTTAAAATAAATCGAATATTATAATTTTGAATCGATTTTCGATTTTTTTCTCACTCTCAAATAATACAATAGCCCATTTACTTTTTTTATTTTATTTTTTTGTATTTGTAATTATATTGAAGAGATAATAATATTCTTATAATTTAACTTATTTTTTTAAATTTTTATTTAAAAATTATAAAATATTTTTATGAATTTAATATAATGAAATTAGTAATTAATATGCTATTATTATTATTATTATTACTAATTTTAATTATTTTGTTAACAGAATTATTTTTTGTCATAAGAATAATTTAATAAAATTTTAATTATTTATTAATTTTATGAATTTTATATTATGTATAAATTTTAATATAATAACTTTAGTAATCATATTTTTCTTATTGCAGTACATTTTATTATCATTACTATATTTAAATCTAAATATATATTTTATTATTAATTTTAATTTTATTATTATAATATTAATCTCACAATCATAATTATTTGTAATCCTTCTGCAATCAATTTCCATCCAAATTTATCCGTTAACATTAACTTCTTTGGATCCTCCAAAGCAGACTTTGGGATTATGACTTAAATGCCATGCGCACCAGCAAGAAGAGAAGAACAGATAATTTCATGAAAAAGATTATAAAAAAAATCAGATTTTTAGTGAGGGTCCCTCGTTTTGTTTTGTGGTTATGAAATCCGTATGTCAAACAGGACTAGAAGGTCAACTCAAGACTCTAGCGACATAGTTTAAATTTGCTTGTCAGTTTGGACAACTGACACATCTGAAATTCAAACCGTTGAATTCTTCAATCAGGAAACAGTGCTGAAGCCAAAATTAGATACCAAAAATATCAGATTTTCAAAGGGCAATAGAAAGGAAAGCTTTGCAAGAAACGAAATGAAAATGTTCATAGAAGTCTCCCAAACCAAACCCTGGTAGAATAGTCAAAGCGCCGAATTAGGTAAGACATTAGCTTTGCTTGATTTTCTTGTATTGTTATCTCTCTCGTCTTAACCAACTTCAAAATGGGCTCTCGAACTTCCGTTTCTATATTTTTCCTTTGGTTTTTCACCGTTGACGACTGGTTTCCTCAATCGGGTTTTGCTTCATTTTCCTCATCCTTTTCTCTATGTAGTTGACCGTCTTTTATTTGCCTTATTTTCATTGCTGCCGTTTTTTAAGCTCTTAATCGAATTCCTATGGTCAAGTCACTCTTCTGCTGCTCTTCAATTTCTCATTGTTTTTCCCATTCAAGTTTATTGATTCACTTTCCCTTTTTTTGTAGATTTTTCTAGTGGGAATCCAAAAAAGAACTGGTTTTTAGCCTTTTAAAGTTCAAACAATGAAGTGTTTTCACTATTTCAAGGACAAGTCTAGAAGCAGGGGACAAAGATCAGCCCCAGAGTTGAAAGGAGAACGGAAATCAGAGGAATATTCAGGGCCTGATCGGATCACAAAGTCCTCATGCTCAGCAGCTTCTCCACGTAGCATACCAGAGTTGTATGAAGAGAAAGCTCACAATTTGCGGGTCTTCTCTTTCTCAGAGCTTAGACAAGCCACTCGTGACTTCAATTTGCTGCTTAAGATTGGCGAAGGCGGCTTTGGAAGCGTCTATAAAGGTACAATCAAGCCTGCTGATGGAAAGGGTGAGCCAGTGGTGGTTGCTATTAAAAAGCTTAACAAAAATGGCTTGCAGGTATGCCTTCTTCCTCTGTTTGGAAAGCTAGAAAAAGATTTCCTTCAACCTTTCTTGTATTTTGTGCTTGATCTTCAAGGACTAATTCAAATCAGATCTTAAATTGCATGACTGTTAACTCCAATTTTAGGTATGCACAGGGGGCTTTCCTGTTATCAGATGCTGCCTATAATTGAGATTTTCATCTTAATTTGGTGGAAGCTGCTAGTACATATAGCAATAGAAGGGTTTTATTGCCATGACTGATGTTACATAGTTCTATTTAATCCAGGGACATAAGCAATGGGTGGCAGAAGTTCAGTTTCTTGGTGTTGTTGAGCACCCCAATCTCGTCAAACTCATAGGATACTGTGCTGTGGATGGAGAAAGAGGGATCCAGCGTCTTCTGGTATATGAGTTTATGCAACACAAGAGCTTAGAAGATCATCTTTTCCGTCGGGCACTCCCGCCTCTTCCTTGGAAAACAAGATTGCAGATAATACTTGGAGCTGCTGAAGGATTAGCATATCTGCATGAAGGTTTAGAAGTTCAGGTTCCTTTCGGAAACACTAACCATGCATTTCTTCTGCTCTAACGTGTACCAAAACCACAACATTTTGAACATAAAACACACTCTTTGTCTTGCTGATGAATCATCAGTTTCTGGTTTTGAATTGGTTCTTAATTGGTTCTTTTGTGCTCAATTTTTGGTTTCATAATAATGCAAGGTAATATATCGAGATTTCAAAGCCTCCAACGTGTTACTGGATGAGAACTTCAATCCAAAGCTTTCAGACTTTGGGCTTGCTAGGGAGGGGCCAATGGCTGGGCACACACATGTTTCAACAGCCGTTAGTATTCTCTGTACTTTCCCCTTAATTCAGCAGTGTTGATGATGTTAACAAGCTTTGCTTTTGTTCTCATCAGGTTGTCGGGACTTATGGTTATGCTGCTCCTGATTACATTGAGACAGGACATCTCACGGACAAGAGTGATGTATGGAGCTTTGGAGTGGTATTATATGAGATTCTTACTGGCAGGCGATCATTGGAAAGAGGACGTCCAAAAGCAGAGCAGAAGCTCTTGGATTGGGTGAAACTGTTCCCTGCTGATAGTAAAAAGTTCAGCTTAATAATGGATCCTCGACTTGAAAACCAGTTTTCCATTGGAGCAGCTCGAGAAATTGCTAAGTTAGCAAACACTTGTTTATTAAAAAGTCCCAAGGACCGACCCAAGATGAGCCAGGTGGTGGAGAGATTGAAGCAGATAATCCAAGTTTCAAATGAAGGAAACTCTCAGGAGATTGAGGGTCCTGAGGTAACTGAAATTGAACCAGCTGAAACAGAAAAAAATTCAAACCATTTCAGTGTCTCCGAATCATGGAAAAGGCGGATGGCACACCTTGCAAAATTGGGTGAGCATGTTGAAGGTGCAAACAGGAGATTGATGATGTTGCAGAGGGCCAAAGTGCCTTGACTTCTCTCCTTTTCTTTTCCTCCCCTTCTAATGGTGGTCTAGTCTGTAAAATAATAGTATAAGAAAACTATAAATCATTGATTGCCATGGAAAATATGGATCTGCCATTTACATCTGATCTCTACTGTGGAGTATCCTCTGAAAAAAAATGACAAAAGTGAAAATTGATGATACAACAAGTGGAATCTGAGGGTTCATTCAATCGGACAAGTCAAGTGCTTTCAAGTTCAAACCCTCTAGTCCCTGAAAACAGAACAAAATGGCTGCAGCCCAAGATTAATTATAACGTTCATTGCCTCAAAATTTCAGGAATACGAGAAATGATAAATCTTTGAACATTTTCCATTAATGAAATCTGCAACAATCCGATGCTCTACTGAAAGTAGGATCCAGGTTCTACAATTAGGAAGCTTTGCAGCCATGTATTAACATGAAGGGTAGGGAGAGGTCGACACAAACTTAAGGGGAGAATTGAAAAAGAAGGTGATTGAACAAGTTGTTTCTTAACGTTTCCTTCTTTTGCAAATCAGATAAAATCCATTGAGGATTATTTATACTGGTTCACCGTCCAACATAGCAATGGAAAAACATGTTCAGAACAATATTCTGGATCCATGGGATAAATCTAAGCGGCAATGAGGCAGGTTTAAGGAAGAGAAAAAGGAAAAATGACTGCAAGCATATCTGCAAATGAGTTTGCATGGATAAAAACAAAACCCGAGTGATGATTAAATACTTTCACTTCACTTCCTTCATGCACTGATAAGACTCCAGGTTTCAATTTTGCGATTGTTGCTTCATGTCCCGGAAAAACACCCATCTGTCCGATTGTGGCTAGTTATTTTCACGAGGCCATTACCCTCTCTCTGCAAAACTAATTTATTGAGGCGCGCAACGCCAACGTTTACATGCCTTAGTGACTTTTTCTTTCCTATCCAACGTGGGTTTGAAACACCCTGCGACATTGGATCGAAGCACCCTTCTTTCTATTTTGAAATGTTTATCGTGACAGTCACCCTCACCTACTGCTTACTCTTTTAGAGCATTTAACGTGACATTCTCAGTCTCGTGACGCTCTTGTCAAGGCTGCCACTCTATCTGGCTCTTCTTTGGAATGTTTGACATGGTTAGACTGACCCACCTGATCTACCTCCATTGGAGTGCTTGGCGTAGAATCTAACAAGTCAAGGGTTGAATTTGATATCACTTGCCACGTGGCCATTATCCTCTTTCTACAAAATCAACTTATTGGGGTTTGCAACGCTAACACTTATATGTCTTAGCGACCTTCATTTTTCTATCCAATGTGGAATTGAAGCACCTTATGTATTCTTTCATGGCATGACTATAACCATGCCAACCTGGAGACAGAAAAGTTATGAGATGCAGAATCCAGCAAATTTACAACATATTTTAGCCATTATCATTTTTCCTTCATCCATTTCACTTTTCTTTTTTTGGTCAAGTATTAGACCATACTTATGGGCACTAAAGATACCATTGAAAGTTGCATTTCAATTTCAATTTAAATAGGCTTAACATTCATGGAACAACCTACCTTGCTCCCATCATAACACACACCTCTCTCTCTCTTATAGTTCCCATGTAGCAACATATATAATGAAGGAACTAAAACATGAACATAGGCTTTATCATAACAATAACATTCCTAATGAAGTCACAATCAAATAAGCATTGATATCACCTTAACTCTTTGCTCTAAAAGGAGGAATAGAAATGGCTTTTACAAGCAAGAGAAACAACAAATACTAAAAGATCTTGTAAAAGATGTTCCTGTGGGATAAAGCAAATGCAGCTAAAAAGGAATCCTACAATCACTTCATGGAAATTCTAGTATGCATCATGGAAGGCAATGTGAAGAAACTTGACCAATGCTACATTTGTGCTATCTTTTCAGGAATTTGATTTATGTTCAGAATCTATAACACAATGTAAAGATATATTACATGGAATCATCATGGTAAGAGTTTTACTTGGCAAATGTTCAAAATTTGGAGTAAGGGGGATAGTCAGAAGATCATTAATAATCTCAGATAATAGCATTATCGACAGCATGAATATGTCGTAAATACAAATTCACTATAAAAAATTAGGATAACATTGACGGAATTTTATCAATAGAAGTATTTTCTCATTATCGATTGAAGTATTTTATCGATAATTATTAACAGATTATTAATAGGTTATAATTATAAAAAAATCAAATAATCATTGATAAAATTTTAAAACTATCGATTGAATGTTATTACTAACTCATTTACTATCGAAAAAAAATTTTGTTGATAAATTTTATTGATAAATATTTTAAGACAGAAATTAATCTTATAGAATGAAATTTTTTATCAATAATACCCTAAGTTCTAGCAGTGATCGAAACGAAAAAAAAAAAACCCAAAAAGGGAAATTGGGATATTGGATTGAAATTCAAGCCAGCTTTGCTGGCCCACCCTTAAACTAATCCACAGCTGAGAAACCAAAAAGAAAGCTATAGTAGTGTTCGTTTATGTGTACTTTTTTATTGATAATTTCTATAACATTCGATAATCCAACTCAATAATTGTCATCTAGATGCGTTGACTGGACTCTAAGCGGATTAGCTTAGAAAATTTAAAGCCGTGATACATAATATTGATATTGACTCTACTATTTTAAGTCATCCAAATCAAACAAAACCCATCAAACCACTGCTTTTCGAAGCATCTAACTCCACTCTTTGGGCAAGTTAGGTAACAAGTCTGCTTCATTTTTTTAATTTATTTTTTGGGTTAAAAATGAATAAAATATTTTATACTTTTTGGCTAACAAAAATATGATATATTAATATTATAAAAAATTAAATTTATAATATTAAATATGTACAAGTCAAAGTCATTTTCTTGATATACACGAAAATCAAAAAATTCCAAAAATTGGGACCGAGGGAGTTAAATATTTTTAACATCTGCTTATGCCATTGGCATTTTTATAACTATCCATGCAAGACAAAAGCGATGTGTATTATTATAAAATGACAAGGATTAATAATGTCAGAAGTGGACTCTCTATTATAGGACTAGGGAATGAATCCACAACCAGATATTTCTTCGTGGGATTGTCTTTTACATCAAAGCATGTGTGTTTGAAATTACATCCTACTGAATTTTCTTTCCTCACCGTCCATGTCATTAAACAAATGGAAAGTTATCTCTTTTATTTGTGATTTAAGGTATATTTGGATAGGTGGTGATTTTAAAAATCGAAAATAAGATTGATCATTGTTGTAGTGAAATTAAAATCGATGATAATATATGTATTTAAATATAAAATAGTGGTAACGATAAGGTGAATTGTAATGAAAGAAAAATAATCATTTAAGACATTAGATTAAATATTAAATATAATAAAAATTTAAATTATTTAATATTTATAAAAATTTATTAATAAATAATAAAATTATTTATTATAGTAAATTATCAAATTTATTTTACAATTTTTAAATAAAAATAAAAAATAAAATTTGTAATGACACTTTAGACATAACAATAAAACTTAAAGGATAAAAATGAAAAAAAAAAATTAACTGGTTGATCATCAACTAGACCAAAAATTGATCAGTGGTAATTTTTTAACTTAATCACTATTTCATTTGAAAATAAAAATGACAATTGATATTCTTTGTGATTTTAATTATATCGCATTAAAGATGTCATACAATTCATATAGATTATTATTGATTGACAATCGCATATTCGGATTAATAGAACATTAAACTCTTAATTTAAAATTCAAATATTAACAATCTCGATTAAATATAAAAGGCTCTTAGGTTCAGCATTCCAAAGAATGATCCTAGTTTGCACCATTTCCTTGGAACATATGATTGGAGAAGAGAAATGCATAGAAATCTGTTTAGGCCTATGACTATAGAACCGACATCCTTGATGATCCGACTGGCCAATTGCTTAATTTTCATACCATCTTTTACCTCTTTGGTATCTCAGGTTATGCTTGGCATGTCACTAATGGGGGCCATATGAGAATTTACTGAGAAATCTAAGAAAGTGAAAAGCTGTAAATCAACACAAATGTACCAAACATTCAGGATCCCAAGGGAAAATGCCTAGTGCAAAGGAAGCAAAGTGATGAGATTGTGAAAAGGTAGATCCGATAATTTGAAACATGAGATTGTGATATGATATATAAACGATATGAATAAAAAATATCAAAATAACACGATTTAAAATTTAAAAAAATTATAAATAAATTTAATAAAATTAAAATATTATATTTTATATTTTTATATTAATACAAATTATGACATGACACTATAGTTGGTAAAAGGGTGTGGCGAGTCAATTTTTTGCTGCCCCCCGCCTCTGACCTAAAGCTTCCATAGTTTTACCCGATACCCACCTTACACCCTCTTGGAGGTTGTAGTTGAAATACCCGACCTGATCTGCTAAACATATTATTACCTGAATTTTACTTAATCTGACCCGAATTCAATCTTTTTCAAGCTGCAATTCAGATATCAACAAAGAGAGTCGTTTTTCACTTACCCAAAATTTTAGCAATTATCTTTAGGTTTCTTTGCTGCATACACAAGTTACAAAGAACGATGATAAAAAAAATAATATAAGTAAAAAAATAATCCAAATCCAGATGCTTTTTTTGCTTAAATAGAGAAAGCGAATTAAAGAAGAAATGAAGTGGAGAAAGAAATGAGGTGTAAGGTCTATGTGAGGAGATCGGGCGGGCATGAGGCAGAACTGCAGAAGAAAATAGAAACCCTAAAATCTAAATGCTTTCTTTGTTGAAATAAAGGAAGTGAATTGAGGAAAAAATGAAGTGGAGAAAGAAATAAGGTGCAGGGTCTGGCCGTGTGAAGAGATCAGGGCCAGGAGGCAAAACAACAGAAGAAAATGAGAAACCTTAAAAAAAATTACATATATATAGTAAGGGTATTTTTGTAAATATTTTGGATTGAGTCGGGTCGGATTTCATATAAATCAGACCCCGACCCGAAATCGCCTTTCAAAAGAATAAAACCGACTCAACCAGACTCGAAACCTATTTTTTTTAAAAAAAAATATGATCCTAGATGATTAAGTCGACCTGAAACCCGATAATTTCAGGTTAATTTGTCGACACTACACGATACGAATATAATGTAATGCGAATTATCAGGTTCATGAGAGTTTAAAATTTTATTATTGTAATATTGGTTAATCAAAACTCAAATTTTAACTCAATTAATTTATATAATCAATTAAATTTAATTTTAAATTTCAATATTTATATTTTTTTTTCCGTCAGTTTAGATTCTAACCTGATGATCTCCGTAACACCCATTATACCTATACACAGAGGATAATTTCTTTCGTCTTTCATTATCTTGACTTAAATTGCGATTTTGACCCAACCTTTCTGACGCCATTTTTTGCCTACACTTGCTTCGCCTTTTCCTTTCAGCTCAACAAAAACAAAAGAAAAGCATGGAAACTTTGACTTTGCTGCAGATAAGAAGAAACTCCTAAACCACGTTAGCAATAGAGAACAATAAATTGGTTTATCTAATGCACTGATGGGTTCACATATGGAAATGGACCCCCCAAAAATTATAAAATAAAAAAAAATTTTGATTGAGAATTTCATCTGAACAGCATCTGAAACCGCGGCAGGCACAGGCGAAAAGGGATCATGAGAGTTAGAGTATTACATATTATTATTATGGAAGTAATGATAGAGTTATGGTGGAAATGCTGCATTATTTTAAAATGATGGAAAGAGGTTCATTCTTATATTTTAGTATAATGTTTTTGGGATAAATGGTACAAATAGGAGCGGAAAAATTTTTTAAAAATTTTAAAATTAATTTAAAATTATAATATTTGATTTAATTTAGATTAATTTTTTTTGTTTAAATCAGATATTAAATATATATTAAATTCGAATTAAATTTAGAATTGAAAAGTGAAAAAAATCAAATTAAATTAAATCTAATTATATATTTTTAAAATTTTTATAAAATAAAATTAATAATTTTATATCAAAATTTATTTAATATATTAAAATAATATATAAAATTTTAAATTTTAAAAATTAATAAATCGAACCGAATCGAATATGAATAAATAAAATTTGATTTGATTTAATTTGAATGATATAAAAAATAAATTCGAATTCAGATAAAAATTTTAAAATTTATAATATTATATAATATTTAAAAAAATTAAATTTAATTTAATTCAAATTGTTATCATTTTATTCGCTCATTAATCCTTTCGTTTTAGTCTGTTGCCTGCCCGATTGACTTGTCTACCCTAGATACTTCATCTCGCCATTTTTTTTTTAATTCTTAATCTATTCTTGAATTTTCATTAAACCTTTACATTTATCTAGTTGAAAATAAATATTAAAAAATATATAATCAACTACCATATGAAAAGAAATATATATCCAATTATTATATGATGTAAAAAGTAAAATTTTTAATTTTAATGATAAAAATTTAAATCTTGATCAGTAAATATATATGTATACATGCTTCATGTAGTGAAGCTGACCTAGCTTCTATTTCCAAACCGCGTGGAAAGTTACATGTGGATTTCTTGAGAATCAAAGCCGAAGTTATATATTAACCACTTTTAATTATATATACATGCTTCATGTAGTAAAGCTGACCTAGCTGCTTTTTCCAAACCGCGTGGAAAGTTTCATGTGGATTTCTTGAGAATCAAAGGCAAAGATGATAAGCCGAGGTTATAAATTAACCACTTTCCAATACAACGAACATAAAGTTGCCGAAGTTGTATTAGTACTAATAAGATCTTGATTAGTATTGTTATAAAAAATAATTTTTACATATATTTTTAAATATTTTAATTAATCATACTACTTTTTTATAATAATAATAATAATAATAAAATTTAACCATAATTTTTTTTATCTTACTTTTTAAACGTATTTTATATTATATAAAATTTTTTAACGCCAACAAAAATGATATACAACAATGATATAATCGACCTTTTGTTAAGGCACCTTTAATTTTGAGTAATGTTCTTGCGGCTTTACGCCTTTTTTGTTATATACAGAATATGTATATAAATGATATATTAATATTTATAAATTATTAAAATTTGATTTAAATAAAATTTAATTTTATTATTATCAAATAAAATTTAAATTTAAATAATTTGATTTATTAAACGAATTGAATTTAAATTTTTAATGTTAAATTTGAGCAATTTATGAATTTAATTAAGATTTTATATTTTCATATATATTTTATATTTTTATTAAAAATGTATTATTTTATTTACGTATATAAATTTAAAATTGAGTTTAAATATAAGTAATTTAATTTAAAATTAAATATAAAAATTAAATTTATTTTTTATTTAATAAATAAACTTAATTAAATAAATTCAAATAACTTAATTTTTATTTTAAATTAAATTTCAAATAATAAAATTTAAATCTAATTCAAAACTTAAAATTTTTATTATATCTAACTCAATTCCATTGCACCTTATATCTAACTCAATTCCATTACACCTCTTTCGTGTCGTCGAGGATACAACGACAGCTACTATTTAAAATCTGCGCCACGGCATTTACATTATTGACTTTATTAATTTAATGCCCTCTCCCTCTCCTTGTTATAAAACCCCAACAATAGCACCTCTCTCTCTCTCTCTATTACTCTCAACCCCCAAATCCAACTTATCTCTCTGTTTCTGTCTATCTCCGTACAATTCTGTTTCTTACGCGTGGCATGACGTGCTCCGTTTACACTTGAAAAATATCCTTCTTCGTTCCTTCTATCGTTTCTTCTGTAAACTGGTGCAGTGAATTTATAGTTATGATAAAAAAAAAGTCGTTAATGGCGTCGATGGCTTCGCCACCGCCGCTGCCGTCGCCACCGTTGTTTGATGGCGTTAGGGGAGGAGCTGTTACGGCAGCAGAAAATAACAGCACTGAACGCTCGCATTCTTCTTCTTCTTCGAATGAGAGAATAGTAATTTCGATCCTTTGCATAATCGTGCTTGTTTCCGTCTCTCTTTGTCTCCTCCGCCGCCACATCAACCGACGATGCCGGCGCCATCTCTCTCGTTCAACTACCTCTGCAATCATCGCCGCCTCCAGCCACCGAGTCACTCCCGAACAATCAACGACGGCTTTGTTGCTCGATTCTCTTCCTCTTTTTACCTTCTATTCTATTACTCGCCGCTCCAACGACGATTCCACGGTTTCCGGAGATTGCGCGGTTTGTTTGTCAAAATTTGAACCGCAGGACCAACTCAGGCTTCTCCCTCTCTGTTGCCACGCGTTCCATGCTCGTTGTATTGATACTTGGCTCACTTCAAACCAAACTTGTCCTCTATGTCGCTCTCCTCTCTTCGCTTCCGACTCCGATCTCATGAAGGTTTTGGTTCAGTCTTCTAACGCAGGCGATGCGATTGGAAGTGGCGGCAGAGATAGTTACCGGCTCGAGATTGGCTCTATCAGTCACAGTCAACATGGCTCCGACTCCGCTGAGCAGAGAAGGACTTATTCGATTGGCTCTTTGGATTATATCGTAGACGAAGAATCAGAGGTGACTAGGAATCAAACGCACCAGAGAAACGTGTCCATTAAGGAAGAGATTGGAGGAGCAGAGGCAACGTCGGAAGAGAGCCTCGCCGCGGAGGTTGCTACTGGAAGGACTTTACTTAAGGAATACGTAGACAGGCTCTCTTTTTCGTTATCGTCTAGTGCGTCGTCGTTTCGTAGCTCAGGAAGTTTCTTCACCGGGAGCAGTCGCCGAAGCGATATCTCCGGCGCCGATGGAGATTATGACGTGGAAGCCAATCGTATTGGCGTGGAGATCAGCGAAATGTTTCGCTGGTTCTCAGGGGTATGAAAGGCAAATACGATTTTGACGCATGGGCATTTATGTATTTTCGTTTTTTGGTTCAATTAGTTCACTGTAGTTTTTCCACTCCTTTCCTGGTGGAACCGAGTCAACGGACAACAGTTGAGCAAATGCTGAAGTGGACATAGCACAATTTTGGAGTGCAGGTGTAGCTTTACGATTTTATCCGCTGTAAACAAAGTAGGAATAAGAAAAGAAGCATTCTAAAATTGCTTTTAATGATCCGACGGTTCATAATTGACCTGGGAAATCTTACTGTATTATATATAGTAAATTACCATAGTATAATCAACCAATGTGAAGAGACAACCTTGTTATGTGAACATGTCAAATACAACAGGATCAAATCATTTGAAAAAAGCATGATGTTACCAATGATCCTATATATAATGAAATATAATATAAAAAATATTTAATAAGATACTTAAATTTTAAAATATTTAATAAAATACTTATATTTTAAATTTATTAATTTAATTTAAATTATAAATTTATTTATTAATATGATATTTAAAAGACTATTTATTCTATGTAAAAGTTTAAAGCTAACTATTTTACTGTTGAGTATGTAGTTTAAATATCATATTAAAAATTTATAATATTTAGATATTATATTAAATATTTTATTATAATTTAAACTTAACAATTTAAAATATGATACAATAACATAACATAATTATGATATAAAAATAAAATATAAATGTGATCATTTAAAATTTTAACAATAACGATATATAAATTTAATAAAATTACATAAAAAATTATATTTTAATATTAACATAAATTATTACCCGTAATTTTCGTATAAAACACAATATAAATATATAAATTTTAATATTTTATATAATACAAATATTCGATTGTTAGGTCTATTCAAAAACAATTCATAACATTAATCCGAAGAAATTAAGATTTGCTGTAACGATCAACTATTCATTTGACGGCGAGATGAGAAAAACTTTCCTTGCACTGTAATAGACTGAAATTCTTAGAAATCTAAAACGACATCACCATGCTAATGGGAAGGACTCCCATCATGCTTCCCAGTGACACCTGGCCATCTCTTAATATATGCATCATCTCATCCCTCACTCTCTCAATTGTTCATCATACAAAATAGAGAATATGTCAGGACAATAGCAAAATTCGAAACAAGTAATTAAAAGGTAAAGAATGCCACCATGCAATACAAAAACTTTATTGCAAGTTGAAATCTGCTGCAGTTAGTATCGCACCAAACAGATTCAGATTCTCAGTCTTAATCCCATTATGAGGAGAAAATCCATACAAACACCTAAAATGTTGAACAAAAACAGAGTACAAGATGCCATTCTTCCTTTCGAATGAAATTCAACAAGATATACCCTTGCTTTGCAGTTTGCACAGATTAACCAGCCATTGGATGGTTATATATGTACTCAATAGCAAGATTACATGCGTCAATCTTGTCAGCTTCCTTGTCAGGAATTTCCAGCTTGAATTCCTCTTCTAAGGCCATTACAATCTCCACATTATCCAAGCTATCCAACCCCAAATCTTTCTGGAAATGAACATTGGGTGTCACCTGCAAGTGATTGCGAAAGATGATTCAATCCCCAATGAGTCATTTGTCAGGTATAACTACTATTAGAAGGACCGAAAAATTGATGCTTAAGCTAAAATGCATGAAAGATGCCTTTGAACTCTCAAAGTTAATAAAAAGCAAAATTAAAAGATTATATAATGTCTTGGCATCAGATAACCTGAATATGAATCCCTTATAAGTTACTCTTGATATTCAAAAGAAAAACAAAACATAAGCGATAAAATAGTCAATCATTTGTGTGTCACTAGGGAACAAAGTCAGCTCTTCAAATATTGTCACAGCATTACAATGCCAAGATATCATATAATCAAGAAAAGAGAAAGAATATTTAAAAGATTGAACCTACCTTAAATGAGAGATAACTAATAAGCTTGTTTAATGTTAAGAATTATTCCCTCAAAAATTCATAAGCTTCCAAGATTCAAGGTGAAGAACTTAAACTGACAGAAGCCAACACCTTGCATAGAAATTCTTAGGATGTGCTTGGTACACAAGATTATGATGGGATATGATAAGATAATATTATGAATAGGATTAGATTAAATTATTGATGTAATTTTTAAGGGTATAATAGGACATATAAGTTTAATCTCATTGATTAAAAATAATCTTCTCCACACTTTGGGAGGATTGAATCATTCTATACCAAGAGAATGATTAATCCTCCTTGTAATCCTATCCCTTTCTTTAGATACAAACCAAACACAATATAGGACGATTATCATCCTCTCTTATCCATCATCCTATACACCAAACATTGACCTTACTTCTTACACTAAAACGAGCAGATTTTTTTTTTGTTATTTCTACACTTACATTCAACTTTAAAAGCCAGAAAACAAGTGTAGCATCCATTGAATAGTTTATCTTAAGGCTATACCAACACCAAAGGCAAATGACCATCAAAAATCAGTTTTCCAAGTCATTCCATTGTTCTTTTTGACATGCATAACAAAATCCTCAAGCACCAAAACTCTGGCACAACCCCAAGGGAGTAATTTCAATGGAATCTAGAATGCAATATAGTAAGCTTCATCAATCTAATACTCCAACTGAAATTACTTCCAATTGAGACAATTAACCTGAAGTTTTCATCACACAAATTGATAATCAATAAACAAAAATTCCCATAAAACAAATGCAATCAAATGGATTACATAAACCAATCTTAGAATTGTGAGTCTATTTCATAGCATGCAATTTTACAGATAATCAATCAAAAAAATTTCATAGAATTTCGATAATCTGATTCTTCACACAGAAGTTGGGTAAAAAATCAATCAATTCCCCAAAAGAACAATCGCAAAATCAATTCTTTCTCATCTCCCGAGCAACGAAATGTAAAAGTCGATGATTGGCTGAGAAGCAAAGAGGGAAAAACCTGAGAAGGATCGACTTTGGGGAAGCTTTTGACAACGTCGAGGACTCTGTCGATTACTTCTTCTTTAGTAAGGTGAACGTCATGCGATGAAAATAACCGAAGGGAAGCGCGGAGACTCCATTGGGGCTGAGGTTTTGATTCGGTCGCCGTTAGGGTTTGAACGGGAACTCGAATGTAGCGAAGTACGGCTGATCTTAGTGCCATTTCTCTTTCTTCTCTACTCGAACCTTCTTGGCCAGCCAGCCTAGGTAAAAATAGGGTGCTCCTAAAACACCACCAAATTTTCTTTATATAGGCTTAGATTTTTTTTTTTTTTCAAAAAAACCTACATGTCAAAAGCAATTTTAACTTTTAAGAAATGATAAAAAAAAAAACCTCAAATAACTTATATACCCAAAAATCTTGAAAATATATTTTCAAAAATTATATTAATTTATCAAAAATAAATTTTCGAGAGTAAAGTGTATTCTCAAAAATCGAATTTCAAGAATACATAAATTTTTTAAAAATATATATTTTAATTATAAACTTTTGATAATGAAAAATTTGTAATCTCTAATTTTTGAGCCATTGAAAAATATCATCAATAGATTGATCAATTCAATAGTAAGGATTAGTGGTTAAAAGATTTGATACTGTTAGATTTATTAGTTTGATGACATTGTTAGTGACAATGTTCTATAGGATGTTTAAGCATAGCATGTATGTGTCACGTCAAATGTTCCAGTGAGGAATAAGTAAGGTATTCTAATCTTACATCGGATATGAAAGGAAGGTCACCTAAATATAAAAGGGTTTACACCATCTCTTTGTTGTGAGGTATCTTTTGCAAGATAAAATTATAAAGCCAGAGGAGTCAGAACGGATAATACCTCATAAGGATGTGAATCATGATCGTTAAGTTGATTTGGGATGTTGGATGAGTGAATGTTCAGGTCCTAAAGCAATGACAAAGGCATCACAAGGTTAAATGGGAGAAAATGTCATGCCAAATGCTCAAAGAAGGAGTATGTAGGGTACTCTAATCCCATATCAAACATAAAAGAAGGTTATTGAGGTATAAAATAGTTTACACCACTTTTTCTTTGTGAGGCGCATTTTGTAGGATAAAATCATAAAATCAGAAGGGTCAAAACGAATAATATCTTACAAGTGTGTGAACCTTGACTATTAGGCTAAATTGAAATGTCGGATGAATGTATACCAGGGTCCTGAAATCCACGAGCCTGGAAGTTGAATTTCGGCCCATAACATATGCACATACATGAATTATCGATGTGCTTATTATTACTTTTATCATATGTGTAAATGCAAGATATTAAATTCTTAAGCATGCATGAGATAAAAATGTTTTTGTCCTTAGCCCAAAAAACTCCATTTTGCTCATGTAGAACCAAAAAATCAGAAATAATATTCTTGATTTTTTATAAGCTTAAGAGAAATAATAAGTTAATACTATACATGTCGAGAACATCAATTTTAATTCCATTTGCACATATAATCAAGCAAATGGGTTCCTAAATCATACGATTAAAAATTTTGATTAAAAGTGAAATCGAATTTTTTAGATATAGATATTTAAGAAGTTTTATATTTTCTCGAATATCTATTTTTGAAAAGACTCAAAGCTTTTAAAAAATGGATATTCGAGAAAATTTGAGTTTTCTAAGAAATAAATATTTGAAAAATTTTGAAGGCTATAAAAAATATATATCTGAGAATTTTTAAAGTTTTTTGGATATTTATTTTCAAGAAGTGTCAAAGTTTCTTTGATATTTATTTTTGAAAATTTCAATTTCAGGAAGTGAAGAGAGAAGAAGAGAAAAATGGTAGGAATCGAAAATAAAAAATGAATGGTGAAGTGTATTTAGTTGAAATAAAAAATTTAATTTTAAATTTGAAACGTAGATAAAAGTGGGGTGTATATAGCATTAAATAAGATAAATAGAGTTCTTGTAAAAATAAGGCAACGAAATGATCATGTGCTTTGCACGTGCCTTTTGAACCTTACATTATAAGTTAACTCGTAAGATAAAAATTTGAAAAGAATAAAAATCAATTTAAAATTATATTGTTCGATTTGTTTTGAATTAATTATTTTTATTCAATTCAAATTAAGTTCGATATTAAATAATCTATTAAGTTTATATCGGATTTTGAATTAAGAGGTAAAAATTCACAAAAATCAAATTGAATTATATTTTTTATTAATTTATATATATGTATTTAAATTTTTATAAAATAAAATAATAATTTTATATAAAATCTATTTAAATATGTTAAAATTTTATCTTAAATAATATATAAAAAATTAAATTTCAAAAATTGATAAATTAAACCAAATTAATAAAATTCGATTCAATTCGAATTAGATAATATGAAAAGTCGACTTGGATTTAAATCAAAATTTAAAAATTTATAATATTATATAATATCTAAAAAACTTTAATTGTGTTAAATCGGACTGATAATCATTTGGATCATATTCGCTTTGATTTTTTTGGATAATGTATAATATTATGAATTTTTAAATCCGATTCAAGTCTAAATTAACTTTCTTTTGAAATCAATTCATTTCGAACTAAATTTTACTAGTTTGATTCGATTTATTAGTTTTAAATTTTTTATATATTATTGTAATAAAAATTTTAATATATTTAAATAGATTTATATATAAAATAATTATTTTTATTTTATAGAAATTTAAAATATATAAAAATTAATAAAAATATATACTTCTATTCGAATTTATTTTTTCAAAATTTTTTATATTTTAACTCAAAATCTGATTTGAAATTAATATATATATTTAATATCTAAACTAAATAAATAAAAAAAATCGAACCAAACACTTGGAATTAATTTTCAAAATTTTTGATTTTTTTTCTTATCTTTATTATCTGATTTAATCCAAATGATTTTCACCCCTGCGCTCCAGCATCTCCTATATAAATGGACTCGTGAAAAATAATCACCAAAAAAACAAAAGAAAAACAAAAGACGGTAGGGATCTCGATCTCGTTCTCTCCGGCGACACCTTCGAATTGTTTCCGGTGAGACATCGACGTTGGATCCGATCTCGACCCGATCCATAGCATCTTACTGACGTAGATCCGATGGCTCCAGTTTCGGCTCTGGCCAAATACAAGCTGGTTTTCTTGGGGGATCAATCCGTCGGGAAGACCAGTATCATCACACGCTTCATGTACGATAAATTCGATAACACCTACCAGGTATTTTTTCATTATTATACTGTTCAATTCTCTTATGTCAATTTTACGATTTGGGTCCTGATTGAAACTTTATTAGCAGCTTGGATCTGATTTCTAAGGTTATCTGTCTCAAATTTGTTAACCAGGCTACCATTGGCATTGACTTTCTATCGAAAACAATGTACCTTGAAGATCGAACAGTTCGATTGCAGCTCTGGTAAGACATGAATTGTCACTGTTTAGTTTAATCTATTGTATTATTGGACTTTTATGGGCTTGTCTAGCTTAGCTTGGTATGTTGTACCCAATTAAGATTCTGGTGAAAATGAATTTTAGTCATATTCAGCATGGAATTATATTGCTAGTATTCTTGAATTTTGGTTTGTCTAATTAATGGTGCATTAGTGTTTAGATGTTGATTGGCAAGTTTGGTTTCATTTATTAGTTGGATAGCTTCCCTTTGGGTTTTATGGATGTCAATAATCCCTGTAGCTGTCGGAATATGTTATAATTAGTAACACGGTTACCAAGGATTTGATACAGGTTATAATGATGAAACGCTATCGCTCATGTGGTTGTTTTTATTCATTAGTTAGCATGAGGTAATTTTTTTCAAAATGTTTGACAAGATTTGTGTCTTTGATCTTTATCGGCTTAAATCTTTATTACAGGGATACTGCGGGACAGGAAAGATTTAGGAGTCTTATTCCAAGTTACATTAGGGATTCCTCCGTGGCAGTCATTGTCTATGATGTTGCAAGTATGTTATTGTTCACTTTGTCCTCCTGCATTATAATCTTCCTAACTTATATATTTGCTTGTTCAGTTATTATGTTTTATGCATGTTTGCACGGGCAAATATCCCCCATTTGTGAAATGCAATCTAGCAAATTGATTGCTCTACTTCGTTTATTGTTCATTTGCTTAATAAAAGTGTGTGAAGTTTACCAACTTTAATTTTGATGGTGTAGGCAGGCAGTCCTTCCTAAATACTTCGAAGTGGATTGAAGAGGTGCGTACTGAACGGGGTAGTGATGTTATCATTGTGCTTGTTGGGAACAAAACGGATCTTGTGGAAAAAAGGTAATATTAATTTATTATCATGATTGGACTTTCTTGTGAAAATAATGTAGATTGCCTTACTTTCTAGTTTACAATTGCCTTTGCATTTGTTTGTGGCTATTATTTTAGTGTAAAATTGAAAAAAGGAACTTATTGACGTAAAGTTTTCCCCAGATTCTTTTCCTTGATATAACTGTTTGATTTCTGTTCATTCCTTGTGCATTTTGTGGCTGATTTGACAGGCAAGTCTCCATAGAGGAAGGAGAAGCCAAGGCTCGCGAGCTCAATGTCATGTTTATTGAAACTAGTGCCAAGGCTGGCTTCAATATCAAGGTAAACCATTGGTAACCTATCATGAATGTGCTTAGTCAATATTATATTGACTGCATGCTAGATGCTGATGAATGTGCTTAGATCTTGATCAATGTCAAATGGTACTGGCTGCCTTTTCATTTTGGCATAATATGAAGGATTGAGACCAATCATCTAATCACTGAAAATTTGATCAATTTTTTGTTTCTCACTTCTGCATCAACTCCATTGTATTTAATGGATGCAACATTTGTTAAATATTTGTTTAATATGCATCTTCAATCCTGCATGACAATTATTGCAAGCATTAGCTGAGGTTATTTCCTTTATATGAATATTGTCTTCCTTAACCAGCATTACTAACCAATCTATCGAGTTCTCTCTCTCTGTTTGATCTCTTTACAGGCTCTATTTCGGAAGATTGCAGCTGCTTTACCTGGAATGGAAACACTTTCTTCAACAAAGCAAGAAGACATGGTTGATGTCAATCTTAAGTCTACAAACGCAAATGCATCTCAGTCGCAGCAACAGTCTGGAGGATGTGCTTGCTGATACGCACATCATTGATCTGAGCTCTGCGTTTCCACATTTCTTTTGTGCTTCCGCGATCCTACAAAGTGATTGTAAAAATTCTGTTATTCCCCCTTTTTGTAGCATTGGGCTTCAGGTTTGGTCGAGTTTTTAATCATAGAACTTGAGAGGAGATTTGTTAAGCATAGAACTAAAGATAGATTGGCAAGATATCAAGTAGTATGTCCGCTTTCAATTCATAATGTATTTTGCTCCCTGTTTCTGAAGCATTATTACTGTAGTCTTTATGTTTGGTTATTGAAAAAGAAAACTAAATTTATGTATGGTCGAGAAAGTCACACCAACCTTTTACTTTTGGCTAATAAAATGGCTTATTCATCCTGTGGTTGATTTCTTATTTGTCACAATGACATCAAATCGGCATTCTTTTTACTGCAATTTCCCATGCATGCTGTTTACATTTTCAATTACAGATAATCAAGAACCGATTCTGAACATGGATGGAAATTTAATGGATCAGTCATGGTTCTTGAACTCAAGATCTGGAAATGGAGGCTTTTGGTGGCAATCAACATCTTCTTCCTCATTGCTGGCCGAGCTGCGGCAGTTCTTCCGGGGAGATTTTATTGTGATCAGGGTGGAAATAGTAAATGGTTGGCCACTATTGGGCAAACTGCTGGCTTCCTAATCCTTTGCATCCCATTCTTTGTTCTTCTCCCCTCTCAGGAAGCTTCAACTTCTTCCACCTCACCTTCCTTCAACTCCTGCTTCGCAGCTGGTGACAAAATATGTAGCATTTTGTTGGGCTCTTGTACCTCTTAGCCTCTACTTATTCCCCCATTTTCTGCCATCCATTAGCTTTTAATTCACAGAACTTCACTGCCTTATTTCTGAACTCTGTGGTCATCTTCTCATTGTCTGCTGCTCTAATTGCAGTCAAGGATGATTTAGAAAGACCGGCAGAAGTTCTAAGGGGAAGGTAATTATAAACAAATTTACACATCAGTTGTTTGTTTCCAGTTGTGTTTCAACTGTGGGTCTCTTTGCAAGTGGGGAATGGAAGAGTTACTTATGTGCCGACATTGGCAAGTATGTGCTATCGGTGTTGTGGGCTTGATTTTTGTGGTGTCTTCTCTCTTTTCTCTGTGTTTTGACTGTTATTCCTCTAGCTATTCTGGTAGTTAAGATGATAGAAAGGCAAGGAGTTCACGTACTGATACTGATACTGATATTCAGGAAAGCCATGCCCATGATAACTCTTCAAGCTAATGATCTCTATGCCATTATCTATTTGGTAACAATGCATAGAACTGACTGTCATGTTTGCTACTGTAATTGCACCATTCAATCTCTCCCTTCTCTTTCATCCTAATCACAGTTATTATCCTTGCGGACAACAGAGGCTGCTTTGATGATGTCTATTGTTACAAATCTAAACATGACAATTCGTATATATGTATTTATTTACATGCACAAAATGTATATTTTCGTTTTGCTTTTATTTCTTTTATTTTATTATTAGTTCCTTATTATATCTTCGTGTTATATTTAAAATTATCAGGTTTATTCGAAACTATACATGAAACTTTTAAAAGTTTGTTGGGTCGGAACAAAATATTAGATAATACTTAATTTAATAGAAATTTCCAGGGCAAAGCCTTTTCTTTCTAGATTGTTTACTAATCTAATTGACCTCAAGGCCTACATTTTAATCAACTAAAAATTTACTTTTCACTCGTTGCATCATGCTGTTTATATTTCTCTCTTCAGGAATATAATATATTTGGTGCTTGAATCCATTCAACAACTATTCTTATAATTATACTATAATAATATATGCTGCTTGAATTGACCAAAAGATCTGGGTTCCCCTGGATTCACCTAATTATTAGACAAATGGTTTTGCCCTCCAACAAAATGCAGGAAACAATGTGCAAAACATTGCATCATGTTGAGCATAGTGCCAACAAGACAGACCGAACCTCCAACAATGGCAGACACAATCAGGAAATGTCTTAAGTTCAGTAAAATTTTGATAGTGAAGTAATTTATTTGTCCTAAATGTTTGCTTCAAATCTAAACAAATTTTTTCTGTAGCATGTTGTTAAGATTTTCATGTCCCTACCCACTCTTGTATTCAAACCAAAGATTGATGTTGATGGATATGTAATAAAATCTCATTCTCTAGAAAGACATTATTGAAAATTTGCCTGTCTATTTCCTTGAAACTTCTTACTTAATTACATGAGTATTTTATTTTTCTTATGATCTGTTAGGTATCACTTTTTTAAAATGATTATACAAATCAATTGGAGTAAACTGCCATCACCTTCAGCCAATGATTCTTTAGGAGTACTATCATACAATGGGTTCAACCCATGTTTTACTTCTCCAAAATAAAATATGTACAAACAGTTTTAATTATATCAAGGAAATAGGAGTACCATTGCCTACTAATTAAAGATGTAATTGATTGAGTTCAAATCACTACAACATTAAGTTTAAATGTGACTCCAAATTCGATGCATTAAACTTGATTCAAGTTCAATTCAATTTTTTTTTTTTTAGTTTGAGTTCGATTTGAAATAAAAATTGAATTACTCGAATTTATTCGATTAGGTTCGATTGATATATAAAAATAAATTTAATTTTTATATTCAATAAAAATTTACTTTTTTGTGATTAAACTCAAATTTGAAATATTTTATTAATTAAAATAATAAAAATATATTACAAAAAAAATTGATTAAGTTTATGAGTTATTCGAATTAAATATAAAAATACTCGAAATCAATTGATAAATTAAATTACTCAAATTTTAACTCTATTTAATAATAATCGAATCAAATTTAAATTTTATTTAAATTAAATTTAAATAATTTATAAATATTAATGTATTATTTACATATGATATGAACCCGCCAGGTTTAGGCTTGATCAGATCAGCCTTCAGCAAACAGCTGATGTCAGGACTAAGCTTTCTCCAAGGAGCTGTCGAGGCATTGAAGGACGCTTTCAAGTTAGCCTCAATATCAATTGGTAACATAAACCATGGTTAGCTCAAGCATTCACAATAAGGCACTATTATCAAGTAATTCATCCTACACAAAATGCCCTTCAAAGAAAGAAAAAAAACACATCAGAACAATCAGGCATTCAATGACAAATTTCATTAAAATCGGGAATATACATCGGATCACATCCAGGCTAGGAGCAACATTGGTGGCCTAAGTCGCATACACCGGTGAACACACATACCCTGCCGCTCACCCCTGCCTTAGGGTATTTTCTTGCTACCGAACCGTCACAATGTTTGAAATGGGGAACTTTCGGGTCTACCCGGCCATGGCCCTATACATGGGTGGCTCATGGCAACCTAAGTCCCGGTCATGGCCTTATACAAGGTTGGCATGACATCCATCCCCCACCTATTCTAACGACGTCCTCGTCGACTTGCTGGCTTGAAATTCTTCGATCTTCCTTTGAAATCTCTGGAGGTCGTGCTCTCTCTCCCAGCTGGTTTCTTCTAGGCCTAGTCCTCCACTTTACTAAGTACTCCCGAACTAGTCTTCGAGATATCTTGGTTTCCCTGTCAGCTAAGATCTCTTGGACTCGACGCTCTGAAGGTGGTTTCATGGTGATGGCGGCTCTGGTTGGCTCTCTTCGACCAGCATCTGTAGGATCTGCATGGAATGGCTTCAAGTTGCTCACATGAAATACTGGGTGCACCTTCATCCACTTTGGAGGGTCGATTTTTAGGAAGCATTCCCCACCTTGGAAAGGACCCTTACTGGACCTTCGTACTTGCGCACCAATCTACGATCTCTCTTTCTCAAGAACCTGGTTTGTTCAGGACTAATCGAACAAGAACCAAATCCCCAACTTGAAATTTTGAGCTCTACGACCCTTGTCTGCCAATTTCTTCATCCGTTTTGACGCTTTCTCTAAGTAGGCTTGTGCGATCTCCGTGTTTAGTTTCCACTCCTTGCTGAAGTTGAATGCTCTGGGATTCTTTCCTCCATATTGTTCCAAGGAAGTGTGGGTAGCTTGGTAATTGTCCGGTGATCACCTCAAATGGGCTCTTGTTGGTGGAAGAGCTTTTGTTGGAATTAAAACAGAGTTGAGCAACGTCCAATAATGAGGGCCAGTTCTTTTGGTTGGCATGGACAAAATGCCTCAAGTATTCCTCTAACAATCCATTGAACCGTTCTGTTTGGCCATCAGTTTGAGGGTGATAGCTCGAGGAGATGTTGAGTTGGGACCCCAAAATCTTGAAAAGTTCTCTCCAAAAGGACCCCGTGAATCTAGGATCTCTATCACTGACAATGTTTTGGGGGAGGCCCCAATACTTGACCACATGTTTGAACAATAGTCGAGCTGTGTCCTCCGCTGTACAGTACTTGGAAGCAGGAATGAATGTGGCATACTTAGAGAACCGATCAATCACCACCAAGATAGCTCCAAGATCGCCAACCTTGGGTAGGCTCGAGATGAAATCGAGGGAGATGCTTTCCCACGGTTTGGTAGGTACCGATAAAGGTTCAAGCATACCTGCAGGTTTCCTCTTCTCGACTTTGTCTTGTTGGCAAATGAGGCAAGTCTTCGTATATTCCATCACATCTTGTCGCATTTGAGGCCAATAATATCCTTGTTTCAATAACGCCAACGTGCGCTGCCAGCCCGGATGTCCCGCCATGGGGTGTCATGACACTCCCTCATCAGCATCTGTCTCAGACCTCCTGCTCTTGGCACAAAGACTCGAGGTCCCTTGGTCCACAAGACCCCATTTTCTTTCCAGAAATGTTTGGACTTCCCTTCTTCCACTAGCTTCAAAATGGCACAGGCTTGCGGGTCTTTCCCTAAATGATCTCCAATCAACTTATGGATGTCTGTAGTGGCTCTGCTAGCCACCATTGGGGCCATTCTTCTGAGGGCCGCTAACTCTGGCCGCCTGCTCAAGGCATCCGCCACTTGATTAGTCTTCCCCGCGGTATGCTCAAAATAAAAGTCGAACTCAGCTAAAAATTCCTGCCACCTAGCTTGTTTCGCCGTGAGTCTTGGTTGGGTGAGGAAGTGGCTAACGGCTGTGTTGTCTGTCTTCACGACAAAGTGCGCACCCAACAAGTAATGCCGCCAAGTCCTCAAGCAATGAACCACCGCAAGGAGCTCTTTCTCCTGGGCTGTGTATTTCCTTTCAGCTTCACTCAGCTTCCTACTTTCGAATGCTACCGGGTGATGTTGTTGTAAAAGCACACCTCCAATAGCAAAATCCGATGCATCCGTCTGGACTTCAAAAGGCTTTCCAATATCGGGAGAGCTAAGATGGGATCCTTCATAATAGCATCCTTCAATCCCTCAAAGGCCTCCTGGCACTCGTT